GATGAAATTTGAATTAATAAATGAATGTTGATGGGCACTTCCCTGAATCTGGTAGAGGAAGGCACCGGAAAAGTCCCCTTGAACAATTGCAGCACTGGCAGCATAACAGGAGGAAATTGGTACAACCATACTTTCCTTTAGTTGAGCTACAATACAAATCAATCATTCTAATTCGTGCATGCATCTATACATTAAGCTTGGTCACTGATTTTATTTCAGAGAATTCCGCAATCTAAACTCAGATATGGTAATATCATAATGGATGCAAATGAATTTTATGGCCTTGCAAGGAGTCATGGCAAGTGTGTTTGTACCAGAGAAATATCATTTCTAGATTTCATCAATAACTTAGATGCATATTCCAATGAAGTATGGAAGGAGCAAAACCATGCTGGGTAAAATTCCTATGGATGATTGAGTGTGTCAATAAACAAATTTGCCAAAGTTATTAAAACCTAAATTCTAGCCCCATTTGTTTTATATCTTTTAAGATATTGGATGAATTGTACTTTAGGATTCAGCTTATTTGTTATTCCTTTCCCTTAGTTGTTTGTATGCCTTGTTAGATGGCTGCATCCTTGTTAATAAACTTTTGGAGGGAATCAAGTAATATATCCAATTACCTATTTTGCCTATTATTCTTAGGTTGTTTTCTTCCCGTTTCAATGGCAGGCATTTTCAACAGTTGGAACACCAGATTATATTGCACCTGAAGTATTGCTGAAGAAAGGATATGGCACAGAGTGTGACTGGTGTGACCTAGGATGGATGATACTTTATCATGAGATTTGTAAATTCTAGGTCTTGTTTCTCTCATTATGCATCTGCTTTTTTTTCTTATGTCTTTAATTGAACGTGCGGTTAAAATTTTCAATGCAAATGTATTTTGTTGCAAGAAAACTTGGTTGAAGACATGCTGGTCTTATATTTATCCTAGTGTCACCAAGGTCTGAGAAGGCCAAAGAAAACAAAATTCACGTTTGCTACAAGAGAAATTTTAATTTAAACCAAGATGAATATTCTTTTTGGTTTGTTTTCCTCAAGACCTTTCAAATTTTAGTGTGTAAAAATGGTTAGAGAGTGATCTAAAGTAAGCCGTAGTTAGATATGCAAAAGAGTTCTCTGCAGACTTTTTCCCACTGCAATAGCAGGATAAACTTTACAGAGATTCTCTTTTATGATACATCTATGGTATGCTTTGTATATAATCCTAATGGATAAGGTAATTGGATTTTCTCTTTAATAAATTCTTATCAGTTTACCTGCTGGCAGGTGGTCACTTGGTGCTATCATGTATGAAATGCTCGTTGTTTATCCTCCATTTTACTCTGATGATCCAGTGACGACATGCAGAAGGTTTTATTTGCTCTAAAATTTTGTTTTCTAATTTTTCAGCTACTTTGAGTCGAATTATGGGATATCTGGTTAGCTTTTATACGTTGTCCTATTTCAAATGTTCATGTGCTCTTCTTCATAACACCATTATATATTGTCTGCCTCATTGCCATGCTTCTTTGTCTTGTTCTGGTAGTCTTAACTTCAATCATAAGGCAAAGTGCTTGATATCGTATTGATTAATTCAATTCATTTTCTAGATGTATATAATGATCAAATGATGTTATGTTTAGTGTGGTATTAAGTCAGCAACTGATGTTAAGTGTTTCATGTTAATTGTTTAGCTCTCTAACCTCTTATAAAAGGTTAGAATACTCTAGTTCTTTTTGTTTACTTATTGCTTGATATGCTGACAACTTAATGCCAGATTGTGCACTGGAAAAATCATTTGAAATTTCCAGATGAAGCGAGGTTGACACCTGCAGCTAGGATTTGATCTATAGGTTGCTTTGTGATGTTGACAATAGACTTGGTACTTTAGGAGCAGACCAAATTAAAGTAGGTCCCGCGAATACCAAAATAGTTATTTTCCATTTTCCCTTACATTGTACTTTTCACATATTAACTATGAATACAATTAGGCTCATCCTTAGTTCAAAGATACCCCATGGGACAAACTCTATGAAATGGAAGCAACATTTAAACCACAGGTCAATGGAGATCTAGATACTCAAAATTTTATGAAATTTGATGAGGTAAGTTATCATGAGACATATCCATACTTTCTCAATCTTTAACTAGTTTTTTTTTTTTTTTGGGGGGGGGGGATTATTTTTTGTTTTTGACGCTCTTTAAAAGACATTTTCTGCCTTTGTTTCTATGGAGCCTGCTGGTGATATAAATTCTGACTGTGCCACAGGTTGAATGTCCAAAACCAACAAGAACGGGATTTGGGCCAATAAGGAAGGTATCTAACTTTTCCGCAAGGACTGCAAGGATTACCATGAATGCTATTGGAAATAGTTTGAACTTTGAATAACTTAACCATTGTTTTGCAAATGGTAGAAGTTCATGATGGAAGTTTCTTGGCTGGCCTCTAAGTCAATCTCTACTGTTGTTGACAAATACTGTGCATTTGAATGTCCCTAAGGTATCCAAACTTAATAATGTCTTGCATAACCTATTTCTTAACTTTTTGGCAGATGCTTTTAACTCCTAAAGATCTTAATTTTGTGGGCTATACTTACAAGCATTTTGAGGCTGTCAAAGGGTTTCATCATTCTTTTGGTACGAGATTCGTAGTTCCTTGAGTGTTATCTTTTATTTGTGTTTAAACTGTTTCTTTTTTGTCAAATCATATTATTATAACTTTTTTCTTTTCTAGTTGTTTCTTTTGATAAAAACTTCAAAGTTCTTTCAAGTAACCTAAGTAACTGATTGTAAATGTTCACATGAGAGGACATTGTCATATCCCAGTTATTATTTGCATAACGTTAATAAGGTCACATCTGTATTTATCTTTGAAGAAATTTGGTCTTTCCTGCAAGCCAGGCGACCCAGGCCTATGCATGAATGTGGAGTAATATTATGGTTGCTCTCCTGCTGTCAACCAACTCTTATTAAACTCTTTCTTTCTAGAATTGTTCATCTTTCATCAAGTAAAATGCATCTTCTAAATATTTCAGTAATCTGATTTGCATGGTACTCGAAAACACAAGGCACGTCTTAACCAGAATAGAAAATATAAGGGATGTCTGTTATAATTATATGGATCATTCTGATTCAGACCACATTTAAAGGTACAAACGCATTATCCAAGTACAAGTGATGATGAATTATAGGTAATGTAATGCACATTTCTGAAGAATTGTAAGTGGTAATCAAGAGATGGAGAATGAAGGAAATATAGGAGTGACTCAAGTATATTCATACTGCATACTGTTGACTGTTAGAGGATAGGCCTTTTTAGCTTGCCAAGAGAAGAAAGAAGGGAAAGAGAGAATGTGCCACCATTAAGCTCAAATTTAGTAGCTTCCCATGTGCACATGCATGTATTGTTTTAAACTGCATGCGATTCCTTTTGTTGCCCAACACACAATTTTTCTTATCACTCATTCAACTGCTGCAGGTGTAAAGGGGACTGCACCACAAAGGCAGTCATCAACTGACTCATTCCACAGTAAGATCTCATTCCTAGACTAGCATTGTTGGGTCTGGTTTTGTTTGCCATATTGAGTTAAACTTTTCTCGTAACAAGTTTCTGTTTTAGGTGATTCTGGTGTGGACTACTCTTCTAATGACACAGAAACAAGGATGCTTTGACCATCAGGAGAGATGGCATATCACTTTGAGGAGAGGCTCAATCCATGTATAGCACCATGCATAATGGATAAACTAGCTGATCTTCTTATTTTGATTGATGGGTCTACCTGCTTATTGCAGTCGGGTTCTACCCTGATTGGCTTATTCATTGAAGTTTGCTGCCATATTTTTGCCGAACTAATAAGTATACAGTAAATATCGATTAGAATGAGTAGAGTTCTTTGATGGGGCTGTTTTGGTAGCATTCATAGTCTTTGAGATTGTATTGATGTCCTGAGTATCCAGGCTGGGCAAGCCAAAGGAAACGCTTCTTCTTGTGAAGGTTTCTGGTGCTTTTTTCCCTTCTTTCTTGATAGTCTAGGGGAATGTTCAAATGCCGAAATTAATGGTCTGGCTCAGGACTCAGGACACTGACAGGTATTATGCGGAAGCCTTGTTCTTTGGAATGAACTGCAAAGCATGTCTTTGTCTTTGGGAGATTGTCTGTCTCCATATCCCCTATCTCCTTTGAAAGAATCTGACGATTTGAAGTTGGAAGTTGAACGACAATTGTATAAAATGGAAACCTATATTTTTTTAAATGCAATATCATGGATAAATCACATACATATATATATATATATATTTAACAGATTTAAAATCTAAATTTTAATATTATAAATTTTTTATAAGAATTTAAAAATTATATATTATTTTTTTTAAATACTGAATTAAAATCATCTATTTGAATGAAATTTATTCGCTTGTTATTTTTTTCAATTAACTAATGTAATATTATTAATTTTTTAAAGATTTTAATATTATATAAATTTGTAATTCTACCTTTTATTTGAATTCCATAAAATGAATTTATAAATAGTTTTTTTTTTCATTACAAAGATTGTTGATGTCATAACCAAACAATAACTATAAATTGATCCTATTACTTTTTCTTCTTTTATCAATCATTAAACTTTTTCAAGGTTAAGTCATTATTAATTCACATCAAACTTCATTGATTAATAGTCTTTGTTTTATACAAAATTTTTGATTAATACATATCAATTTGCATAAGTTTCTTACAAGTCACCTTCAAATATTTTCATTTCATATTCTTTTATCTAAATTTAGTAATTTACATATTGCCCTTTGCCAACTCAAAAGAGAAAAAGATATTTCCATTTTTTGGATTTTAATTTCTATAATTTAAAGTCCAAAATTTTTTTTTTTTATAGAAAGAAGTGGTTAAAAATTAAAAAAAATTATAGATATTTAAATTCGAATTATAAATTTACTAATCATTTCTTTTTAAAAATAATTATATAAAAAATTGAATCAAGTCTAATCTTTTTCTTTAACTGAAATTAAACATTTTATTGTTAAAACTTAAAATTCACTGGGACAAACATACCCACAACTCCCTCTCATTACATAAACCACGACTCCACGAGCTGTCTTAAAAGCCGGCTCAACATATTTTTATTACCAAAAAGACCCCGTTTAGAAAGCTCGACATCTTCACATCCGAGTATAACGAACTATGGGTATAATCGTCATTTAATTTAACCCAATTCCATTGCCGATCAAAACACGGGCGCTTTCGAACTCCATGGCCATGTACGAACTTTCCAATTTTGCTTTCGAGCTTCGAATCAATTACGTAAGCCAAATTCGTATTAGTAATTTAAAGAATTAATTATCTTGCTAAAACTTACAGCCTCCGCCATCACCTCTTCACAGGATTCATCAAAGGTAGATTTCTACTCACATTCTTCATTGCAAGCTCTAGGGTTTTCTTTTTTTAATTTCTTAACTTTTTAAATTTCTTTTATTGAATCTTAATTTCAGTTTTATTTTCTAATATTCTTTTTGATTTAGTTTTTAGGGGTTTTCTGCAATTTTTAAATACTATTATTAATTTTTTTTTCAATTGTTGAATTTTTGATGAATGAAGTATGACTAAGATGTAAAATCGAGGAAATAGAGGATAAAATGGTAATTTTGGAGCTTAGATTGGCTTTACTGTGCAAAATAGAGCATTTCATTTGATGAAGCTGGATTTTGTTGATTAGTCGAAAAATGAAGAAATATTGAGGAATTTAACTGAGATGATGTTTTGTTTTGCCATCCTCTTATTCAATTTTAGTTTGGAATGAATTGAAGTAAGGAAGGTGAAGTTCAAGACAATCATATTTATCTTTGTCATGATCAAAAAAAGGGAGAAACAGAAGAGCAATCTGCAATGTCCATTAGGAAATAATTAAAATGGGAATGCTGCTCTTACCGACTGCTATGTGTGAGACGTCTCTGCCAGCTGAAATCACAGTTAGTTACCTTAATTATATAGTGTTGGTCCTCTTATGTTTTAAATTTGGCGAGATAGATATTTAATTTATTGATACAATATTAAAAGAAATTATCAAATTCACCTCCACAAGCGTGGTTGACAGTGTGACACATACCCCTTAGAGTATATTTAAAAAAATAAAAAATCTAACTAAAAAAGAAGTGGGACATGTGTCACCATGTTAACCTTGTGAAGTTAAAAAACTCTACTTACAGTGTATCAAATAATTTCTCTAATATTAAACTATAAAGTATAGAATGTTTCTCAGCTGGAGCAGTTAGTTAAATAATAGCAGTGTTCTTCTGTTCGAGTGTAATCAATGTGCTGAAATTGATTCGATGGGTTAACTTTTTTTTTACTATGATTCTAGCAGATAAAATAAGGTAAACTATTAATATTCTTTTTGCTGATGAATGTATGGATGCACTGTCATGAATCATGGTAAGATAGTTATAATTCTGGCAGGTGCTCGTTGTGGCACTATCTTATGAACGAAGATGCCAGTCCCTCATGTTTACATTCATTTATTACCTATTCCATATTTCTGGTATAAGTCCTAACATGTTAATGATATTGTTGTAAGGTTTTGCTACACATATACCCTGACTCGTGCGTTTGCATATATCTATGATTCATGATTCGATAATTATGTGCTTGTTTTGCTACATGTGCACCGCAGAGACAGGCAGACAGCCTTAATAGTAATTTTTGTAGAAGGTCATTTAATGCACGGGAGGGTGATCCAGATGGAGAAGTTATACAGTTTAGAAATTTATTTAAATAAAATATAATTTGAATTTCATGGGTGGTTCAATTATAATTTTTATAATTATATTGGTTTTGCTGGCAAGTGCCCTAGGGAACTTCTTAAGGTTAGTTAAGATGCTATTTATAGCAATTATATCAAATGCAGTAGTCAACTGTTAATGGGATGAATTCCAATGCATTGGGAGAAATATTACTTAATATGATAACCTTAAAGCGTTCCCTTTTGGTGCTTTTTAGCCAAACCCTATTTATATTCAGGGTATTTTAGGTTGTATTAATTTGTCTTTAATTATTTATCAAGTATGAGGCTTGTGGAGTACCCTAAATATCTATTTGAGCTCTGCTCTTGATAGCTTATGAGTATTGAGTTATTGAGGTTATTGTGTGAATCAGAGCATTGAGTATTACTTAGAATTTCAGGTTGATTGTATACCTCTGGCACCTTGCTAGCACTTATAAAGTCAGGTTAAATTTTAGGATTACCTTGCTATTTAAAGTAAGGATTGAAAGTCATTTAAGTTGCATTGATAAGAAACTGGTAGATGAATAGAACTTAAACATTTTATCCTCATATATGAAAGGAAGAGATGAATGGATTTTGAATCCGACTTGCTGCTTACAGTAATTCTGTACCTAAAGAGCAAAAAGTTTCTGTAATAAAATATCTGAGTGCAAGGATATACATATCTTTAAATGCCAGTAGCAGAAGATTGAAACTATATCTAGAGGAACAAATGAATCTATTTGTTAGAAGTTAGAGGTTCAACAACCTAAAACTTTATAATTCTATGTTTTTAAAAGAGTCTAACAATGTCCCATGAATAACTATGAGCTCCATTGACGATGTATAGAAGTTATTTTTATTCTACCTGAGGCCATTAATGGAACATGAAGAAGATAAAACAAATTCTGTCAGTAGTAGAGGTGGAGTGAGATGAATAATTGCCAAAAATGTTATATAGAATGTGCATCTAGATGGGAAAATATATTTGTGGATGACCTGTTTGTTGTCTGTTGTTGTTCAATTGATTGTTTCTTTTTATGACAGCCTTTTGTACTAGATTTGTTGTCACCTTTGTTTTCTGAAGGTTTCCTTTTTGTTGTTGGTACTTGAACTCACCGCTTTCATTTGTTGTTCGCCATTGCCATGTTACCTTGTTGACTAAACAATTTTTTTTTTTTTTTAATTTTGATCAGAATCCATATATTCAGTATTATGCATACTGTAAAATTTCTTGTTATGAATTTATCAAGTTAATTATGCAAATTAATCACTTTTCAACCCTTAATCCAAAAACTAAATGCAAGCTACCAAAATACCCTCTCTTAACCTTTAGAAACCAATACTGTCTTATAACAATACGGTAAAAAATTTTATGGCACAGGCAGTGGAAAGTGATGAATCTCATCTTATTTCTTTGGTCTTTGATACTTCCTTGTAACTGTTAGTGATCATTTTATGACTTAAATTTAACCTACTAATTGTAGTTGTAACTATTATGCGTGCATTATGCATAAAGCAGCATGAATTTTGAGGTAGCATAGAGTGGATTTGGAGACCAATACAAAATTTATATGCTTATCCTTAGTTTTTTCTCCTTTGCAGACAAGTTGTCCATTGTCCTTAGGAGTTTAATCCAGCCTTTATGTACTGTTGTACTACAATTTTGTCATGCACCGCTGTATTTATTGGCCTTGTGAAATTGTGAATTTGCAAAATCTGATGCTATGGCAACTTCTAGCAAGTTTGATCTGTCTTCTGATAGCCCAGATAGGCCACTGTTCACCAGTGGGCAGCGTGGAGCCCACTTAGCTGCTCAATTAGACAGATCAGGTAGTTTTCGTGAGACCGTGGAGAATCAAATTTTATCTTCTCTGCCAAGTATGTTGAGGAGCAGTTCTGTAGTAGCCCAAGGAGATTTATCCAACTTCTTCCAATGCCTGCGTTTTGATCCCAAGGTGGTTGCTACCGATCATAAGTTTAGTCGTCAAGCAGAATTTAAACGGCACATTAATGTTGCTCTTGGCATTTCTGCTGATGAATCTCCTGCTGTGTTGTCAAAAGGCAAACTGCTGCCTTCTCCCATACCTGAGGAAATCAAACGAGTTAAGGCTGGTCTACGTGATTGCTCTGTCAAAGCAAGGTAGTTCTTGTAAATTTGGTATTTTGGAATTAAGTTGTCATTAGTTATTAAAGTGAATTTTTTAACAGGGAGCGAAGGAAAACTTTCAATGAAGCCTTATCAGTATTCAACAAGTTTTTCCCAAGCATACCATCCAAGAAGAGATCACGGTCAGAAAGCTTTTCTGGTGACCGACCTAATGCCTTGTTATCTAGTGATCGGTCAGTCTTAGGGCCAACAATTGGTAAGATGGGAATGCATAATCATTCCATTGCTGGAGGTTTTGAATTTGAACAGCAGAAACCAGAAGAAAGGCCTAAAAGTGCTGTTCCAAATAAGCGCACTCGAACTTCTCTGGTGGATGTGAGGGTTTGTCTCTTTGATATCTTCCATCTCTATGCATTTTTGGTCCTGGTAATATTGTTATTCCTTATCTGCTGTTGGGCCTGATATAACTTATTTAAGAAGCTTGTGCAATGACTGTTTTATGTGCCATATTCAAGTATGATTGGATCAAAGAGTGCCATGTCCCAATGTAATTATTGTTTCGATATCACTCCTATTGTTTCTCTTCTCTGGCGTTCCCTTCATGTTTCTACACTACTAGTTGGTTTCTTCTTTTCTATTTGTCACTGAATCCAAACCTTGCATCTTTCTTTTGATCCAACTAGGTGGTGGTGACTGGTTTGTTTACTCTTCCTTTTTAGTGGACTTTCATATGTACTTCAGTGATTGAGTTAGTATTTATGTGAGTGATAGGAAACCCATTTCTTGTTACAAGAATCCACATAATTTTCTGTTTTACACTTGTTCTAATATGAATATGGTTTTACATGGCATTTTCTTACTCTTCTGCATAGTTGTGATATCTTTGGTCTCATCTTGGTAGCTTGCTGCCCAATTTACATGTGGTGCGCATTTTATTTTGCATCACTACCACTTGAAGAGAAGTCTTAACATTTGTTCTAATGAATCTAGATGGATATGCGGAATAATGCTCCAGTCAGGCAGCCTGGTAATGCAGATAGGGATAGAGAAATGCTCAGGGTTTCAAATAGTGGTGGAGTTCAGGTTGAAGATCGAACTTTATCGGGTGGTGTTGACGGATGGGAAAAGGCAAAGATGAAGAAAAAGCGTTCTGTAATAAAACCTGATGTATCTCCAAGTATGGCATCAACTAAACCCATTGAAGGGTACCGGGAACCTAAACAGGGAATACAGCAAAGGGCTGTTACTGATGCTCGATCAAGGTTAATTAATGACTCCCATGGGTTCAGGTAGGTCTGCTGAAATTGCTACTATTGTGCATATGCCATGGTGATTATTTTGAATGCTTGCCTTATGACATCTGTTAAGGGCGTGTACAGGGGTTGCTAGGAGGACAACCACCTCGAGTTTTTGTAACCCCTATTATTATTGGAAGCTTTTACCATAACAGTCATTATAATATAAGAATCAGCAATGTAATTCAGTGTCGCCAGAACCAGATTGGACTGGCTGGCCAGACTGGTCAAGAACCAGTCAGTTAAACCAGACAGGATTGGTATTGAACTGGTTTTAGGTATTTATTGTGTTATTTTGATCTTTCAAAAGCTTTTGTAAGTTGTGAGATTTGAACCCTGACTGCTTACCTTTTCATTAATGACTAAACCAGTGAGCCAAATGCATTTTTTGTTAAGTATTTACTACATTTAATGCTTATTTAAGGTCAAAATCATGCTTCTAATAACAACAACCCTCTTTAATTAGACTGGTCAGTTGAAATGGTTGGACTGGGAACCCCACCGGTTCAACCTCCAGTCTGGTTGTAAAAACATTGATGAAATTAACATCGTATTATGATCGATATTTTCATACCACTGCAAGAGATTTATGGGAATAAGGGGCTTCAATCATAATAATGATGGCAGTAGTAGCTTTTGTCAGTATTCTCTCGTTACATAATTCATAATGCTGAAACTGCATTCTTACTTCCACTCTGTTTTTCAATTGCCTGTGTTGTGGAGGATATACTGAATTACAGATGTCAAGCTTGCATTTTATGCTTCTGAGGTTCTTTTTTATTCTGATTCCAGTTGTATATCTATTGTCGAATTTCTTATTCTATTTTAAGCATGGTGTTAATGATAGTGCCAGGGTGAGTAACAATATTTTTATGGTCACCCATTGTTCATTCTTTCTTATTAATTTATTTTCCTTTACCCACCTTTTATCATCCTGCGCTGTGTGGTCCTTATTTGGCACGCTGTTCTGGTTGAGATCTAAAATCACCTTAATGCATGATATAGAGCTCTAGATTAAGCGAGTTGCTTATGCCTTTAGTGCATAGGACATCTAATTAGCCTTAAAAGTGCCTTTACACTTGAGAATATTTGCCAGAGAAGTATAAGATGGTACATGTACTAATTTTTATTGGTCTGCATTTTTTCAACTATATAATAAACCAACCCTATGATTTAATCCGTCTTAGCACATAATGTTTAAGAGGTAGAGTACTTTAGTCATGATTTGACCTAACCTTCTGATTAAGATTCAAGTGCATGATTTTCAGAGACATCAAGAAAGAGCTTGTTGGGGCCTTTGCCTCACACTATAGAGGGATGCAGATTCCTTAATAGATGATCATAATGGTGGCTGTAGGAAAATTATATTAGGGGTTATCTTGTGTGCCACTTCTTCAAATCTTCTATTTGGAGCATCCTGTGAATTGAACCTTCCTTTACATTTATTTTTTAACCTTCTGTTGTGCCGTATTCTTGGTTTTATAGTAATAAATATATAACTGTTTATAGGTCAGGAATTGCTAATGGATCTGTTGGAGTTGGAAAATCAGAAGGTATCTCGCAGCCAACAGGCTTGGGTCCGCGATCATCTGTTCCTAGGACCGATTTGGACAACAGTTCCCTTCTCAATGATAGGAGAGATCGTCCTGCTGCTTCCGATAAAGAGCGAGTCAATCTCAGAGCTGTTAACAAGTATGCATAGTTTTCTTAGTATATATTTCATTTTCCATTTTTTGCATAAATTTCTCTGGTCCATTTCTATTTTATAGAGCCTATTTTTTTTTTTTTTCATTTGGTGCATCTTTATTTCTGGCTCCTGGAGTACTTTTCTTTTTTGGGCCTTACTGTATGTGTACTTCTTTCTGTGCCCTTTGTTCTGTACAATGTGCAGGATGAGTGTTCGTGATGAATATAATTCAGCTAGTCCTACTTCAAGCACAAAAATGAATGCATCTATTCGCGGTCCACGATCAGGGCCTGGAGTTGCTCCAAAATTGTCACCAGTTGTTCATAGAGCAACGGCATCAAATGACTGGGAGCTTTCTCACTGTGCAAATAAACCACCTACTGCTGGTGGAGCTAATAATCGTAAACGCACAACATCAGCTCGGTCTTCATCACCACCTGTTGCCCACTGGGCCAGCCAGAGACCACAGAAGAGCTCCCGTACTGCAAGACGAACAAATCTTGTTCCTATTGTTTCAAGTAATGATGAAAGTCCATCACTGGATACTGTGTCTGATATGGCAGGTAACGAAAGTGGGTCAGGGTTTGCTAGACGCTTGTCTAGCTGCTCTCCCCAACAAGTTAAACTAAAAGGTGATGCCTTATTTTCGGCTGCTCTTTCTGAGAGTGAGGAGTCTGGGGCTGCTGAAATTAAATCTAAAGAGAAGGTGAAAAAGTCTGATGAAATAGATGAGAAAGCTGGACAGAATGTTCAAAAGGTATCCACTTTTGTCCTGGCATCAAGAAAGAATAAACTGATGACTGGAGAAGACATTGGAGATGGCATACGTCGACAAGGGAGGACTGGCCGGGGTATTACTTCTACAAGGTCTCTTATGCCAATGACAGTTGAGAAGCTTGGCAATGTGACAGGAAAACAGCTCAGAAGTGCCAGGCTTGGCTTGGATAAGTCTGAAAGGTTGAATATTTCTTCTTACCTGACCACCTATCTCCTTTTTCTCCAATAATATTTCTTTTTTGTGGTCTAGAACCGTCATTATTTCTGATTGAAATCTCATAGTTTGATGAATACTTTGCTCAGCAAGTCTGGTCGTCCTCCAACTAGGAAACTCACTGACCGCAAGGCCTATGCGCGCCAGAAGCATGCAGCAATCAATGCAGCTGCAGATCTTCTTGGTAGTTATACTTCAAGCTAACTAAATCTCTTTGGATTCTTAAATATCCATTCTTATCAAAATTTTTTGAATTTCTAAATCTTCGACTACATTTCATGGCTTCTAATCACTTTTGGTACAATTTTCTTAGTTGGTTCAGAGGATGGACATGAAGAGTTGGTAGCTGCTGTAAACACTCTTATTAGTTCTGGTAGTGTCTTCTGAAATCTTTGGTCTTTTTTTTTTTTTTTCGTTCAAAATTTTTCTTTTTGCATTGGTTGATTTTACTGTAATTGCAGCCCATGCCTTTCCCAACTCCTTTTGGAGAGAGATGGAGTCTTTTCTTGGTTTCATAACTGATGCAGATATTGCCTATTTGAAGCAGCAGGTATTGTTCCTTGTCTCACCAATTAAGATTAATAGTCACTGTTATTATAAGATCTTAGAAACCATATTTTTTCTGAAAATATCTTGTGTGGCTCTCAAAACCCCTTAATATATTCCCTTTTTTAGAAAAAAGAAATCATTGGAAGAATCTTTTTGGGTTAAATCTTTTGCTGAAATGCTTTACATATGAATCATTGGATGCAATTCGTGTGTCTTTTTGGCCAGGGTGGGGTGATTTCTTTTCAACAAGGTAGGGGGAAAAGGGGAATTTAACCTCGACCTTGACCCTCCATCGCCACTAGGACAGGCAGGATTGTTACCATTATTTATGTTTTCATCAAATTTTGAGGAAAGACATGAGATACATAAATAAATTCCTGTTGACTTCCTGATATAGGTATTGATGGTTGTCAAACTGTGTGACTACTTTTCAATAATTCATCATTGATTTTGGTATGTTTAGTATTTAATGCTAAAGTTTGCAATGTCAAATTTATTTATTTAACCTTTAAAAGCTGTGAGTTTTGTCTTCAACCGCATACCTTTGTAAAAATCCAAAAAAAAAAAAACATTAAATACAGTGCCTCAAACTTTTTTGAATGCACTATTTTCAGTGAAAAAGGTAAAAGTAGCTTAGAGAAGGATGTACTTACACCTTGCTTCTTCTTCAGTTTCATAAAATGTTTTTGGTTTTATTGTGATTGGTTTGAGACTCATGAACCCATCTTTTTCACAACTATTTTAGTCTCTCTAAACACTTTAATATCTTTCAGGGAAATTATGAATTCACTAAATTGGGATCAACACCAGTTCCTTCTATTACGGATGGCTGTAGTACCATCTCCAACAGATGTGGGTTGCTTGAACAGGAAAGAGATGGCAAAATTGCTGCTGTAACATCAACTGCTGAAGTCCTTTCACAACAGTTGGTCCTGGATACGAGGGACAATAATGTGATTCCTCTCTGTCAGAGATTTATAGCAGCTCTAATTCCAGAAGAAGATAGTGACAGTGGAAATGAAGACCTCCCATTTGATGCATATGAAACTGGATTTGAGATGGACGGAGAATTGGGATCCAATGGTTTGAGTCATATTGTTAACTTCCAATCTACTGGGCATGCTTCTTTCAATGGTTATAGGGTAACTGTGAAGCCAGAACATGACAATCCTGAAGTTGATATGTTGGGAAACCCAGGAATTAACTCAAATTTTAGTCATTCCCTGAATGACACTTTCCCAAACCAACCAATGCCTGGCATGGTTTGTTCAGAATTCCAGTATGAGAGTATGAAGATATATGACAAACTCTTTCTGGAGGCCCAAAGTATCGGAATTTTCTTAGAACAACTGGTTGGTCTACTTCTACATGAATATTTATATTTAATGCTGCATTTTCCTTCATTGCATAATATATTTCATCCTACAGTTGGCAGCTTCCTCTCTCTCTCTCTCTCTCTCTCTCTCTTGTTTCAAAGTCGATAATTATCATGAACTAGCAATTTGGTCTGCATTTTTATCATTTTCTGAATGGTTGGTTGTCAAATCGTGCATTTATGTCCACTGCAGTTTCTCATTAACTTGAAAGGTGATGCCTTTTTCTGACTCTGCTGTGGTTTACTATAAATGCTATTGTCTACTTTGTTCTGTTTCAGCCTTGGCATTAAGGTTGTTAATGAATTTAACTTTATGTATTTCACTGTTTTTCAGCCTGACATAGCACAGATGGAGGATGATGAAATTTGTGAGGACATTAGTAAGCTAGAGGAGAAGCACAATGAACAGGTTGTTTCTCAAGGGAATTCTTGAAATTCTAATATGAATCTGATATTTTCTTTTTCTTTTTCCTTTACATTATTGTTTTTACCCTTCTATTTTATGATAACTGTCATTAGATATTCAACAAATTCCATCTTTGTTCTATGCCCTGCTACATATTGTTGGATTTTCCATCATAAAGTTCAAAATTTGTTCTGAGAAGTTCGCTTTTTTGCAAATGCAATAGGTTTCAAATAAGAAAGGCTTGCTTGATAAACTGTTGAAAGCTGCCTCAGAAACAAGAGCAATTCAGGAGAAGTATTGTTTTATCCTTTCTCTCCATGTAGTTTTGTATGCATTTGCCTTTTTAACTTAAAAAGTCTTTGGTGCCTAGTGTAAGTATAAACATATTATTTTTTATGTAGGGAATTTGAACAACGTGCTCTTGACAAACTTGTCACGATGGCTTATGAAAAGTACATGGTAATTCTCTTAATGTTCAGTCTCCTTTTTGTTCTTGTTTTCATTTGCACACACCCATACACGCTATGTTTAATGTCTTGAGTGCCCAGAATCAAGTCTCTTGTGCCAAATTGATGTAGGAAAGCCATTTAACATGAGAACATATAAACTAAGCTCTGTTCTAAAAGAAAAGTCAAAGGATTTCAAGGAAATATTTGTCTGGGTGGACTAAAACTAACAAAGAAAGGAAATAGAAAAATTAGATGCAAATGGGCAGGGTGGCAATATTGTTAACCTTAACCAACTAACCCAAATGTAACAAAAACCACCAAAGTTGGTGACAATCTTCTATGTCGAAGGGGAGAACTACCTCCTATTGGGTAGTTCAAACTCCTCACAAGATTCAGATAATGAAGAGACAACATCTCAACATAGGTCCAGAAAAATCTTTTGTTTGATATCTGAAATTCCCATTCTCCTTGATCTTATATTTGGAAGCTGTTTCCACCATGACTGTCATGTGATTGAATGTTATCTAAATTGAGGCAGGGTACTTTGTCCTTTCGCTTCCTGGTAAATATGCTTGGTTGTTCTCTTTGACGTTCTCAGGAATCAATTATTTCGCCACCTTTTGAGTCTCTGGGGTTTAGATAGTGGAAACTCTTAAAGCCTGATGAATAATTTGGCTAGCAGAGCTTTATCTAATAACTCTTATGTTCTTTTCTTTCTCTTTAGCTGCATAGATGACAAAGGTAGTTAAAATGCTAAAAACTGAATAGCAGTTACTGTCATGTGGTTGAATGTCATCTAAATTGAGGCAGGGTACTTTGTCCTTTTGCTTCCTGGTAAATATGCTTGGGTGTTCTCTTTGATGCTCTCAAGAATCAATTATTTCACCAACTTTCGAGTCTGTGGGGTTTTGATAGTGGAAACTCTTTTAAAAGCCTGATGAAGAATTTGGCCAGCAGAGGTTTATCAAATAACTCTTATGTTCTTTTCTTTCTCTTTATCTGCATAGATGACGAAGGTAGTTAAAATTCTAAAAACTGAATAGTAGTTAGGGTTTTTTGTTGCAAAATTTATATTATAAATGTGATATTGTCTCAAAATCTGAGCTTGCTTCTAGTTTTTCTCCCCTCCAGAGCTTCCAACCAGAGCTTCCAGAGCTTTTCATTTTAACATTGAGAATTTTTAATTATCTAAAAGTTAAGACTGTTTTTGATGACATATTAGTTATCATGCTAGATGCTGACATATTATGATATGATGCTGGTATTATTTTTCTGATGATTTATTAATAATCTTTTAATAGACTTGTTGGGGTCCTAATGCTACTGGTGGGAAGAGTACCAGTAACAAAATGATCAAGCAGGCTGCCTTAGCATTTGTTAAACGGACATTAGATCAATATCATAAATTTGAAGATACAGGCAAGAGCTGCTTCGATGAGCCCATGCTTAGAGACATGTTTCTTTCTGGGCATTTCCGGCTAAATGGTGCACGATCAGTAGATACTCCTACAGATGGTGAATCTAAAAAGCCATGTGCCAACAGCTCCACCCGTTCTCTGGAAGCCAGAACTTCAGGTATTTACTTGATGCTTATGGAGAGAGTAGATGCTTTAATTCCTCCTTGACTAGTTGTGTTTTCGTGTGTGTGTATGTTTTTGATCCCATGTAATGTAATCATCTGCAAAATGTTCTTCGTGGTACATTTTTTGCAGTCTGTAGAACTCTGTCTTCTCTTTCTTCTTTCTCCATGTTTTTTTGTCTTATGGTGCGATTCAGTTGTGGATTTCATTTTGGACTTTTATGCAGCTTCCTTGGTTTCTGACACACAACAACTTCTCTGGCAGGTCAAAATGGGGATAGCTATCCTGTTAATTCTTCTGATCTGCTTCCACCCACAAATCGGTTATCCGATCAAAGTACTGTTAAAGATGATTCATGGTCTAACAGGGTGAAAAAGAGAGAGTTATTGCTTGAGGATGTAGTTGGTGGTACTATTGGTACTTCTAGTGCCCAGTCAGCCATTGGAAGTTCTTTGTCAAGCAGTGCAAAAGGAAAGAGGAGTGAGAGAGACAGAGAAGGAAAGGGAAATTGTAGAGAGGTTTTTTCTAGAAATGGAACTAATAAGATTGGTCGACCAGTATCCAATGTTAAGGGGGAAAGGAAATCCAAAACAAAGCCTAAGCAGAAAACAACTCAACTATCTGTTTCTGTAAATGGCCTTCTTGGCAAGATGTCAGAGCAACCCAAACCATCAACTTCTGTATCAAAGTCAAGTGAGATAACAGCCAATAATAATGCCAAAGAAAAAGATGAGTTTAGCCTGGATGTATTGGATGACTTGCAGCTATCAGGGCAAGATCTGGGTTCTTGGTTGAACATTGATGATGATGGATTACAAGACCATGACTTCATGGGCCTTGAAATTCCGATGGATGATCTTTCCGACTTGAATATGATGGTTTGAGTTGCTTTCTTTGTAAAGTCTTGTTCATTATACTGTTGACAAACAAAAACATAATCACTGTCATCAAGAAATGACTGGTACATGGATAGTTTGACTGTCCAGTCCACAGTTAGGTTACATAGATTCTTTGTAGACTCCTCCACAAGTTGATTTTCAAGTGAACCATTTGGACGTCTTGAATTTTTCTCTTTAGTTGGTGACTTTGAGTGTAAAGATCTTTTGTCCCTAAAAGTTAGTATGTCTTAGCATCTATATCTTAGCAAACACTGTATTCTGGCTGTAGCTTTTACGAATCAGAGAGCAATGCTCTTCTTGTACATACATTTATATTCCCAATAAAATTAGTTTTTTTTGTTCAGTGTAATTATAGCTTGTAAGCATAATCATATAGGTTTCTTTCCTGGTTTTCTGGTTTATGGATCTTTATTTTCACTTTTTGCCAACTGTAACCGCAGTTGAAAGCTGTTATATCCAATTTTGTAATTTCTCCTTAGGTTTGTTCGAGAAGTTTCTCTTCCGAGGCTAAGAGGTAAGAATGTTCAATGAAGATGTCCATACAATAATTGGCAGTGTTTTTTCAATCACAAAAATATGATTTTGGTGGTGACTGGGGACTATTAATTCTGTATCTTTCCTGTTTTATTACTTGAAGTTGCAGGTTCTCAGTTCAATTATCTCAGGAGCGACAGCAAGATCTTTATCAACTGCATTTATTAACATCATAGTAAAAAGTTGTTGCATCAAATTGGAGCTTCTTGTTGCTGTGTTTCTAGGGTACTGACTTCTTACTGTCTTACTGATACTAGGTTATGCTTTAAGTAGTTATTTGTAATTAATTTTGCTTTGCATTTCTTCCCATCCTCTCTCTCTCTGTTTGTGTGTGTAAGAAGTGTAAAATGTTTGCAGGTAAAACTGCTCTCTTGGATTTTCTAATCAAGATATGTATACATGGGGTGTGCTATAATGCCATCCGCCATGTTCTGATAAACCTGCATCACCACTAGGGTAAATCCAGAATACCTTGTTCTAGTCTTGGCTATAAATGTTTCGGTGCATTTTACATTGTTGTTTACATATACTTTTCTTTCGTTTTCATTTTTTCTTTGAAGGGGAAGGCATCACTTCTAGGACTGTGTTGAAGGCTTGGCAGTGAAGGCTCATGTTCTGTAATGTTCATCCACTGCAGTTTAAAACTTACATTTGATTTAGAGTTCATGATTCTCAACTTGCTTTATATAAAAAGTTTGACATATTCGATGAGTGTGTCAAGAATCTTGTCTTGCTCATGTTGAGAATTATTTACATTATAATTTCTTCTCTAGAAGAGTAGATTTAATGCTTGAGTATACATTTGATTTAGAGTTCATGTCAAAATCTTGGGTCTGTCTCATAGCTGTGTGTTTAATTATTTACGCTGTCTCAAGCTGCTGGCTGGTGTTTTTTCATGATCCTATACATTGTACATGTATTAGCATCCTCAATTATCATGTTTAAGCATCGCAGAATTGGTTCGAGTCAAAACTCACGAATCTTTCTCATAAGAATTGCGAAGGCTTTGTTTAGTTACTCCAGCGATTGTGAGGTACACTTCTGGGATTTACTTGTTGAGAACTTTGATTTCACCTCCTGCTTTGTAACACTTATCGGTGTAGGGATGACCATCATCTCTAATGAATTTTGTTCAGTTTCTTGAAATTATTCCTGTATGTTATGGTTCGAGAATCAAGTTGCAAAACAAAAGAAGGAAATTGTTGAGGGTGGTCTGTTTTCTCTGTTCATTGTTGCATCTAAATTCAGAGACTACCTTCCTCTTTGCATTCTTATAAGCTCTTTGTTAGTATAAAATTTTCACTTCTTGGTTACATTAATTATAGATGCATGTATACTTTTTTTTCCCTAGAGAAGGCTATGGAAGCAACACCATTGAAAAATGCATCAAGAAATCTGTTTCTCAAGGGCAAGCTTGTAAAGTACGTGGCTACTCAAAGGTTTTAGCTTCCTAGTCAGCTTTTTGCAGGGAAATTCTGCTGCGAGAAGAAATTTTGTTAAGAGGGTTGAGATGGTAAAATAGATTTGGTATTTTGTATATTTATTTATGTTTATTTCGTGTTTAATATATGTAAAATATAAAAATTGTGTCTGTTTATTTTATATTTAATACTTGTAAAATATGATATAAAATATATATTTTTTAAATTTATATATAATTTTTGTTAAACTTTTAAATTATATTTAAATAATAGACATGCCTATAGGAAATAATTTTGTAGAGAAATGCAGGGAAGTTTCAGCAAACCAATACACATTTTCTTCCATTTCTCCCCCGACTCTGATAAATTAATCACAAAATTACGTACGTCCGAGATATAAATTCCTTCTCCATTCTCGACTCTGAATGAAAATGGATAAAAAAATAGTAAAAAAATTTAAGAATTAAAGATAAAAAATAGATACACGCGGCAGAAAGTAAGGGGGTTAGAAAGAAATCTGTTACTCTAAAAATGAATAAATAAAGAAAATCCAACGCCAATTCCAAAAAAAAAAGTCAGAGTGTCAGTTCATGAATCTATCCACCCACTTAAACTTTTCCAAAATTCCAATTTATAAAACCAAATATAAACTTTGCACGTCACTCTCTTTGGTCACTAACCTGATTTCCAAATCTATTTACGTGGCAAACCCTGCATTGGACCTTTTCACTTTGAGATATTTTTCTCTTTTAAAACTCCAATTCTTTAAGACAATTACTTGAGGCTTTCTTCTTTCTTACAAAGACAATAATAATGATCTAAATAATTGTTCCATCTTGTGATGTTTCAACGCTTTCTTTTTTCTTTTTAATTTTTGTCATGAGCTGACGTGCAGATTCTTTGGTTTAGTTTAATTCGTTTCTCTAACATTATCAAATGTTTCCTTTGCTAAAACGACACGTGTGCTTTCTCTATTTCTGGCATCCACTATTTTCGGTTTCTTTTCCTGTTTTTGGCTTCAGCTCTCTGATGATTGTAGTGTTTCAAAGTAGTAAGCAACTCCATCAGTCTTGCACTTTCTTCTTGTTTTACTTGTTCTAAACTTCTTTAACGTGTTCTTTCAAGTAAAATTTGCCTACTAGTTTCTATGTTAGTGTTCCGAAATACTTTTGACAAGTTCTATATAGAGCTATCTGGAGCTGGAACAGCAAAGAAAGATTAGTTTGTAACTCAGCTTTGCCTCTTTAACTTTGGTTGGTTGAAGGGTGTCTTGGAAAGTTGAAAGAAACAGAAGAAAAAGAGAGAGAGAGAGAGAGAGAGAGAGAGAGAGAGAGAGAGAGAAATGCCAAGCTGCATGAGGTTGAAATGAGTTGCATTCAGATCCAGGGAACCAGATTTTGATGGTTTTTTTTTTTTTTTTCTGGTCTTTTCTATTAATATTATATTTTGAATAAGTTTATCATGACCCCATGTGATTTTACTTCCTTGAATTTGTTAGGGTAGGAACATTTGTATGATTTTCTTCATAGTTGCCTACGGATCAAACTTCAAAAGGGTTGGTCAAAAGGAAGAAAGGGAAGGTTTTCTCCTATATCTTCTAGCCCCGTTGGATCGTTTTAGGCAAAGAAGAGTCCAGATATGAAAGTTGTATTTAGGCTCTAGAGAGAGGCATCCAAGTGTAGGTTTAATTTCACTCTGTTTTCCCTGGCTTTATTTGGTTGCCAATTTTCAGTTCTTCTTAGTTTCTGGCCTTCTGAAATTCATGCAATAATGCTCAGTAGGTAATTTCATTTTTTGGATAACATATGATTTATCCCTTTGTATGACACTGATTGAGAAGAAGGAAAAAGTAGCTTGAAGAGTGATAGCATTGCACGATTTTGAAAGGTTCAGAGGTTAGAGCTAATTTTTGCAGGTAAAAATAATGGAGGAGATATCTACAGCAATAGCTGGTCCCTGTGCGGTTACGCTAGGTGACGTGATGTGTAATGATTCGAGAACAATGACACACATGGACGTTGCTGGGTGTAAGCTTATTGCGGAGAAAGCAAGTTTGTTGTCACCCCCTGAGAACCAGCCAAATCAACCTTGCAAGTTCATTTCTGGTGGAAACCAAGGTTTCCTTGGTGCTAGTTCATTCAGAACATTAGGTAACAGCGGAGATAATGGAGCCATTTTGTCAAATCAAATTGAAACCGACGATAGTTGTATTTCCGGAGTATACAATCATCAGGGAAATGAGGAGGATGGATCCATATCTTTCGGTGGCGATCATGAAAATTCATGTTCTCAATCCGTAGCCAGTGATATCAGCGCCATATCTGTTGAGGAAGTTTCAGCTTCAGAGGTTAATTCTGAGAGAAATTCGTCAACTACTCAGGTAGGGGAAAGAAATACTAGTGATGTTCAAGATGTGAAGAAGGTTGCAGTGGATCTTGCAGGGGATGATGGCAACAGGTCTGATGAGTCTGATCCAAAGTCATCTGAGTCATTTCTTGAGGTGCCACAACAAAAGAAGATAAGAAAAAGTGAAAGCCAGAGTCTTTTTGAATTAAATAACATACCCCTTTGGGGATATGCATCCATGTGTGGTAGGAGGCCAGAGATGGAAGATGCTGTTTTGGTTGTACCTCGATTTTTGCAAGTTCCTCCACAAATGATGGAAGCTAAGAGCCTATCAAATGTAATGAATCACAGTCTAAGCGACTTAACTGCACATTTCTATGGTGTGTACGATGGACATGGAGGCTGTCAGGTATGCTTCATGGCCTCCCCCCTGCTCTGTTCTCTTAGTTTGTATCTTTCTATATGTGGAAATAGGACTCTCATTGCTCCACTGGTACTCTGTGTGTGTTTTCAAGTTGGTTTATTTAATCAAGAATATTTCTTTGCATAGGTTGCAAAGTATTGCCATGAACGTATGCATTTGGTTTTGGGTGAGGAGATAGAAATCGTAAAAGCATGTATTCATGATGGAAAAATTGGGCACGACTGGCAGGAACAATGGAAGAAAGCATTCTCCAATTGTTTCGTAAAAGTCGATGCCGAGATTGGAGGAGTTCATAGAGGCACCGATCGTGAACCTGTTGCCCCTGAAACTGTCGGTTCTACTGCTTTAGTTGCAATTGTTAGTTCAACACATATAATTGTTGCCAATTGTGGCGATTCAAGGGCAGTTCTCTACCGTGGAAAACTTCCCATGCCATTGTCTGTAGACCACAAAGTGAGACATGAGACATGTTTTCCTATTTTGAGATTTCTTTCCATTGGACTAGTAAATCAAAGACATTGATGCTCATTATTTACCTCTTTTACAGCCTGATAGAGAAGATGAACGTGCAAGGATAGAAGCTGCAGGAGGCAAGGTCATACAATGGAATGGATCTCGTGTTTTTTGTTTTCTTGCAATGTCAAGGTCCATTGGTAGGTGTTGTTATCAATTTCCAATTTGATTTGTAATTCTAAATCATTTGATTATCACCTTTTATAATCCTCAGGTGACAGATACTTAAAACCATGGATTATTCCAGATCCAGAAGTGATGTTTGTTCCTCGAGCAAAAGAAGATGATTGTCTTATCTTAGCCAGTGATGGCTTATGGGACGTCATTACCAACGAGGAAGCCTGCGAAGTGGCACGAAAACGAATTCTTCTTTGGCATAAAAAGCATGGTGGTAAATTGTGTTCAGAAATGGGTGAGGGAGTTGACCCTGCTGCCCAATCTGCAGCAGAGTACCTCTCAAGGCTTGCTCTTAGTAAAGGAAGCCAAGACAATATCACTGTCATTGTGGTGGACCTAAAAGCTCAAAGAAAATTTAAGAAGAAAACCCAACAGTGAGCTCTCTTGTAAAATTTTTGACATTTTGTTGTATCCTGTCGAGAGGATTCTTCTGTTAAAACGATTGTAACAAGAACATTAGTTACACCAACACCTACTCAGTTAGTAGAGTTAGCTCATCTTTTCTTGCTTGGTCAATACAATTACGTGATGATTGTTTCACTGAAAACTCCTCCGGAGGGGCAACCATCAAGAAAAGAAAAATCAGGCAAATGACTTGACAGCGTGCTGGCTCAGTCAACACTTGGCTTGGCACACCTTATTCATGAGCAACCAAAATTAAATTGTGTAATGATATTATATTTTTAGTCTGACATGTTATTTGTTCAGTCTGAACTCTGCCAAAAAGAAGGGGGAAATTTTTGACAGTGTTGGTTTCACTTCAAAATTGCAGCCATGTTAAGTATTGAGTGCAACTCAAGCATGAATTGTTCCGTCATCTTTAAGCACGTAGATTGAAACTACATTTTCTTTTCAAGAATATAAAGAACTTCAAACACAATTGTTCGCTCAAAACATTGCAATGACGGCAAGCATATTGATTCAAGATCATAAGGTAAATCAAATGCATTAACAATCAAAGAATTCAATCTTTTAAAGGCAAAAATCTAAAAATTATGACAAGATAGGAGTACCTTGAACTTTCTTTATATAATTTCCTTGCATCGGGACCTGGGCACAAATGACAACATCAAAATCATGGCTCTGCCTGTGGAATTCATTGCTAACTTTCTTCAAGAGGTTGGGTTTTTCCAACACCTCCGATTCCACATAATCTAATAATTCTAACGATTTCATTCTCAATGCATTTCCCAACCCTTTCAACTGCACAGTCTACGCTAACAGTGTTTTCCATATGCCACTCAGGCATCAGAAGCCGCATGTGTGGACTGGCAACCTCACCACAGTCGCGGAGTCTTAATAGAGAAGTTCACCCTTATGCAGTAGGACCATCTCAGAATCTATCTTCTTAACGATTCGCTTCCCAATCTTGCAGGTGGACTTTGTTAGAACAAACGCTGAAAAATTATAATTATTATTTTTGGTAAATATGGAATTTTGAGGAAAGGCTCTAGTGAAACGGTGCTATCTTTTTTAAGATTTTATTTAAGGGTTACAGCCAATAAACTTTGATAATACAATAAAACCTAATGATTAATTATATTTTGTACTGACAAAATTAATTCATTAAGTAATCACCGGTATATCATAAAATCATTGAATTTTTATATAGATTTTTTACAATAAAATTTTTATTAAAAAAATAATTTGAAGTTTTTTTTTAAAAAAAAGAGTTTCAAGAATTATTTCTATGTATTTTTAGAAAACCAAATGAGTCTTTTATAAACAGATAAGTGTTTCTTTCGTACAGACATGACTATCTATTTTGAATAGACAAAAATTATATGATTTTGAATAATTGAAACTGTTTATTTTGAATAGACTTATCTTTCTATTTTGAACAAACTTAACTATTCGTTTTTATTTTTCTTTTTCAATGTAGGATTATTTCTCAAATTTTATTTTAAAAATTTTTAAAAATCTTCCACTATTTTCAAAATAATCCAGATTTGTGATGACCTTAGAAATTAATTGCATAAATGAAAGTATCTTCCGATTTGAAACTTTATTTAGTGAAAACAAATTAAAGTTAACCAAAATCGCATGATAAACTATGCTTTGAACCAACTATTCCATTTGGTTAATTGAACTTGTCTTATACAATGATTTCAACACCCAATGAATATTTGGTATTCGGTGACACATTTATGGTCATGTGTCTACATCCTTTTTTCATGAGTGCTATTAGAGCCAAGCTCTTAAGCTCCTAGAACTGGCCACACTTCACACTCACGTAGGTAGCTCCCATCAAAAGTTTTTTTGCAACTATAACACTTTAACATATTTATGTTATGGATCTATTAAGAGTATATTACTCATCCTTTCTTTACCATTATAGAGACCTAACACTTTACCTGGGATGGTATTAAATATTATTATAGTGCTAGCAGTCACATACAGATGATGTACTTTGTCTCATTGAACTCAAGACTTGACATTATACCAAGTGTTGATTTGAGTTTTTATCATGGATGACTTTACTTTATAACCTTAAGCCCTATCCCTATTGAAGTCGTTTTTACCAATTTTCTAGTAAGATTTTTGGTTAAAGGATTTACCAAGTTTTCATTTGACCTCACATAATTTATAGTGATCACTCCATCTAAAATTAATTATCGAACATAACCATGTCTTAATTCAATATGTATAGACTTTCCATTATATACTTGGTTATATGCCCCTGCTAGAGTTGCTTCACTATCATATTAAATAAAAATTTAAAAAATTGGTATAGCCCATAAAGGTACTTTATAAAATAAATTTCTTAGCCATTTAGTTTCTTTAACTACTGCGGCTAATGCAATAAACTTGATTGCCATTGTGGAATCTGTAATGCATGTTTATTTCTTGACACCCTAAAGAAATGGCACTCATACCAAATACAAAGATCCACCTACTTGTAGAAACATGATCTTTCATATTAATAATCCAACTGGCATCAGAATATCCTTCTATAACTTAAGGATATTCACTGTAACACAATTCATAATTGATTGTTTTCTTCAAATATCGAAGTACTCTTTTAACTGCTTGTCAATGCAAGTTACTTGGATTACATGTGTACTTACTCAACTTTTCAATAGCAAATACTATGTCTGGCATTGTATAAGTCATTGTATACATCAAACAACAAATTACTCTTGCATATTGCAATTGATCGATTATTCTACTAGTATTAAATATTAATTTCAATTGAGAATCCGTGGGTGTAGACTAGAATACAACAAAAAAGATCAAACTTTTTAAATACTTTTTTAGTATAATGCGATTGTGACAAGATTTTACCACTGTCATTACGGATTATTCTAATTCCAAGAATAATATCCGTTACACCCATATCTTTCGTTGAAAAGTTATTGATAAAAATTTTTTTGCTTCTTTAACTTGTTCTGAATCAATGCCAAATATTATTATATCATCCACATATAAGCAATTAGAATTCCTTTGTCATTTTCAAATTTGTTATATATGCACTTATTTGACTCATTAATTCTAAAACCATTAGTAAGAACGATTTCATCAAACTTTTGATGCTATTGTTTTGGTGCTTGCTTAAGTCCATGCAAAGATTTTACAAGCTTAGAAACCTTATGCTCTTGACCTAGAATGATAAATCCTTCCAGTTATTCTAGATATACTTCCTCTTCTAATTCATTATTTAAAAATGCCATATTTCCATCCGTTTGATGTATAATCAAATTATAAATTGAAGCAAATGAAATTAAAAGCCTAATTGTAGCAATTCTACCTACTAGAGCATAAGTATCAAAATAGTCTATCCCTTACTTTTGTGCAAAACCATTGGCTACCAACCTTACTTTGAATTTATCTATGGTTCTATCCACCTTCATTTTTTTTTTTTGAAAATCCATTTACAGCCTATTAGATTAGAACCTGATGGAAGGTAAACCAAAATTCAAATGTTATTTCTCATTATTAAGTCCATTTCATCATTTATTGCTTTTCTCTAAAAAAATAAAATCTTGAGACTTCATTATCTCTTCATATGTAACAAGATCAGACTCTACATTAAAACAATAAGAAATTTTATTGTTTATGCTTTCACCAGTCCCTTCCACAAGGAACATAAAGAAATTTGGTCTAAAATCTTTTGCCTTTCTAATCTTTTTGCTTGTCTTTATTTATTGACAAGATTCATCACTAATTTTAATTTATTCCAATGGATTTGGAATTTCTTTTCCACTTGTAGAATGAATTGCTTGTAGTTGTCTCCAAATAGATCAATTTTCATCAAAAATTGTATCTCTTAATTCAATCATACTGTTAATTAAAATTAAATCATTTGGTTCAATAACCATGAACCTATATGCTTTACTATTTTGTGCATATCTTATAAATATGCATTTTATTTCTCTTTCACCCAATTTCTTTCTTTTGGGTTCTGAAATTTTAATTAGAGCTTTACATCCCCAAACCTTTAACTAATTAAGATTTGGTTTTCTTTTATTTCATTGCTCATATAGGGTTATTTTTATTTCTTTCTTAGGAATTTTATTTAGTATATGACAAGCTATTAATAAAACTTCACTCCAAAATCTTTATCCAATACCAGAATATAAAAATATTGCATTTATCATTTCTATTAAAACCATGTTCGTTCTTTCAGCTACACCATTATGTTATAGTGTATAAAGAGTAGTAACTTGGTGGATTATTCATGTGGATTCAAAGTAACTTGGACTATAATATTCTTCACTCATATCCAACCTCAAGCATTTGAAAAAAGATTCATGCTGAAGTTTAACTTCAGATTTATATATTTTAAACTTATCAAGTACTTCATTTTTTGAATATAATAGATAAACATAATAATATCTTGTATAATTTTCTATAAATGTGACAAAATATTTCTTTCCAGATAATGTAAGAGTGTTAGGCATATCATTAACATCATTCTGAATTAACTCAAGTAACTTTGTATTTCTTTTAACCTTACAAAAATGATTTATGGTAATCTTAATCAATATGCATGTATTACATTTATTAATGTCTTGACTAAATTCAGGAATTAACATAAGCTTATTTATATCATGCAATTTTCTATAATTTAAATGACCTAATATATAATGTTATAAATATGAAGATTCAACCATGTAAGTAGAAATAACATTCTTATTTTTATTAATAATATTGAGTTTAAACATTCCTTTATACATATACCATTTCCCAACAAATTTTTTTTCTTTAGACAGCATAAATTTATCTGTCTTAAATATAAGTTTAAAATAAAATTTGTTCAATAGAATTCTAGACACAAAGTTCTTTGTAACTTCTGGTACATAATAAACATCCTTCAAAATTAGAGTTTTTTCAAAAATGAATTCAAGGTCAACAATCATTTTACCTTTGATTGTTGCTATACAAGAATTTCTCATCTAGAGGACACTGCCATATTCACTTGAATGTTGTGAACATGATTTTATCCTTGCATACATGTTTTGTTGTCCTAGAATCAACCCACTAAGATTCATCACTTTCAAGCATGTTGATATCAAAAATCATGACAACAAATTTTTCATAAGTATCCCCTTTTAAGGAATCATTTTTCTTCTTTGGCAACCAACATTCTTTTTTGAAATGTCCTAGCTTACCACAATGGTAACATGAACATTTCTTATTCTTCTTGAATTTAGGCTCATTAGCAATCTGCTTGAACTTGAACTTCTTTTTATTAGGCTTTGTAGTCTATTTTTCCTCCAAAACATGAACTTTGGCATCACCAAAATTGAAATTTTGTTCTTACTTCTGTATTCCTTTTCAATTCGAAGATGATTAGCTAAAGCTATAAGAGTGATTTTCTCTTTTTTTTGTTTTAAACTTCTTTTAAAGTTTTTCCATGATGGAGAAAGTTTCTCTATTACAAATGACACAATAATTGTTTTATTCATACTCTGTTTAAACCAATTAAGCATTCTTTCAATTTCATGTAGTTGTTCAATCACAAAACGTTCATCAACTATATGATAATTATTGAAATGACTAATGAGAAACTTCTTAGTTGTTGCATCCTCAGTCATATACCTAGTCTCCAATTTATCTCATAATTTTTTTACAGTAGTCTCGTTGTGGTATGTATCAAACAGGCTGTCAAACAGACCGTTCAGAATATAGTCTTTACACATATAGTCTGCATTATCTTATTTCTGCCTCTATTTTGTTGCAGCAATAAATTCTTTTGTTTCATTTTTTTTTTGGCCTAGGAATAGGTAGAACATATCCAATCTTTAAGGTTGAAAGCAGGAAATTTATTTTCTTCCTCTATCTTTGAAAATTACCACCGTTAAAATGATCCAATTTGACAAAATGAGAAGTCAATTCCTTGAGCGTTGTTTCAATAGCCATTATTGAATCGAATAAAACCTTAAGATTATTAGAACAAACACTGAAAAATTGGAATTATCATTTTTGGTAAATTTAAAATTTAAGAAAAGGCTCCAAAGCGTGTAACAATGCTACTTTCCTTAAAGTTTTATTTTACTCTATCATATTATTTACTTAGTAGGTGTGCAAAAGGGTTGTAGGAAATAAACTTTGAGGATATAATAAAGCACAATAATTAATTGCATTTTGCACTGACAAAATCAATCTACCAAATAATCACTAGTGTATCACAAGAACACTGAACTTCTATATAAGTTTTCTGTATCAAAACTTTTATAAAAAAAATCTGAAGTTTTAAAGAAAAATAGAAAGTTTCAAGAATTATTTTTATATATTTTCAAAAAACCAAAAGAACATTTTATAAACAGATATGTGTCATTTACTATAAACATGACTTTTTATTTTAAAATTATTTGTTTTTGAATAGTTAAAACTATTTATTTTGAACAAATTTATCTTTCTATTTTGAAGAAACTTAACTATTTTTTTTTTTTAATATGAGATTATTTTTCATATTTTATTTTAAAAATCTCTAACAGACTTTTAGGTTCTTGGGCAGCAAAGTCCGACAGATTTATTTTGCAGTTCCTGATCACCTTCTTGAAAAATTACATTTACTTCATTATCCATGGCTTCTAGTTCACAATTTTTGAAGACTTTCTTGAAGTTCTGGATACAGGCCACATGCATGGAACTGCAACTCTACAATCGAGTTCCAATGTCCAATATTGGGCTCAGGGTACTTTTTCTCGAATCAGAAAGCAACATAGGGAATGCAGTGCAGCTACTGGGAAAATTCTCTACTTTTATTTGACGCGCTTGTCAAAAGAACGCAGCAAGTTGGAGTCAAAGAATGCGACGCCTGATGGTTTCAAAATTGTCAAAATCGGATATAAGAACGAAGTTCACCAATGGCCCGCCGGCATATATATTTTTTTACCAAAGCCATATAAATGAAATACTGTCATTTTAGTAAAGTTTAGATTAATCAAGTCACACACCACGGGGATAACGTGAGTGACCACTGTTTTCAAAGGATATACTTTTTTTAAAAATATTTCCAACTCCCCAATCAAATTCATCACTGCTTCCCCCACAATGTTTTAGCGAAAATAACAAGATATTCGTCATTTTCCACAAAGTTTAGACTTAGATTGGTCACTTGCACAATAAACAAGGAAAGCAAAAAAAAAAAATGAAAACACTCCATTTTCCAATCATATTCGTCAGCTTCGTCACTGCTTACCCACAAACTCAACAGCAACGAAGTTTGATCTGGTTACTCCTAAATTGTTTTTGGTTTTCTTCTTCATATCAGATCTTTCATTTTTTCATGTCAGCAGGAGAAAATTATGGCGTCAATCTTGGTTTCATCAAGAAAATTTGGCAACTCCCTTATTGTTGACAAATACGCATTATCAATAAGCCAGCGTTGTGCTTCCAGCCGGTTGTTTAAAAAATAAAATGCTGCTTGTTTGCAAAGGCAGTGCTTAAATTCAACAAGTCCCTCTTTGCCATGCCCACCACCCCCGTTCTATATTATACATGAAAAAGGGGAAATGAAAAATAATCAGCCGACAATCATATCCCTACCTGCTTGCTAGCTCAGTCAGAGTAAGCTTTCCCACAGCATACCATCATCAAATAGTGGACTGGTATCATATTTTGCATTTAAGCAGATAGCTCTTGAAAGAAGGGATTTTTCTTTATGAACAGACAATGCAGATAGATCTAACAGTCTTATAGGGTATGGTAATACATCCATGGTAGTTCAGTTGTTGGAAAGATTTTCAAACTATTATTCATTGAAGAATCAACCAGATTACAAAAAAACTGACTGTAACAATACGGATTAGTTATCAGATGGTTAAAGGACCCGTAAACTTGCCAGAACTTAATGTCAACCTATTCTCTTACCAAATCAAGTGCATGCACTATGAGTCTATGATAGGTTCCATAATCTTAAACAGAATTAATGCAACCGAAACTCAACTAGGCAAGTAAAAATTGTCACTTTCCTTTATCTAATTTAGTAATTTCAGGAAGTTTATAAAATTGTTCTTGATATATGACAGCAATAAGCTGTACCTCACACTCCCAAGTCCTCTGGCAAGAAATTTTTTTATAATCTTTGATGCTTAACTTGGGCCTCGCCATCACAACAGCCGCTCAAATAAGTATAATTCAGTCACAACGACAACTACAAATGTTCCATGCTTCTACAACTTTGGGTTCTGTTGACATTCTTTTGTCTGACAGGATATTTGTTCAGTCCGAACTCTGCCAAAAAAAAGGTGACAGTGTTGGTTTTGCTTTAAACCACACCCCTGCTAATAAAAATTAATTACAATTCAAGCATGAATAGTGCCTAACTGCCTGTCACTTTTAGGCACATAGATTAAAAGCTACCAAAATGAATAATTATTTTTTGGGAAAAAATTCAAAAATATCCTTTAGGGAAAAAATAAAGTACTTCAACCACAGTTCACAAAACACATTGCCTGAGCAGCACACCGTATGATCAACATCATAAAGCAAAATATATGCATTAACAATCAAAATTTTCAATCTTTTAAAGGCAAAATGCTAACAAATATCAAGTCCACCATCATGACAAGGTAGATAGGGACAACATCTGTACGGGTGCTTAGAAGTTAGAAACACTAGACCTCTCAAGTAGAATGGAATATGTACCTAGTATTATGCAAGAAAAGATTGGCAAATCCGGAAGAAAGAATGAATGATGCCGTATTCTATTTAGCCCAGGGTATACACTTAGGTAATAGTTGTTAGAATTCATCACAAATTTCATTATTAGTACCCAAAGCCAATAACAACTTTGCTTATATTAGAGTCTTTCTTGTTTTGTTTTTCTTTCTTTTACTTATTTTTCTAAGATATCCAAGGCTTCCAAAAGCAATAAAAGTATTTCTTAGATTCTAAATAAACAGAAACCTAGAAAAGAAAATGACTAAGAGTTACATTATGCTTTAGATCTGAAGCAAAGACGAGATCAATTTAGCGAAAACAAGTTTTTCAACAGATAAGCAGCAATCCTGTGACCAGTCCGGCATTAAAGCATGTGAACTTTAATTCCAAAGGCAGAGTCCTGAAGTAATACACGGCAACCCCATAAGAGAAAATTATGACACCAAATCCAAGGATAGACATACCACATAAGTTCTAAAGTGTTGCAAGTGGTGATCCTGCATTGTTAAAGTAAGATGAGAGGTCCACATCCAAGTCATCATACATGTACAAGAAAGGCTGTGCCTGCACTCACATTGAAAATCATATGTGAAGCACCATTAACAGATATTTAATTGACTTTCTATATTGCTCAAAAATAAAGTGACACAGAGGAATGCAGATATTTACATACCAGCAGTTCATGTGCTGACTTTCTTTCTTTTGGGTCTTTCTTTACACTGCCATGGATAAAAGAACCCAAGGCCAGGATTGGTAAGCTCGTACTATCAAACAATTCTATAAAATCCAAGTGACAAAAAAAAAAAAAAGAATACCAATTGCAGAGGCTATCTCTCCAGAATTTAAAAAAAAAAAAAACAAATTATCTATTTTTGACAGAATACCAATTTGAAGAAAACTCTTACTTAGCAAAAAAATGAATAACTCATTATAGTGCAAAAATATTCTAGAATATCTTTTTAGGCAAGTATATCAAGTAACTCATTCAAAAAAAAAAAAAAAATCTTTACCATGCAGAAATAAATGAGCAAAACTCAGGAGAAAATTGCTCAGAAGGTGCACAAGGTGGTGGTTGTTCAACAATTTGTTCCATGAGCTCATAAAAATTAGTCCACCCTTCTGGCTGCTCTGGTGGGGAATATGGGAATTTACCAGTTGCACACTCAAGCAACACTAGCCCCAAGCTCCAAATATCACTTTTATTGCCATAATCGCCACCAATAATTCTCTCAGGCTACAAAAGAAGTAAATAGACATTAAAAAACCAATAAGTTTTGAACAAATAAGAATAAAATACACCTTAGCCACCAAAACAACATTATTTTGGTACAGTAAATTACTTACAGACATATAGTTGTATGTGCCAACAAAAGTGCTTGCTAGACCTGAGGTGCTTGTCATTATTGCACTCACACCAAAGTCAGTGATCTTGACTTCTCCTCTATGATTTATTAACAAGTTAGATGGCTTTAAGTCTCGGTGGATAATATGTTTTTCATGATGAAGATACATCAAACCCTTCAGCACCTACATAATGAGAAGAATTTCAAAATGCATACCAGAACATCTGGTACATACTCTAATTAATTCAAAGTTCAAATGTACCAACCTGCTTACATATTGCAGCAAGATAGGGCTCGAGAATCGATTTAACCTTTTTCAGAAAATCTGCTAGGGATCCACCATCCATATACTCCAAGATGATTGAAATGGCACCATTGTTATAGAAAGACTGATAACACACAACAACATATGGACACTGAGAGGATTGATTTATTTTCAATTCCTTTGCAATCTGCTTGCGAGCTGACTCCTCAATAGTCATTTGAATAATCTGATAAAAGAAGACATGTCAGAAATAAGATATTGTGAGAACAACACAGAGATGCAAGACTAAAAAAAAGCATTATTGCTAAAATGTTTATTTCGCTAGCTCCAATATTTAAAAAGGAACAAAAATATCTGTTTTAGACAGATGGCTTCTATCAAATCAAGAAAGGCTGAGCATGCATTATTAATTCATAATGTAGCCAACAACAGCTGCATTTCTAAAACAGGAACAGATCATGATACATCTGTCAAGCATGATGTAAGAGAGATTTTTTTGTCATCATTTACCATGATCAAACCTATCAATAAGTTTCCAAGAATCAAGGCCTTGACTTGACTTGACTTGACATTGGTAAATAAATAACTTCACCCACAGAATTCTGGCACTTTAATTATATGACAGACTAACCACTGAAATTATATTTTTGTAACCTAGAGCATCATCGAATTTAACTCGAAATAGAAAAATCAAAGGTTCAAGGAACTAACTTCTGTTATCTGCTCCCAACAAGACAAGGTTCCAACATTCAAAAATTGTAATTTCATTACCCTAGAACTAATATGTATAAAACCATGAAATGTTGATGAAATGGCAATAATTCTTGCTTAACAAAAAAAACAAAAAAACAAAAAACATGAAAATACAGAAAGTGTTAAACTTGGCACTTGGATATATACCTTCAATGCAAAAAACTGGCCAGTCCATTTGTGTTGGACCAATTGCACAATTCCACCATTACCCTTGCCAATTACTTTAATCGCATCGATATCTTCTAAATTCAACTGATTATCCGTGTCAGTTTCTGACGGCTTAATAGGCGGAGGCTAAAAAAAAAAACAAAAAACAAAGGCAAAATAATTAAGATCTTTGCAACATGAAATTTTTAAAAATCAAACTTAATAAAAGAAACAGATTTCATCAATTGGCAATATCTTTGTAGTAAAAAGCAACCTAAAGATACATAGAAAGTGAAAGAATCTGAACAATGAAAAACATTTCAAAAAAAAATGCAAATTCATTGAAAGAAAAAAATTTTAAAAAAAAAAACCCTTACAGCTCCAGGTTCATATTGAGAGACAATTCGAACTCCATCTTTGTTGACGAGGAGATCACCGTCTTTGAATGTACCACTTTCGGTTCTGCCATGAAAATTCATCAAAAAAATCAAGAAAAAAAAGTGGAAAATTAGAACGAGTGGCCGTAATAATTAATTATCATTACAGAAACTTGGCGAAGGAGATCTCTGCCGGAGGAGGAAGAGAGAGCTTCAAATTAGGGTTTAAAATCCCTTTTCCCTTCTCAATCATTTTTTCTTTCTTTTTTGCTCTCTGGTTTCTTGAATGGGTAACAGTCGGTCTTGGTTTTTAGTAAGCGTTTTAGATTTAGATTTTATGGAGAAAGAGAAAGGATTTTTTATTTTTGGTTTTAGGGCTTTCTTTAAGTATATTTTTTAATAGAGAAGAAAACTAGTGCCGAGTGTTTTTATTGTGGGCAAAGACAGAGACAGAGACAGAGACAGGAGAGAGCAGAAGCCAGTCTTTTCCATAATAACATAACAGCCAAGAGGAAGATAACTCGACTTCCCGCTTACTTTTCTTCATTTTGCCCGCGCGTCTTTCCTTTTTCTCTCTCTTCCCTTTTAGCTGTCTACTCTTTATAAATTTTTTTACATATTTTTTATATAAAAGTAAAATCCATAATTTTAAACATTATGTAATATAAAAATGATAAAAATAATATAATTTTAAATTTTAATAAAATTTATATATAAATTTAATAAAAAATAAAATACAAATTTGATATTTAATATGTCTATATAAATTATAACATGATAATTTTTATATTTTAAATATTTTAATTCAAAATAAATATAAATATATAAATTTTAAATTTTATATCAAAATAATAATCTAAAATTTTAAAAAAATTATAAATATTAAAATTTAAATTTTAGCTTATTAAAATTTTTTAAAATAATTATATAAATCAACTAAATTAAATATTAAATTCATTCCCTCTAAATTTTGAAATGCAAGTAGCATTAGAATTTATAAGTCTAAGATAAGAAACAACCTTAGTCATTGTTCATGTGAAGCGGTAGTTGTTGAAAACTTGCATTACCAAACAGTTCGGACTTCATAGTTTAGAAAGAAACTTATTAAGTTTATTTTTCACCTTTTCACATTGGATGGGTGGATGAAAGCATCCATTTTTCAAATATATATATATATATATATACGTATAACAAAAGGAAGAAAGCAGGGAAAGTTAGCACACAGGTTTTTACTGAAGCTGGTTAGGGACGGCAATTAAGTCCGTTCCGACGGATTTCAATCCGATCCGATCTTTTAGGATTGAGTTTTTTTTTTTTTTTGAATTTCGGGTCGGGTCGAGTCGAGTTCGGATATGCCTAAAATTCGATTTTATCCGACTCGATATTATTAAAAAATTATTTTTTAATTAATTAATTATTTATTTATATATATTTTTATATAATAATATTTTTAAATATTTATATTTTAAAAATAATATTTTATATTTTAAAAAATAATATTTTATTAATTTCAGGTCGAATCGGATCGAGTATGATTTACATATTATCGAGTCTGATCGGATTTGAGTATTAAAAAAATTCGGATCGAATCGAGATCGAATTTGATAAAAGCATAAAATCAGGTCGGGTTCGAAGCGAGTAAAACCCACCTTAAACCCGATCCGATGCCATCCAGCATGATTGACCATAGTTTTTTTTTTAATTAAAAAAAAACATTTTTCATTCTCCAATCAATTTCTTCACTGCTTGCTACCATGATCAGTGTGAAAATAATAAGACATGATTATATTATTTTTCCACAAGGTTCAGGTTGATCGCCGGTAGATGACAAAAATGAGAGATAGAAACAAGCCCTTTATTTAAGCAATGCAATCCAATTTGTATTCAACAACGGGTTAAATCTAATTCGATTTTTTAGCATTGAATTTTTCTTTAATTAGATTTTGAATTGAATTAAATAATAATAAAAAAATTTTAAAATCGAATCAAAATTTTAGACAAATCTATTTCATTTTGATTCGGTATATATAATTTATTTTGTTAATTAATTATTTAATTTTATATTTATATTAAAAATAATATTTTATTAATTTTAAATTAAATTAAATTGAATATAAATTTTTATAATATTAAATTAAATCAAATTTAAATATTAAAAAATAAAAAATTATTAAATTAAATCAAATTCAATTATTATAAATATAAAACGGATTGAATTCGAGATTATTAAAAACTCACTCTTATTCGATCCGACTCGACGGTTATCTTCCCTAATTCTATTTTACTCCTTTAATTTCAATTGACAACGAGCTGCATTGAATACTGACAAGTTTTTTTTAGCTGGCTGGTTGTTGACTGTGGAATTCAAAGTCAAAACCCAAGGTCTTTGGCCTTTTTTAGCCATTTTGAACGTGGCTTAATGTTGACGGCTAGTTTGGATTCCATTTAACGATAGTGCCATGGAATTCATGCCTTTTTGGGGACCAGTTGTATCATAGAATGCATTGGCACGGTATTTTACAGTACCGTAGTTGATTCCAATGTCTTTTTAGTCTTCGGCTGAGAAGAGTCAAGTGAATCACATTTTAGGCAGTAGATTATCATGTATAAGGAGTTTATAGTTTTAATGTAAAATTAAAAATAAAAATAAGAAAAAATTTTCAATTATAAAACGACTGTCATTAATGTAATAATCAATTATCATTATCAATCTCGTATTTGTATCAAACATATATTTTTATTACAAATTTTAATTTTATTATTACAATATTTATTTTTATCTAATATTTTTAAATCACACCAAAATCAATCTTAGCTCCGTCCAAACAGACACGAGCCTCTTACTCTGTGGCAAGGATAAGATCGTATTTATGGCGATTCACATGTAGGGATATGTACCAGCAGACTTGGAAAGTTACTGAGCAGTACCAGGTAGCTACCAGCTAGCCTGGAAGCAGCAAGTGCTAGCAGGCAAATAGCAGACTTGCTTGGAGGGCCAGGCAATTTGGTAGTTACGGTTTCTTGTTGCCCATAAATTGTTTTTGTTTTTTCTTCTCCCTATCAAAATTTATTCTCTCATGTCGGTAGCAAAAATTTGTTTAGCAATCCTGGTTTGGTTTCATCAAGCAACTCCGGAAAACTCGAGACTTGTTTAGCAAATACTCGATAAGCCAGCGTTGATTAAGGCACTTGCAATAACCACAAGGGAGAAACTGCTCGATAAGCAAAACTGCAAACTACGAAGCACAAAGTGCACCCAGAATCATGAACAGTTATAGCTAAAAGGAAACAGGAAAACCTTAGATGCAGTTATTGCAAGTTTATAGCAATCGCGTTCTATAGATTGTACAATGAACCTGCTTGAAACCTGCCAAACATCAAATCTAATAATCTACCATGAATGGATATGGAACCACTTGGCTCTCAGCTCTCCGTGGAATCCCGTATCCCTGAATCTGTTTTTGATAATAGCAGAGAAGGTACCTAATTTTGACTAAAACTCTCAAAAAGTGGCAACACTTTTCCATTTCGCTGCCTGCCAACATGGGAGAAACACAATCTCTATCTACGTGCGCAATTCTTAGGAGGAATCCAATGGATCTCGCCTCTGAATAGTGAGTCTGATTCATATGAATGATAAGTGGATTTGATATTATTGGCTTAAGAAATTAATGAAGGGCTCCCAAGCCTGAACCCTTTCATTGAATCATCGACTTGGTTTCCCCGCCTTCAAAGAGAATATAGTCAACGGGCCTTTACCAGAAACTTTAGCCCACTAAATATAACCAGACAGACGTACTTCTACCATGGCAACGACCTAAAATAAGTGAGCTAATACATTGCAAAATAAAATATGAACAAAGTTTGTTTTATCAGCAGATAAAAGAGAAAAAAAAAATAGAGTATGATTTGCTATTCAACTCATGTCGTCTAGAAATTGAAGCATTCTGAAAAAGAAATTAAAAAAAGAGCAAACATCAAGATAAATTTAATATTGTGAGCTCAATATTATGTATCACTTCCTGTAAGAAAACTATGGTATATACAACTGTGTTTCGAAATTTCATGAAAATTACAAACCCAAGACTGAAAACTTCTATCAGCTGCTGCAAACATCTTCTCACCATTTCCTATGATTTTACCTCAAACCCGCACGTTATGGTCAACATTCATATTCTAAGTGTCAATAATGTTGATGGAGAATTTAGATAGCAACTGTGGTACTCCTGATATTATCGGTCCGTATGTCTACAGAAATTAGAAGAGTAAGCAACATCTGAAACCCTGGTGAAAATCTTACACTATGAACAAACGAGTTCATAGCATAAATATGAGGACATCAAAATGAAGCTGCCATAAAAAGACGGTTATTTATTGATATCTGAAATGAACTTGTTAAAGTATCATCCAAAACATGGCAGTGAAATTGCATCAAATGTTATATAAAACACGATGGTATAGATTAGTCCTGATTGAATGTCCAAACAAGATATACTTATTCCAATTTGTAGTATTAACTTGTACCTTGTGATTTTCGTGAATCTGTGTCAGTGGAACCGCAAGCAATTTCAGGTTTTTGGGTACAATAAATTTTCGACTCTCTGGCAATCTCACCAGGAAGAGTTTGATGCACTCCTATAAAATGAGATTAACATAAGAACTGAGAAAGGTACAGCACTGCAGCAGAAGCAGTATCAATGTATCAACTACCTTAGGCTTTTTTACACTGGGTGGCAAGTAAGGATACAATAATGTTTCAAAGTCATGCCGCCACCACATGCCAAGACATTCTCCCACCTAAATATTTAAGAACATGAGAACTTTCGCACCAAGTCACAATAATACTCCAATATAAATAGGGGAAAAACTGCTTTACCTCCCATTCAGTTTCATTGCCATCTTCACTGGCAGAAAGCTTCCTGGAAAGCTTACGTCTCAGTCCATCAACATCTGGAAATTCAGCTCAATCTTAGTTCAGTGAACCCTTAGAAGAATGACCTGCGGCTCAAGGATGATTTACCTAACCAAATTCAAGTTTGTAAGACAGGTTAACAGAACCAGCAACTAACCTGATTCACCAGGCCTCAAACGACCACCAGGAAGCTTAAAGATGGAATTTCTAACTTGCAGCAGCAACAGATGAGGGTGTTTGAACAACTCAACCTGATTAAACGACATTGCTTAAAACATTTGTAAAACATAACTAATACATTCCCATGAGACTAATTTTGCAAGAAACCCACATAATTGTCTGGTCACAATTAATATGGTTGTCTTCTCACAACATTTCAAGTGGCATGCCATGTGGAAAACAATCTGCCATTTATTAACAGTCACATCTTAGGCCTATTCTAAACCTCCGGAAGCCACCTCTTTGCTAATTGACTAACAGTTTGCCAGAGACTGGAAGTCAGTTTCAAGATTTCTTATTGAAGAATAACTACAAAATAGCTCATACGTTTCAGCCTTGAACCAACTAAACTCCATAACTTTTAGACCTAATTCTTCAGTAAAATCCCCTTATATAGTCAATCATCAGTTATTACTAAGCACAGGAGACAGGACAGAAAACAACTTCTTGCTATACCTAAACAATGCAATTCCTTTAATATTAAACAATATGCAACATTTTTTTTATTCAATCAAAACTTCAAAACTATACCAATCAGAAGAAGAGTGACAAGATGAAGCCAATTCAGAAAGAGATTAGAGAAAAAGAACCAACCAGAATAACTGCTTCTACAGAAGTCCTCAATCCATAAGCAGCATAACTGGGGGAAAAAAGTTAAAAGTGTTAAACCCATAAAGATTTTGGCAAATAAAAAAGAACCGAATTGAATTTTACATTTAAAAAAAGAGATACGGTTAAGTACTTGGATTTCATCCTATTAATACGATCGGACAGAGTTTCATCCTTGAAAACAATGGCTTCTTTGGACCCAAAATAGTAACAACTTAGAGGGTAAATATCCACCTCTTTTCTATGATCAACGCTGCTACTATGATCGTTTACTGTTGCTGCTGCTGCTGCTTCTACTCCAACTCGCATGTGATCATCTCCCATCTCAAATATCCTAGTAAACTCAGGCTAGAGTACAGAGAAAAACGAGGGTGATGGAATTCTTCCTTTATAGATATAGAATAGGATAGAAGAGAAAAGAAGTTAGTGGAACGTGTCCTAAAAGCAGAGCATGCTCTAACTGTTTATTTGTTCGGTAATCAAGTGACATGGACGTGGCGTTCCAGAGACACCTGGTTCCTTACAAGACTAGAATTGTGGTCTGTATTGGAGAGTAGGGGCGGTGCGGCAAAAGCCGACAAACAAGAGTTTGGGTGTTCGTAATGGGCGGGCGTGGATAGTGGTGAGAAAAGAAAATTCGAAATTTGATTTAAAATTATAGTGCTTGATTTTTTTATTTATTTTATTTTATTTTATTTGAATTAAAATTAAATATTAAATATAAATTAATTTTGATTTTGAATTGGGGTGTGAAAATTTTTTAAAAATCAAATTATATATTTTTATTAATTTTTATAAAATAAAAATAATTATTTTATATATATAATTTTTTAAATATATTAAAATTTTTATTAAAATAATATATATAATTTAAATTTAAAAATTAATAAATTGAATTAAAAACTAATTTAAATTTAAATTAAATTTTATAATTTTATAATATTATATATTATTAAAAATATTAAATTCAATTTGATTCAATTCAATCAAAATTATTATCACCCCTAAACATGAAGACAAAAAAAACTTCTTTAGGTTTTGATATTTTCTGCTTTTGGTTTTAAAGTTGAAAAGTAATAATCAAAGAATTTATATTCCAAAATTTTATTAGAATTATTGTAACCTTTTCATAATTTTTTTTGGATGAATAACTTTTTCATAATTCTCATTCCTAAAATTAAATCGATTTATTTATTATTGAAATATTAAAATTTTAATTTTAATATTTAAAATTTAAATTTCTACATTTTTCAATAAATAAAAAATTTGAGAGTTCAACCTAATCCCAAAAAAAAAAAAAAAGTTCATTCTTAAATCAGGGCTAAATATCATAGTTTGAACTTTGACTGATCACAAATGCATTTTTCTTTCTACCGACCAAGCAATTGCATTGGAAAGCAATTAAATCACGGCTAAACAATTCTAATGCTAATAAAGTATTATTTTAATAATAAGAGAAGATTTTGAAACTTTGAAGTTTTAAATTAAAACTTTGTTGTACGTGAGTTTAATTATATATTTATGTTATAATTTATTAATTAATTATTTAGTGATATATTATATATAAATGTAATAATTAATTATAATTAAAATTTTTTATATATATAATTTCATTAAAAGAAAAAACAATGGGCTTCCATCAAACAGAAGAAAGTTTAGGCGCGTGGCTGGGAAAAACCAATGAAACAACAGTTTTCCCAACTTTCCAAATTTTTTGTCCCAATCGAACGCGTCCGATTCCTTATTTTTTGTTTCCCGACAGATGGCAGATAGGTTGTTGACGATGGATCTTGTTTTTTTTTTTTTTTTTTGATATTTCATAATTATTTTTAATCTCAAATAATTTAAAATTAAGTCAAATTAAATCTTATAAAAAAATTAATTCATTCATAAATTTTAAAATTAAAATTTTATTTTATAAAAAGCGAACTCTTTATTTTTTGAACTAATTGAACATTGTTTTTTAACTTCCACTCAAATCCACCACGAATTTGACAACGCAATATACTACGTCGTTTGATATCGGATTGTTTTCCAAGTGAGTTCTCATATATAAGGCTCCCTGGACAAGCAAAGCTCAATTTTAGGTTCGAGGAAGGCACTAATCCTCATCATGGAATTTCAATGACCTAACACATGGATACGGACATATTGTGACTTTCAAGCACACAAAAATATCGATTCATTCGAAGCTTTGTCACTGTCTCATTAATTTGAACCGCTAAAAATTTCGTTTTTTATTTATATCAAAAGAATTTCACTATTTTAATTTGTAAATGGATTTTTTATTAATTATTTAATTATATATTTGAACATAAATTATTATTTATTAATTTTTTATTAAATAAAAATTCATTATAAAAATCCGGTATAATATAAAAAGTATATGATCAGATTGATTTTAATTAATACTACCATTACCGTATATGTCTCGGTATTGTAATAAATTAGATTTAATAATTATAAATGTAATATTTGATTAATATAAAAATTATATAAAAAATAAAAATGATGTGTTTTAAAATTTTAATAAAAATTATATATAAATTAAAAAAATAAAAATATTTTATGTTTAATATTTTTTTATATAACGTAATATATAAATTATCATTATAATTCAAACAATGGAGATGTTAGAAAATATAGTGGAGATAACAAATTCTTTCTTGGTACTATAATAACTCAATCATTGCCGGAGGCGGAAACAAGTCTGCAAAAAAAAAAAAAAAATTGTCCAAATAAAAATGGTACCCCTTGGCTGTATCCACCCACCCCCCACCAACCAAATAAAACTTCAATAAGCCAAGAAACCCAGGAGTCAAACTAAAGGGTATAGTTGTCATTTTATACACTAATTGTCAAGGTAGCACTCAGTTAAAATGAATAATAATAAAAAAAGCATGTTTATTTTATTACAAGCAATGATAACGATAATAATAAATTAAGACAAGATGAGAAAAATAAAATCTCCTTTTCCGTAATTTTCCGCCATAATTATTTATCAAATAGAAGTCAATTTTTCGCTCCCTTATCCAACGGAGGAGACGATTTTCTTCTTTTCTTTCGCTTAACAAAATGAATATATCAATCCAAATCTTCACTCCTTATTTCTAGTTCTTCAAAGGCAAGTTTTTCCCTCTCTTTTCTTTTCTTTTGTTTTAAAGCTCTTTGAATTTTTTCTTATCTGATTGTTTAGGATTATGTGTTTTGAACTCCTTTTTTTTTTCTTGGATTTTTAGTTTAGATTCTGGTGCTGATTATTTCTTTTTATTGTTAAGTTTTTTTTTTCTTTGTTGTGGATATTTTTGTTTCCTCGTGTATATTTAACATTGAAATATGTCAGATTTGTAATTAATTACTATCTTGTTCATTTCCTATTCAATTTTCTGTTTTTTTTGTTCTTGGCAATTTTCTTTCTTTGTTTTCCCTAATGATTAATTGATAAATATATTCGTAAATGTTAGCAGTTATCGGTGGATAATTTCTTCCAATTTTTTTGTTGAAGTCATCAATTCTATCTGAAGATGGATCAAAGCAAAGTTTCTTAAAGGCATGATTTTGGATGTATTATTATTAGCTGCGGATTCTAAGAGCATGTTGACTCAGTTGAGAAATGTTTCTGTTTTTTAGTTCATAATTGGCTTCTAAGCAAGCTTGAGTTCATTGAATGTTGATTGTTCTTAGTATTTGTCTGCAAAATACTATGTCTGAAAACATGAGATCATGGATAGCAATTCATAGCTCAAAACTGAATCTAAGGTTCTTCTTTATCATCTGAAGCAGGAATTTTGGCTGTTGAGTATACACTGACGAGTTTTTCGCTGCAGACGCATCAGCTCCTGCACACATGGATCAAAGTAATCAATCTTTCTTTCTTTGTATTTACTAATTTCTCTCCTGAATATTCTCATTTATTAAGTCAGCCTAATAGTTGAAGAGAAGATTTGTATTTGTATAATGCTGTTTGATTACATCCTTGCCCTTCTTTGAGAAAAGCTCTTGTTTTTTTTCGCTTTTTGGAGACACTGGATTGTCTTATATAGCCAGTATAAGAGTCCATTTGATGCATTGATAATGAATTTTAACACTAAATAGAAATACAGTATGTCTAAGAATATTATGCAGCTGATAAGAGATGCCCTTGAAAAGCAAATACCATATAACCTTTTCCTAGGTGGATAAATAACTTGATTCGTAAGAACAAAAAGGGCAAATAATGTCATCAATAGTGTAGTTTCTTCAGCGGAATTGTATTTTTAAAGTTTTCTTCAGTGTTGGATGCTGTGAGTTAATTGGCTAAGTACAGCTTGTGAGTATATCTATGGCTGCTTATTTGGTAGGAATGAATTTGAGTTCAGCTAAGAGCAGATCTGCATGACCTATATTTTGCAGTTATCATATAGGCCTAAGCCTAACTGCCATATATTTCTTTTTTTCACTGCTCAATGATTGTTTGTTTGGAGAAATGCTTATATCTTGGTATATTGTTATAAACACAAATTGATGTGTTTAATCTGTTGAATAAGGCTAGATTACATTTAACACTAAAGGTTCTGACTTCTGATATTTGTAAGAAAATTTATCTTTTGATCACTAAAAAAAGTTATTTGGTTATTTAGACCTTCAAGTATGAACTCAACATCGTAGCAATAGGCCATATTCTTTATTGTTCTAGACAATCTGCCAGGAGTAGTTCATGTGGACCTTAAAGAGAAACAAAGCAAATGATTAGTCGAGAATTACTTTTCCTTGGCAATTGATGAATATGATAAATTAGATTCCCAACTACAGCATTTCTCAATGTCACAGGTGCTGCTGTCGAGGAGGCTGGGAATTTGAGAAACAGCCTTGAGGTTGCAAAAGCACTTTCCGATAAACATCTTGATCTTTTGAGGCCATCTGCTCGATACTTTTCAGTATTTAAAGGTAGTGACTCTATTAAAGCTAATTACATGTTCCTTCAGGGATTTTTGACCCATACCCTGCAGCAAAGAGAGGCAGAGTGTCTTTTCTGCTCCTTTGCTATACAATTCAACATTTAGTTTGCCACACTTTGCCATGTGATCCTCCACCAATTCAACATTATCTTAAAGCATCTTGTTGTTTATATAAGTATCTATGCGACCAACTTAGAGGTAAAGCTGTTATGGTAGGGCAAGCACCAGATGCAGCAGCAAAAGGCAAATACGCACTTATCAAAGATGAGGAGGACTTCCAAACAGGGATTTTTGACAAACCTCTTCCATGCTTTGGCTGTGGGATAGGATGGTTCTCGTGAGTACTTTTCACTGTTCTCCACGTGCCTGTTGCAGTTTTCCTATTCTCATGTTGTCTTGTTTGTTACAGCTTCCTGTTAGGATTTGTGTGTCCATTGATGTGGTACTATGCTACATTTCTATATTTTGGAAATCACTACCGTAAAGATCCTAGAGAGAGAGCAGGCCTTGCTGCTTCTGCAATTGCTGTAAGTACTCCTGGTCTTTGCCGCTTCCCCTTCTCCTCTCAAAAATAACTTCTTCATTAATCAAACAATGCTAATAATTCTATAATTACCAGAAAAAAAAATCAGTCGTAATTTCTGTCAGTTAAAAATCATTAGATTTCCATTTTTCTCTTACGTTTGAATTTTGAAATCATTGTTCGATAAAAGTATTACTTCAACTTATTTCTAAATAAATGCACTCATATCCTTTCAATCATACCAGTATATAATATACACTGCATGTCTTTGTTGTTACAGGCAATGGCATCCTCTGTTGTACTGCTGATCATAATAGTTTTTCTTTTATTTTCAACCTAATCACTTGGAATCGAAGTCTGCTCCGAACACCTTTATACATGTTGAGTTCAAACGAATTGCATGCAAATCAAATATTGAATGCTTGGGCCACAATGGACATGCAATAAGCAATATGAGAAACTGAGCCAACCTTGTCCCATCTGCTGAGCATTCTTGTAAAGACAACAGATCCTCTGAGAATCGTATCGTTTATAGGAATTCATACAAGAAATTACAGTTTGCCTTTGATAGAACCATGGAATTTGAGGCAATGTTTATTTGTAAGTAATTTGATGAGTTCATTAATGGAATAATTTGTTTCACTGTTGAATGTTGATACATAATGGCCTTTACCTAGAAATTTCAATCCTGTCCCCAGTGTGATTGTCATTGTAAGCTCGCCAAGATATTGGCTAGGCATTCGATGGAAAAGCAATAGCTGAAAATGATAGATAAATAAATAAATAAATAAAAGAAGCGGCTATATCTTCTCTGAGATTCCCTTGGGCTGAAAATGTCTAAACCTCAAACTTATACAGTGCTCACGTCCATTCATCAATATTCAATAAGCATTTATTAATACGTTAACGCTCGAAGTCAAGAACCAGCTCCAACTTGATTCTCAGACAAAAGGTGGAAACAAATGACTGGCCCTTTCAACAACAACAACAACAAAATGAATGACTGTAAAACTGCCATGTAAAACCTACTGCTGGTGACCATCCTCCAAAATCCACCACAAAAAAGAGCTTCATTACCGCTTAATTTTAGTCTTTAGCCACTAGACGAACATATTTGTTGTCAACTGTAAATCTGGAGCTTGAAGTAATCTGCAACATCAGAGAGAAAAGAATATTGTCACAAGATTAAACAAGAACTTCAATTCTTAAACCAAATCCCTCAGAAATAATTTACAATAGTATTAAAAAAAAAACTAAACACAGAAAAATTGCTAAAGAAATAATTATACAAAGAACCACCCCTCACCTTGTGCTCCAACATTTCACTTAGTTGGGACTTATCGTCATCTATACCTGATTCCTGGAGGGCCTTAAGAACTAGTTTTTGCAGCTTCCGCGTCTTCAAAACTCCATGAGGACTCTGCCACATGCATAAAAAAGAATGCATAAATGCAAGTTCAAGGACAACAGAGGGAAAGATCATTGTAACTTTAACTACAGGGGAAGCAACTTTATGCCTCTACTTAGTTCCCAACCACAGGTTCAAGGGAAAAGGACATGGGAGCTCTTGCATTTATGCCACCATGTTTATCTAAACAAAGCTATGTTAATGATCATGAGCAGCATAATTTCTAATATAATGAAAAAAGGTTAAAATAGAATGAATCTTAATTAGGAGACATACGGATTTCAAGGCTGCTTTAATCAACTTCTTCCACTTTATCTTCTTCTTGTTATCTTCTTTGGTAGCGGCACATTCTGCTTTACCTTCTTTCACAACATTATATTTGGATTTTTTTTACTTTCTCTTTGTGTCCTCCTGATTTTCTAACTCCATCTGAATGACTTCTCCATTGCCTGCTTCATCTGAGCTATCATCCCCACTGTTTTCCTCACTACCATCCCTCACATACATATCTAACTTTATCTTTTTATTTGATGATAAATCTCCATTTGCTGCTTCTGAGTTGATTTGGAAATGGCTATCTTTGGGAAGGTCCTGTGATTTGGCTTCTCCGTCAGGTTTATTCTCCTGCACTTCATCATTCACTTTATTTTCAGTTGAAACGTTAGTATCTGGAGCAGATTCTTCAATCTGTTTAGGTTGTTGCTTAGCATGGAAAGCCCGAGCCTTCGCCCTGTGCTTCTTTCCTTCAGCATGAAGAAGCAAGGTCTGCTGGCTGGTAGCCTTGGTATTGCAAAGACTGCAAATACATAGGTGATGAAGAGAATCTCCTCAGTTCACAACATAGGATAAATAATAGACGAGATTAATATAAAAGCAAACTTTTATCCTGTGTAATTTTTATGGCATGATAGTTCGGACCGTAGCTCAAGAGCTCAACACAAACTACCTCATCAGATAGACATGTCAAAGTCACCATATTCTGGAGCTAGCCAGATATTAAATGAGACACCACAAAAATTTATTTGGCACTAAATCTTATATGTTAAACTTAAAAAATACCAGAATCTATAGCATGGCCTCAGAATTTACAGCTAAAGGATCGACATATTCACAGAAAACAAGACAACACCAAAGGGGACCAAAGAGATGTATTATTCATGAATGAAAATAATAATTTTGTGCACTATTCATGAATGAAAATAATACTTTTGTGCACTAAGACTTGGTTTGGTTTGTTGATCCAAAGGAAAATTAGAAAGCTAGAATAACTAAACTTTGATTAAAAGCTTGCAGCTGAAGCAAACTATTGGTAAGGTACTCTCTGCAATACAAAATACAAGTTAAGTAACACTACAGGTTATTTTGTTTCTCCATTGAACAAAGCCGTGCACAATTCCCAACTAACACCCCTTGCAGCTTTTGAGTTAGAATCAAGCTTGTTTTAGAAAGTTAAATGTTTCAGCCACTGAAAGACAAACTACCAACAAAGGCAATCAACTACGAACCTAAGGAAATTACTTGACTTATTGCCCTCACCAGTATCTTACATGCCACCACAAACAAGAAATATAAAATAATTCGAAAAAGAAAAGGTATAAGAAAATCTGGATTGAAATGAACATTACCTACAAAACCACGAGGACGCTGAGATAACCCCACATTTATATCAATATCAGGTTTTTCCTTTGTTAGCTTATTGGGTTTTGCATTTGAACCATTTGGTGATTTCCCTTGTTCCTTAGGACCATATTTTTCCTAAATATGAAAAAAAAAAAAAGGCCTGTCATTATTTATCAGCGATTAACAAATAAAATTATGGGATTAAGAAACTTACTGCTTCAGTAAGGCACTGTGTATGACCCTGTACGCTTTGCTGCCCAAAAATCACCCCACAATCGATGCACGATAGCTACAGAATCAATCAAAACGAAGATGGGTTAGTCAAGAGTTCGAGATTAACCGAAGAAAACATGTTGAAAAACGATAGAGATGAAAACAGAAGGGAAAAGTAAGACCTTGGAAGCAGAGCAAATTCCGAAGTGGTTTGGTAACTTGGGTTTCTTCAAGTTCTCGCCACAATCCTCGCATTGAAACCACACCATCGTTTTCTCTGTCTTTCTTTATTTGTTTATCGTTCCAGGAAAAACGGAAAGGATTGCCAAACGTAGAAGATAGTTTGGCTTTGGGATTTAACCGTTGTGAAGAACACAGTGTCAGGGTTTTTGTTCCTAAACGCAGCGTTAAAGGCTTCCGACACGAATGGTAAAATGGGCCAAACAAATATTAATAAGTTTAATGTGGGCTTGAGTTCAGCCCACTTAAGTCCACAACCAGGCCCAAAACTCCACGTGCTTCGTGTATTATTACAACTTTAGAACAAATCCATGCAAATGATGCATATTTTAAATTTTTATATCTGACATATGTTTCAATTTTGTCAAATATCTTAGGAAAAAATTTAAAAAATTCATGTATTATATGAATAAATTTAATGGTTGCATGCCACAACATAGTGTGAATATCATGAGACTTTTGTTTCTTAGTTGTCATCTTCAAATTATAACATATAAAATTATTAAAGATAAATATGCACCAGAAAAATTTTAAAGGCTGAAGCCTATATAGAGAGAGAGAGTTCGTTTTTGATAGATTTGAGGCATAATTTTTAATTTCACAAATAGAATTAAAAAATTATCACATATTTTTTAATTAATTGTTTAAATTTTTATATGCTCTAAAGTATATATATATATATCATTTTATTAATTTTGCTTATAAATTTTAAAAACTTCATTTATAAGGAATGAGATAATTTCACATAGTAAAGGTTAAGTTCAAATTGGTTGGAGTTGAAGGTACAAGTTTTGGTACTAGCATAGGTATTTTAATCTCAAACGAATTCTATTTCTCTTTTGATCTTCTCCTTTGGTGGAATTGGATCATGAAGCACTGGACATTCGGAGAAATCCCAGAAATGTCGTTATTGGCGATTCCATTCTTACGAATCGGCGGAAGTAGTGGACTACAATTCGCACAAGCTCTCTGAGATGCTTTGTGAGTTAACGCTATAGGATGGCCATACGTAGGTCTCCTCTTACTCCTAATAATCATTTTATTTTTATGAAATGATGAACAATAGGCGACCAAAAAAAAATGTATCAATGTTAACTACAATTGTAAGAAACTGCTTTTTGAAACCTTTTTTTAAATGGGGTCATCAATTGAACTTGAAGTAATCAACGCTCAAAACATGTGCTTCTTTTCCAAAAAAAAAAAAAAAATCTTAAAGCTCATCCATTCTTATGAAATTAGCCGAAAACAAAGATGTTGGATGACTTAAATTCTTTTAAAAAAATTACCCAAAGACTCATTCTGGTTATGTGATCATGAAACCACCATGATCTTGAATTTAAGCTCTTAAATACTCGTATATATTTATAGTTGTCCGTATTGAAAACTTGTAAGAATTGAACAAAGGAAAAATTGTCAAAGGTGAGAGAAAACAACAAGCTTATCTACTGGGTGCTAGCTGCTTAGAGGGCACTTTGTGGTCAGTGGTTGTCTTTTCCCTCTCTATCTCTATACTCTTTCTTTTTTTTTTTTTTTGGTATTCTTAATTTACATCCAAAGATTTCAAGTCCAACTTTGCAATCAACACACAAAAATATTAAGCTTAATTCCACACGTTAACCATGAGCGTAATTCAAAATCTGTTCAAGTCTCCATTGTTGTTTGATGGAGCATTGCATCACAAAACCATATTAAAAAACTTTATGAAGAAAGTAAGAAACCAGCCATGAGGCCTTAATTAACATAAGGGTTTATATTATCTATTTATTTCTTTATGAATTATAAAATAAGGACATACTATTCTACACCAGTGAAAAATTGGAAAGCGTGGGGCAAGAAAAAGATAAGAGCTACCCTTCAAATTATATCTTTTTTTTTTTTTTCAGGAATGGTGGTGTTACTGCCATGATTTTCCAGGACAAGTAATTGTCACGCTTGGGAACTTTTTTTAAATTTTCCATAAGATATAAAGAATAGTTTGGCTGTCATGAGAGGTGGAGAGTTTTCAAAGATATTCTCTATGTTTCTTTCTGATGGAAAAAGTTTTTTCCCCAGTAAAATCTGAAACCTCTAATGGAAAAGATGAAGAGGAAAATCATCACCATAAATCACTATAAAGTTGTTTTGTCTCTTCATTAATTTTATAATAACACTTAAAATTTGTATCAAGATGAGTTCAAAAAGCTCAATGTGCTGAAATCTTTATCAAGATGAGTTCCAAGGCTCAATGTGCTGGATGACTGGATTCGATTAAGCCTAATTTGTACATGGTTTTCTTTTCCATTAGATGAATAGTATCGATGACAGTAATTTTGATTATAAAATCATAAATTTAAAGCCTATTTTCATCCAAAATAGAATTATTTTACCAATAGCTATGTGAAAATTTTGTTTTAATTATAATCATGTTAAAATTTTTATCCTCAGAAAAAGGTGAAAGTGATTTTCTTTTTCATTTTTATGTTGTTGGTGTTATTAAAAGTCTCATTATTGATAAACTTAGTTGAATCTGAACCTCAGCCAAATGTAAGACTCTTTGACTCTAACTAATGATTGATCATTATATATCACTGAATTATTGCGATCATTTTTTGTTTTCAATTTATTTTCTTTTGATAAAGTGTCAACCAAAGAGCATTTGTGCTAAAGTGCCCACCAAAGAGCATTGTATTCGAATTTTTCTGTAAAGTGGCATGATTTCAATCACTGCAGCCATGCTCCAATTTTATACAATGTAGCTAAAAATGTCTTTCTGTAAGAGTTTCTCTTACTTATCGATCGGCCAACACATGGGGATTAAGGGATGGACTTTGGATTATATTTTACTTTTTCCTCAGGATTTTGCTTAACTTGTAAAATCCCCTTGCAGGAAGTCAAGGAACTTCGTAAGGACAACTCTTTCCAAACCAGAAATCAGAATTCGGACAAAAATAATTTTTTTTAATGTCACAAAGTAAGTGGTTTCTATTTTGTCTTTGCTGTTTGTCGCTTAGTCATGAATATATTTATTTCCTCTCTATGCCTTGAAACTGAAGCTGATTGAGAACAAAACACACATCAGATGAATCAATATAATCAACCAAGTCAGGATATTGGCCAAAGAAAATGCCTTTGCACCAGCTAGATCTTGAAGTCAAATCAAACTCAAAAACAAAAAGCATGCCTGAATCGTTATCTATCTGTACAAATTTTGTGTTCTTGATTGAAAATGGTATATCAGTCATCAGATTATTTCGATTGGCTTATGATCAATATGCTTTTCATGGTGTTGGATTATCAGTTGCTGCATTTGTCTGTTAGCCATGGAAGTATTTGTGTATAGAAAAGTGTTTAGGTTATAAATAATCTAATCATTCAAATATCATCTTTACAGTAATTATATATGGAGAGTTTCTTCTGTTTCAAGAAAAAAAAAAAAAAAAAAAAAACCTTCTCCCAATAATTAATTTATTTTGGATATCCATGCAAATTGAAACCAAATTAACAACTATAATAATGCAAAAGGGGAGATAAAAAGTTTGCAATTAATAATGAGTAACAATCTAGTTTGCAATTAATCCGCTAAATATCTCTCCTCTGAAGACAAGCTTCCTTCTTGCGTAGTTTATAAAGTCTTTGGCCTCACAAGCTAAAAAACATATACAAAATACAGAGAAAACTGAAAACCTTCCCATGGAAACAACCGGAGACCCTCCATCGTTATGGCCACAGCTGACCAACTCCATGCCTCGCCGTAAGTCATCGTCTCCTCTTTTCACCCCACCAGTTCTCATCATCCTCTTACCCATCATCGCATTACTTCTCTTGTTCTTTGCAGTTCCCCCTTTTCTCTCCATCACCACTCAGATTTTTAGACCCAACGGTGTCAGGAAAAGCTGGGACTCCCTCAACATTTTTCTAGTCTTGTTTGCTATTCTTTGCGGTGTTTTTGCTAGAGGAAATGACACCACCACCACGGCCACCAACAACAGTATTAGAAATGATAGTAATAATAACAAGCCAGGCCATCCTGTTTCGCAACAATGGTTTGAGTATCCAGATCCTCCAGTCGACGCGACGACGTCGGCAACCAGCGTTAGGAGGTTGAAGAGAAGCAGTAGCTCGTACCCAGATCTGAGACAGGACTCTTTGTGGGAGAATACCGAGGATCGGTTTCGTTTTTTTGATGATTTTGAAATAAACAAATATCGATCTTCAACAAATTACAATGATAAAGTTCACGGGCTTCGTAGGAGCTGGAGAAGTGAGTTTCAAGAATCTGAAGCCAAGGTCATTCATGTTGACACCTTTGTGCTTCGTTCTTCTCCTTCATCACCACCGTCAAAGTCTCCAGCACCTTCAACACCACCTCCACCACCGCCTCCGCCTCCAGGTGGCCGCCATAAATCAAGACGAACTTGTCAAGCTGTTGGACGGAAAGAGAAGTTGAATACTCAGAACGATCATGTTGAATTCAACAAAATTAAGTCTCCACTGCCAGTAACACCAGCACCACCTCCACCGCCACCGCCACCTCCTCGGCGACCACCATCTCCACTAGTTGAAAGGGGAGATAGATCAGAGCAGAAGTATGAGAAATTGGAACGTAGAAAAAGTAATGCCACCAAAGAAATAAAGATGGTTTTTGCTTCGTTAAGGAAAAGAAAGAAGAAACAGAAGTCAAAGGATCATGATAATCGGCAAGTTTGCCCTTTGCATTGTCCACGTGAGTCACCACCTTATTACTTTACTACAATACCACCACCATCACCACCACCTCCTCCACCGCCACTGCCTCCACCACCATCCTCTGTCTTTCAAAAATACAATCTCTTCAGAAAGGGCAGCAAAACCAAAAAATTCTATTCTGTTACTTCTCCTCCGCCTCCACCACCAGCAACACCCCCAGCATTTTCACTTTCACAACGCTCTTCAAAGCAAAACAGTCAGATCCCACCAACACCACCACCTGCACCGCCACCAGCCTTTTGTTCTACAAAAAGATTATCAAAGCAGAAGAGTCAGATCTCGCCACCATCCAAACCTGCACCTGCACCACCAACACCGCCACTGGAACCTTCAAGGAGACGAACTACGGCCAACATAGGTAGGCCACCATTGCCGACAAAAGCAAATTCTAGTTATTATGACGAGAAAGTGAACAGCGGTGGACATTCAACGTTAGTTCCGATGCCGCCACCTCCGCCACCATTTAAAATGCCAGAGTTGAAATTTGTGGTTCGTGGGGATTTTGTTAAGATACGGAGCAATCCTAGTTCTCGGAGTAGCTCTCCGGACTTGGAGGAAGTTGATTCGTCAAGCAAACATGATGTGCAGACGGTCAGCCGGATGGACGGTAATGATGGGGTTGGGGTTGGGGTTGGGGTTGGGGTTGGGGTTGGAGGGGCCCTGGTGTTTTGTCCTAGTCCTGATGTTAATGCTAAAGCTGAGACCTTTATTGCCAGAGTCAGGGATGGGTGGAAATTGGCAAAAATAAACTCCCTGAAAGAGAAGCAAAGGATATAGGCTGAGATCCAGCAAGCTGAGTTGAAGAACAAGTTCAGACTTCAAACATATCTCAAAATTTTCTGGTTGAATTTTGTTTCTCCTCATATATTACGATTAATTAAACTTGACTGAATTAGTAGATAAATGAATAAGAACAGAAAGGGAGCTTCATGGGAATTAATTTTTGCTTACCTTCATGGAGCTCCTTGCAAGTTTGGTTTTTTTTTTCTTCTTTCAGGTTCTGATGATTTGAAGAGTATTTTCTCGGACGCTACGGACTAGCCGGGATATATTTGGACGCATGGCAATTGGCTCTGACTATTTTTTTTTTCACCTGTTGGAGCCTAAGCTGGAGGAGATTGTTACAAGTTTGAATTAATTCTCTGTTTGGTGTCATACTAGAACCATGTTTAGGAATTAGTTTGCTGTGAATTGACAGTGGAGCTCTGATTGTTCATCTATTGGAGCCTTTGTTTTTCACTTGTAGTTAAAAAAATGGTGTGAGTAAATATGCAATTCAAAACCTTGGTTTGATGTTATGAATTGAATATTTGTTCCATAAAAAAGGTAGTACTGTAATATTGATGTACACATTAATACATGTTCCAACATTGAAAAATTTATTTTTCACCAAAATTTGGAACCGGAGGAACTGGGATGTGTCTGCTTGTCTACGCCAAGGGGGATAAACAAATCAATGCCTTGGACTGTTTGGTCAGAAAAAGGAATGATTTAGGGTAGGAAAAAATTAGAAGTGACAATAGACAAAGGATCAGAAGCAACTGTTAGAGTTGTGCTTGGTTAAATACATCCCGATCAAAAGCAACAACTCAAAAAAATAATGTCTCTTTCTTGGTCCCATTCATATTCATTGCTTCAAATCAAACGATGAGGCCAAGCTGATAAAGTGAAACACATAGCTTTAAACTGGCCATTTGCTAATAATCTTTTAGCATATTTTTTTACTCTTCTTCAATTCAACCAATGCCATGGGTCATATGTGATGGTTGAAATTTTGAAATTGATAGAATGTCTCAGCTCTTCCCCTCCAACCCTTCCTTCTCTCTCTCTCTTTTTTTTTCTTTTAAATTTATTGTGGTTTGGGTGTTGGGGGCTTTTAGGGTATATTGGTTTTTTTTTTTATTAAAAACTTTTAACCGATAATTAAAGGTAATTTTGATATTTATATGGATTTGACATATTAGATTGATCTAACATATTCAGTGTCACTCGATATTATTATTATTGTCTTTTAATGATTCTCTATCACTCATCTATAAATATAAAAATCCAAACACCTTTAAGATAAGTTCATCTATCTTTAATCCTCTTTATTACTCTTCTTTTGACTTCATCTGTTTTAATTTGTGTATCGAAATATAAATGTAAAAAATATTTTTTGTCTATCTCTTTCTCTCTATACTTTTAAAAATATATCTTAAAATAAAGAATCGACAAATATAAGATCTATATGAAAATTAAAAAAAAAAAAAAAGAAAGACTCAGTGTGTGTACAAGTGTATGTTACTACACTTTTTTTTTTCTGGCAATTAAATTCCACTTGCCATTGACAAATATTTGACAACTTTTTCTTTTTTTTTTGGTTATAAATTGTAGTATTGAGATAAAGAAAGCTAACATGAATTACAAGTATTAAAATTTAAAATTTAAATTTATTAGATGATATATTTTTAAAAAATAGTTACATGAAAAAATAAAGTATATAAATGAAACGAAGTAAGCTTGAAACCTTTTTCTCCTTCTTTTCATCAAAGATATAAAAAGGAGTTGGCCTGTCATGAATTTGTAGACCAAGTCAGTAGGGCCGGGGCTTGATCAGAAATATCTGACTCAACAAGGCCCAAAGCCGACAACACTTCAATAATTGAATTCAATCTCCTTCAGAAATCCCACAGAAATAGAATTTCAAAACCCCAAAAAGCCCAAACTTTACTTTTCACTTGTAAAATCATCTTGCTAGGGTTCTTGTTACGAAGATAGCAAAATCCATGAAACTAGGGGGCTTAAAATCCGTGGAAAACGCCCACGACGAGTCGGTTTGGACTGCCACGTGGGTTCCAGCCACCGACACCCGTCCGGCCGTCCTGTTAACGGGGTCCCTGGACGAAACCGTCAAGCTGTGGAGATCCGACGAGCTCGAGCTCGTGCGGACCAACACCGGCCACTGCCTTGGCGTCGTTTCAGTGGCCTCCCATCCTTCCGGCGTGATCGCCGCCTCCGCCTCTCTCGACAGCTTGGTTCGCGTGTTTGACGTTGACACCAACACCACTATCGCCACTCTCGAAGCTCCTCCCTCTGAAGTCTGGCAAATGCAATTCGATCCGAAGGTAATAACTTATTTGACTTTTTTCTAGAAGAAATTTCGGAGAATTTATTATTACTATAGAAAATTATTAATTTATGAATTCTTTTTTTTTTTTTTAATTTGACGGCCACAGATAGGATACTATTTAGTATTATTCAACTAAAATGAAGTGTTTAGCTACATAAAATAATTACTTTGTTCCCTAATTGGACATTTTTGGCAAAATGGAGTATTCTTTTTTTTTTTTTCCTTATATTTTTAGGATATCCAAATAAACCTTTATTTTTTTTATTTGTATTCAAATTAACCCTTATTTCAAACAAAAAAATTATTTAATTATAAAGGTTTATTCATATACTAATTAAAGGATAAAAGTTTATTTGAATACATATTAAAATATAAGGGTTTATTTAGGTGCAAATTAAAGGTCAATAGCTTATTTGAATGTAATAAAAGTATATGGACTTATCTAAGTGAAGTGATAAAGTATATCGGCTTTGTTGTTATTTTAGCCTTTTTGTCATATTTCTTTGTAATAAATGATATTGTGATTCTAGTAATTATAGTGAAACAGTGAAACATTACATTAAATGATTCTAAGCATGCCAAATTGATCTCTCACCAACAAGTTATGTTACTCTTCCAGAAGATCTTATGTCAACAAAATTCTCTGAAGACGCTTGCTTTGCATTAATTTCGCACATCTTCGCAACTTTTATCATTGTAAAATATCTCTCTTTCAGTATTCATTGAAGAATCTACTGGTTCTATGATAATTTGCCAATATCTTTCAGGTTGTACTCATAATCTTATTTTGAATATGAAGCCTACTACTCATGTCGATTAATTTTTGTGATGACAACTTATGATTAAGGTGCTATGGTGAATGTCTTTAAAAGTTTAAGTGCTCTTTTCGAATTTGTTTTCAGTAGCTTTCTAATAGTTGCTTTCAATTTTAGGGTACAACACTTGCAGTTGCCGGTGGGGGTAGTGCATCAATCAAGCTGTGGGACACTGCAACATGGAGGTTGGTTGCAACTTTATCAATTCCTCGTCCTGAAGGACACAAGCCCTCTGATAAAAGTAGCAGTAAGAAGTTTGTCCTATCTGTTGCATGGAGTCCTGATGGAAGACGACTTGCTTGTGGCTCAATGGATGGCACGATTTCCCTTTTCGATGTAGCTCGAGCCAAATTTCTGTATCACCTTGAAGGCCATTACATGCCTGTTAGGTCTCTTGTGTTTTCTCCAGAACCTGATTCCCGGAAGCTATACACAGCCTCTGATGATGGTCATGTGCATATCTATGATGCTGAGGGGAAAGCCATAATTGGGGCCATGTCAGGTCATGCTAGCTGGGTGTTGAGTGTGGATGTAAGCCCCGATGGAGAGGCTATTGCAACAGGTTCAAGTGACAAAACTGTAAGACTATGGGATTTTAAGATGAGAGCAGCTATTCAGACAATGAGCAATCACACAGACCAGGTCTGGGCAGTGGCATTTCGACCTGGAGGAGGTGGTCGTCTTGCTAGTGTGTCAGATGACAAGAGTATATCACTCTATCATTATTCTTGAGCGTTCATGGCTTGTTGAGATTAAAAACATTAAGGATTTGCTTGCATTACAAAATGTTGCTACATGTTTAGCTATCACTGATCCAATAAATATGAAACTTGGCTTTAGATTTTGTTCTGTTTATTTTTCTTGTTTTTCATAAAAATGAAAAAATATTATTGCACCCTTGCATGATGGAGGAAAGTTTCAGTCCTTTCAGGCAGCCTACTTAATATGTGAAATTGTTATGTTATAAAGGGATCAATTCGACTTGGCATGGGCAGGCTGATACACGAAGAAGCCTGTGTTTGGCGACATCATTATTGTACTAGGGGCACTATTGATCTGATGGAATGTGAAAGGAGCTGTCTCCTGGTAAGAATACTCGAAACTAATTGTCTCTGACATTTGCCATTATTTTTGCAACAAACGGAAGTCTTTTTGTCTTTTAAAAAGAAAATTAAAAGCAGGAGTACATATCTTGAAGCTACCTCATACAGCTGTGTAGATAAATCCCTTGAAATATGTCTAGCTTTCAGCTACTAGTTTAATTATTTATGGTATGGGTGTTTCTCTTAGAAAGCAGACGACGGGAAAATTTGTCATGGGAATAAGATCTGCTGCTCTTCTATAAATCATAAATACTAGAGGAACTAATCAGCTGCTTCGAAGCTCATTTCACTTCAACTAGCTTCAAAGGTCAATAGAGAAGCATCTAAAAACAGCAGAAACCCTATGCTTTTCTCACTCTCATCTGTCAGCGGAAATTTAGCTTTCTTTATCACTTTACGGCTACATTAATACCAAAAATGACGCAATTCTAATTCAGATGGGGAATCTTTGAAATTGAAATAACAACTAAAAACACACCGATTCACCGGAAACTCAGAAAATAAACCAACATGAAATGGATTGAGAAGATTTCCAACAGTTCTAAGGATATCCTTGATGTTTCTATCAATAATGCATATTGTCAATAATAACATCATCATGATAATTCTCCATATCATGGAGTCTCCATCAGATCCATATCTTATTAACGATGCATGGTATCAACCAGTTGTCTTGCATCTCAAAATACTCTTTTACTACCAAGATACTGATATTTCTATTTCAGCAGGCTGTTCCATATATTTGGCCATTATTTATATCATTGTTTCAAGCTTAGAAATGGATGGCATACAAATTACAAAGTCCATATTTCACAAAAAAAAATATATATTGTTTGGTATATGGTTTCTTTTAAGATATAACTTCCAAGGATATTTACATCAAAGTATCTCTCCGTTGAATTCTCTTGCATGCAAGTAACACACTAGATCATCAAATGATATGTGCCTCTATTCTGCTAGGCTAACTATTATTGGATTAGCAACTTATGAACACAAAGAATCTTAAGATGAAATATGATAATGAATGGTCATTTTCAGTTCTCTTTCATTGGAAAAACTACAGTCAATGCCAAGGCCCCATGAACACAACTAATTCCACACTTCACATATAAATTAGAAGGCAGTTTCTTTAAATGATAAAGAATGGTCATTTTCATTTTCCACATATTGAAAAGAGAACAGTAAATCATAAACAACTTCATGGCCATGACCCAACATACACAATTAATCCCCAAACTTTAGAAATAAATTAATTGAGCACTTTCCTTACATGGTAAGTATATACAGAAACAAGCACTTACAACCAATAACTCCACATGGGTACAAACTTTGCTGGATGAATTCAATATCTTGAGGCACAATCATCAATCTAGCTTACATGTCTGATCGCCCAAAGCCACATATAAAAACCTTTGACGGAACAAGTTATTGAGGCAACTGTAACAAATCCTGATCTAGTAGAAAAACATTAAGCTTCTGACTCAAAAAATTTAGATAATTTATCTGGCTAACAGATGATCTCTACGCTAAGGCAACCAACCTAGAACAAATTTTATATAACCAAAAAAAAAAAAAAAAAGCAAAGTAACACCCAAATTAAAACCAAGCATAATTCTCAAGGAGTACAAACTGCTAAACTTACAAAATGCTCCACCTAGTGCTTTGGAGCTTTATCTCCCAAATACTTCATCAGCACATGCATAACAGAACCAAAATCCGTCTTCACTTGCATGGGCCGATTAGCGAACCGGCAAGCCATATCCGGAATCTCCTTCAAGTGATAATTAACCTTAGACTCTGTAAATTTCAATCCATGAGCTTTACTAACCACAACTGTCCTGTCCCCAGCTCCAATAACCCCATTATTCCTAAGCTTAATCAGAGCAGTCAATTCAACTCCAGTGTGAGGGCAAATAAACATCCCAATAGAATCTGCCTGCGCCATTGCATCTATTAACTCCTCCTCAGTCGCTACCTCGACAACCCCATTTGAAATTTTCAAAGCATACACTGCTCTATCCATAGAAACAGGTTCACCAGTTTGAATAGCTGAGGCCAATGTACTACTTGCCTTGACCGCCTTAAACTCATTCTACCCTAATTTATAATACAAATAAAGTGGATTGACATTGACTGCTTGGGCACAAACCCATCTAGGTAAACCGGTAACAAATAGGGAGTACGACTCGGTGGAGTCGGTTCCGGCTTCGAACGGAACGTATTTGGCAGAGAATGTGTTATGGCGGTTGAGCGGTGGCGGCAAGCCTCGTCGCGGATGTTCTCATCGGCAAGGCGTCTGTCGTTTTGGGGAGAAGGGGAGTTGTTAGAGGAACTACTGGTGGGGGAGGGATCGAATGTGGAGGAGTAGGTGCATGAGATAACAGTAGGAGCGGGACAATTGAATTTGGGGTGGTTTTGATGATGGAGCAATGGGAAGTTGGATTTGGAGGCGAGAAAGGAGTAGAACAGTGAGCAAGAAGAAGCCACGTTATGAAATGGAGGCGGCTGGGGGTGGTGTGAGGATTTTTGGTTGTTTTTTTAGCTTTTATACATAGTACCGGAAAATGGGTGAACGGAGATCCGACCCAGCTCGATTTTAATTAAACGCATGCTTGTGGGTTTAATTAATTTTTATTAATAGACTAAGACTTTACTATTCAAACCTATCCAAGCATTGGGCAACTCTTCTAAGTTTTTAAAATTTTGTACTCATTTAATTTATTTATTTTTGAAATTAATATTATTTTATCAATTATCATTGTTACAACATAGAGAACATTTTTTAACGATACATATTTTAAAATCTTGTTTTGATAATGAAATGAAAGTTAATAGTCGAATGATTTAAAAATATATTTAAAAATAAATGAATTTTTTATAATTTTATGAAAACTTTTTAAGATAAAAAATTTTTTGTCTTCAATGGAATTTCTAGATTTAAGATTTAAAATTTTTTTACAAAAGTATAAATATTTTACTGGATATGAAAATTTTATAAATTATGTAATTTATCAAATAAATATATTTAAAAAATTATTTAACTTATCATATACATGTATATAGTAAGTTACATAATTTGATAAATTATTTAATTTATCAAATATCAATATTTGAAAATTAAAAAAATTAAGTAATTTAATTTAAAAATAATAATAAAAAAAGTGTGGGGTCAAATACTCATGTGGAAATACAAGCTACCTTCGTAATTTCGACTTGGTCTATTCTGTTATGCTATTAGCCCGTCGCCCAACATGTGCGGAGCCACTCTCAGTCTCATATTCTCTGTCGCCTGCGGTCCCATCTTTAACCAATCGCATCGCGGTTATTTAATTAGCTCCGACTCAATCCTCATTGCTCTTATTACGTGTCAAATTGTCAATGGCTCCTGAAATGAGACACCAAAAGTTTCAATCATCCCACGTAAAGTAATGAGATCATGCGGCCGATGTCGGCATTGGTAATCCATGCTTACTGTAAAATATTCTCAGTGCGTCACACAAGAAATCTTCTCTCAACCGAATATATAGCTAAAATATTTACGCGCCAGCAAATGGTGGGAGGATTTCGTAGTGTAATGTCCGAAAGCAGTATTATTTTTATTGGTCGGAAAGTATTTTTAACCCTCGCCACTATATTTTACCTTAAATTACAAACACACCCTTTCTTTATTACAACATATTAACAAGCATGAAGAAGGCAAATAAAAAAAAAAAACCTCAAATATAAAATAAATAGCATTGAGAGATAAATGCGATAACGATTTTTATCATTAATGCTCTTTTTTTTGAAAATGACTAGCCACCTTTGATTGCTTAATAGGACTTATAATGGCAAATACCGTAAATAACAATCAGCATATGACTTAAAACACCGACCAAAATCGAAAAAGGTATAATTTAGTCTAAAATCATACGGTAATGTCGGTTTTAGAGTCCGAAAATCCCACTGTTTGTGGCCACCACGAATGTCCAACTAGACCTTCTTCGTCACCCCGTACCTTTGGACCCCAGCTGACCAGTAACAAAAATTAAAGAATTTTAAAGAGAGGAAAAAAAAAAAACTTTTAAACCTTCTGCTTTTGTATATAAACCATCTCACCATTTCTTTTGCTTCCATTTTTTTTTTCGTTTTGGTGTGAGAAAAAAAAGATCGGAAAAGAGAGCAAAAATCGTGAGAGAAAAGTTTTGTTTTCTTCTTGTTATCTTCTTCTTCTGAATTCAACCGCCATCTCTTTTTTTTTTTTGTTTCTTCAAGAGTTTTCTCGTTAAAACTCTTGAGCTACTGGTCCATTTTTTGGTCCGATCTGACTCGCCAAGTCCGCCTTTCCTCCACTCGGTCGTGTCTCGGATGAGTTGATAGAAGAAAGATCGCTGCATATAATCGTCATGGTATTCGATTGCTTTGGCTGAGTTGAATATGTTGAACATGGCATCTTGTTACTTGATTCCTACTTTACTTTTATTTTCTTTTTGAGAAATTTTGTTAGTTCCATTTTTATTTATCATATATTTTTATAGCTTTGGCAATCTTAATATTAGATAGGAAATTCTTTGATGTATTATATTAGAAAATGGTGAATGCTTTTGGAATTATAGATTAAAAAATTCAAATATACAAGTTTTAAAGATTAGAAAATTTGAATGCTTACAATACTTGACTAAAACATCGAAATGCACTGCAGATGAGCAACATTTGATCGTTCTTATAAATGCACTGCAGATGAGCAACAATTGATCGGTGTCATAACTATTTCGTTTATATCTTTTACAAGTGGATTTGATGTAAATGAAGTATAGAGTTAGGCTTAATTTTTTGGATCAGTTTATAAGGTCAAAGGTATAATATTTGTCGGCTGTAGATTGATTAAGTTTTTCCTTTTTCCTCTGTTTAACCACCCATCGATTACAAACATGTTTTGAAATGACTGTTTTTTCAATGGTCTGCTTAGTTTATAGTTGTTTAGGATAATAAGATTCAAATGTTTTTCTTCCTAAACATTATTAGCCGTTGCTGGATGTCTAACTATTAATAAAATAATAGAGAAATTAAGTTCAACTTAAAAGAGGATTAGTTATTTTGTTCTTTCATGCCATGCCATGGTTATTAGTCTTGGGTTTTCGATGGTAAAGAATTGTTGGTAGTTATTAATACCATAGTTAGACTTATGTTGGGCAGTTGAAATGGAAGCTAGGATGTCATAGTGAGGCGATGTTACTATACCAGTGAGTTTGGTGAGTGCCACTGGCTGACAATTTATTGTTTCTTTTGGATGCTAAACATATATGATGTGCTGCAGAATTGGTTCTTGACGAGGATTTATGTTCTTATGAACAAAGTTTGAGCTATAATCCTTGACAGAATTCACACAGAATCTAAGAAATATTTTTTTGTGTATGAGGCTACTATGTTATTGACTTATTGGCATTGATCTTTTTTATACAATTTTCTTTGCTTTATTTACAAAAAATAGCACTACTTTACTCCTTGACAAACTCTTTAATTTAATTCTGTTCATCTTAAACTGATATGCATTGTTTATGACGTAGATCGTCCATTAATTTGGCATATTGCTCGTTTCAAAACCTGTTGTTGATTAGAGATGAGATATTAATTCATTCTTGATCTTCTTTTCATGAAATATCTTTTTTGCATACTTGTTTCAGACGGTCATGACTGTTTGGGTTTGTAATCTTTGTTTTCTTTCTTTGCATTGCTAATACTTTCATATATTCGCAGGCTGCTCCAGTTAACATTATTGTAGGTTCTCATGTATGGGTTGAAGATCCGGTACTTGCATGGATTGATGGAGAAGTTTTTAAAATCAGTGGTGAAGAAGTACATGTCCACACAACAAATGGAAAAACTGTGAGTTTATTTTAGCTTTTTGTTGGTATATATCTGTAACATGTGCTATTTATTGTCAATAAAATTTCCAATTAGATGTCAACATGTTTGTGATTGATTAACTCTACTATTTCAATCCTACTACATAATTTACAAGTTCTAAAGGCAGACAAGGCCACATCAAGCAATTTCTAGCTGAGCAGTTGGTCAGTACAATCTGTTAGTATATTGTTTGAAGTGTGCATCCAAAGTTCGTCTAGTCATTTCAAACTGAAACTTTGCTGTTTACATCTACTAGATTCTCTGCTATTTTTACTTGTATTTTCTTGTCTTTTTTTTTTTTTGGGGGGGGGGGGGGAGGGTAGGAGATTCTATACTTAATATTCTTACTGAACAAAGAACTCATGGCAGGCTGTGACAAATATCTCTAAGGTTTTTCCAAAAGATACTGAAGCACCTCCTGGAGGTGTTGATGACATGACAAAGCTCTCATATTTGCATGAACCTGGAGTTCTGCATAACTTGGCTATGAGATATGAACTTAATGAAATCTATGTAAGACATTTTCTGTTCTCTTTTTCTCTGTTCACAAGCTGAAGTAGATGTTGAACAAAGAAAATTGTCAATTTAATTACAAAGCCATCATAGTCGTGCACGCTAAAGTGCTATTCTTTGCTACTTTCCTCAGACATACACAGGAAATATCCTGATTGCCATAAATCCATTCCAAAGGTTACCGCACCTGTATGATACTCACATGATGGAACAATATAAAGGGGCTGGATTTGGAGAGCTGAGTCCTCATGTTTTTGCCGTTGCAGATGTTGCATATAGGTAAATACCCTCTGTTCTACTGGACATCAGATGTTTCCAAGTAATGCTGTCTCTGATTTATCATGTAAACAGGGCAATGATGAATGAGGGAAAAAGCAACTCAATTCTCGTTAGTGGAGAAAGTGGTGCTGGTAAGACTGAGACGACAAAGATGCTTATGCGATACCTTGCATACCTTGGTGGTCGATCTGGAGTTGAAGGTCGGACAGTTGAACAACAAGTTCTAGAAGTAAGAAGAATCTTAAACATAACACCCTCTTGGCCTCCTCTATATTGCCTTAAATATGTTATTCTTGTATAGCTTCTGCATGGTTATCATAGATCCAATGAATTGAAAAGAAGGGGAGCATTTGCCTGATTTTGTACTTCTGGATGTTTAATTTTTGCAGTCAAATCCTGTGCTTGAAGCTTTTGGAAATGCAAAAACTGTTAGGAACAACAATTCAAGGTGAGCTTGCTATTAGGATTTAAAAAATTACAACCTTCTTCATACATGATAGCTTATTCTAATCCGAATCTATAATATCAAATGTTGGGTCTAAAGAGGTTTTAAAAAGATGGATCAATGGTCGGTTCATGTTTCAACCATTGCAGCTGGTCAGTCTATTTTAATATAAAAACAATGTTATCTCCAATCAATTGTTTGATTTGTCATTCTTTGAATTGGTTTATGTGTTTATCTGAGTTTTCCTGCCTCTTGGTACAATGTAGTCGTTTTGGTAAATTTGTTGAGATCCAATTTGACAAGAACGGGAGGATATCTGGGGCGGCTGTTCGTACATATTTGCTGGAAAGGTCTCGAGTTTGCCAAATTTCAAATCCTGAAAGAAATTACCACTGCTTTTACCTTCTTTGTGCAGCTCCGCCAGAGGTATTAATGCTACACTTTTATAATGAAATATTTCTGTTTTTGAGATCAATCTTCATGTGCACTTAGACTTGCCAGTGCTGCTAATAATAGGCAATGATTGATAATGTTCTCTGACAATTGTCAGGTTAGAGAAAAGTTTAAGCTGATTGACCCTAAATCTTTCCATTACCTTAATCAATCAAGCTGTTATGCATTGGATGGGGTAGATGATGCTCAGGAGTACCTTGCAACTATAAGGGCCATGGATATAGTTGGAATCAGCGAGGAAGAACAGGTCAGTCTTCTCTTCCATTAGTTTCAAAAAATAGTGCGCCTATGATTGCATTCATATTTTTGACGAAGAATGATCCTTTTAGGAGGCAATTTTTGGGGTTGTGGCTGCCATTTTGCATCTTGGGAATATTGAATTTGCAAAAGGAGCTGAGGCTGACTCTTCTGTTATCAAGGATGAGAAATCTAGGTTCCATCTTAATGTGACAGCTGAACTGCTTAAGTATGACCTGTTCATCTTTTTCTTGAATATATTTCTTGCTTTCTTATCCTGCATATATTATTTCTTTAATCAATACGTCTAATGAACTATATATATATATATATATATGTATGTATGTATAATAGGTGTGATGTCAAGAGCTTGGAAGATGCACTAATAAAGCGTGTAATGGTTACCCCAGAGGAAATTATCACAAGAACTCTGGATCCTGTTGCTGCAGTTGGTAGCAGGGATGCGTTAGCTAAAACCATCTATTCTCGCTTGTTTGATTGGTAAAGAAATTTCATCACTACTTTGTATTTAACCACAGTGCATGAACTTCTAAAAAGTTTTTCTTTGTTTTCATCAGGCTTGTGGACAAGATAAACTTTTCAATTGGACAAGATCCAAACTCAAAGCAATTGATTGGAGTCCTTGATATTTATGGATTTGAGAGCTTTAAGTTTAATAGGTAAGACATTTGCCTTTAAATACAATTAAATGGAATATTTACTATTGTAGTTAACAAGGTTTCATCTATTTTCTTGTATCTTAGTTTTGAGCAGTTTTGCATCAACTTTACAAATGAAAAACTGCAGCAGCATTTCAATCAGGTTTTGTAACTTCTACATAGTTATTTTCCCCTACGTCAGATGCTATCTTGGCCATGCTTATTCTGAATATATGGTAATTTTGTCTATGCAGCATGTTTTTAAAATGGAACAGGAGGAATACACAAAAGAAGAAATCAATTGGAGCTACATAGAATTTGTTGATAACCAGGATGTGTTGGATTTGATAGAGAAGGTTCAACATTGTTGCTTAACTTGTCTCTTGTTTATTTATATGAGCTAATCTTTCCAATGATATGTTTTTGTTTCTTTATATGTTTAAGTATTCTCCACTGTCCTTCTCATGTGTCATGTTTTATAACTTACAATTAGTTGCCCTGTCTTTCTGCAGAAACCTGGAGGAATTATTGCACTTCTCGATGAAGCTTGGTATGCAGCTAGTATTTTGCTCTATTTGATACATTATTTTTTTGAAGTTTTAGCGGACCTAAGTCATCATAGTTGCTGTGTACTTTTTAGTGTTTCTATGCACATGTGTACATGATGCTCAACAAATTTAATGAAGAAGAAACTACATGCTGTGTCGGTCACGTTCCTGTACTATACTGTTGCTTTTGTTTGATTTCATGTTTACTTCAATGCGTCATGCAGTATGTTTCCTAAATCCACACATGAAACCTTTGCTCAGAAGTTGTTCCAGACATTCAAAAACTACAAGCGCTTTATCAAACCAAAGTTATCTCGTACTAGTTTTACTATTTCTCACTATGCTGGAGAGGTAACTTGTTTTCCCTTGTATGTCTACAAAGTTTCTCTGACTATGAGGATAACTTAACTGTATGTCTTGTTTGTCCTCTCCCCAGGTAACTTATCTGGCTGATTTGTTCCTTGACAAGAACAAAGATTATGTAGTGGCTGAACATCAGGATCTGTTGACAGCCTCAAAGTGCTCCTTTGTGTCTGGTCTGTTTCCTCCTCCTGCTGAGGAATCTTCAAAATCATCCAAATTTTCATCCATTGGATCACGCTTTAAGGTATTATTGATTCATTCATCAACTCTATGTATCAGATAAACTGTAATTCTCATTGGTGTTATCTACGTTGCTTTTTTCAGGTATGAAACTCATTGGTTGATCCCATTGCCTGGTGTTACAAAATGCAAACTAATGGTCATTAGGAAAGCGAAGCATTCAAAATGTTTCAAACTTACTTAAATAAAGTGGTTAAAAAATTTTCTTTGACCTCTCATTCCGAATATGACCCAATAACTCAGGTATTGGGCATCATCATAGTGTACTTGATCCTGGTCACAAAAAAAATATTCAGACAATACAGGAAAAAGAAAAATAAGACCACGTGAAATAAAATGCTAAGTTCACCAGTTCAGTTTATATAGAAGTTAGGTTGTTGACCTGGTGTTTCTTTTCCTTTTTTTCTTTTGGAAGAGGGTTGGGGGGTTGAAACCGTGGGATGGGCAAGCAACGCTGATGGCAAAGACGGTACTTAATTATATCATGTCCTCCTAGAAAATTTTGCCTGAAAGGGTGATGACATAACTATTTCTACCAAAATGGTAATTTTGCCTCAACATTATCACAAAAAGTTCATGACTTTATTTCCGTGTTATCTAAACCATGAATATTTTGTTTTCTTTGAGCTTATTGATGGCATGGCTTGTGGAAGAAGGATAATAAAATAGATCCAGAATTACGTAGACTTCTTGAGTTAAGCATGCAGAAAATAAAACTAAGAGAGCTCATACACCTTACAGTGCTTATAAAAACCATAAATCCAGTCATTCTGATAACTATCAAATTGTTCTGCACCAATTTTGGTAATATGCTGATGCTCTTAACATGAATGATTTCTGGAGACAGAAAACATAGTTGATAGATCCTCTTCTTTCATTTGTAATCGCAACTACTGACTTCATAACTTGGAATTTATATAATTTCCTCTCTGATAAGCAAAAAATGTTTCAAAAATTGTAGCTACAACTTCAATCTTTGATGGAGACATTGAATTCAACAGAACCTCACTATATCAGATGTGTGAAGCCAAACAATGCCCTCAAGCCTGCAATTTTTGAGAATGCCAATATAATTCAGCAATTACGATGTGGTGTGAGTATAATTTGGCAGTATAATAATCTCTAGTTCTTTTCCTCTAAACTATCAAAAATGGTCCTTTTGATACTTGTTATAAAGTTATTTGTGTCATTTTCTTTCTTGTAGGGTGTTCTTGAGGCAATCAGGATCAGCTGTGCTGGATATCCAACAAGAAGAACATTTTATGAGTTTCTTCACCGTTTTGGTGTTCTTGCTCCAGAAATTTTGGAGGGAAAGTAAGTTGTAAATCCCATCATTTTATAGTTGTAATAAGTTTAGGGACAGAGAAAGTAAGTTGTAAATCCCATCATTTTATAGTTGTAATAAGTTTAGGGACAGAGATGGACATATTCATTCAATGGATGCTTACCTTGATAATGTATAAGTTAAAAAATTGCATCATAGTCTCTTGCTAATGTAAGGTTATGTGATAGATGCTTCAAATAAGATCCTTCTTTCAATATTTTCTAATGAAGTGGCTGGTATAGAACTTGAACATGTGCTTTTGAACTATTTTAGCCAAAGACTTGTTTGCACTATGTAACGGTCCCCTTATATTATATTGGTTGATGTTGGTATTTATGTAATACATCTTTTTTGGCTTCCCTTGTTTAGTTTTCCCTACTATTGCATATGATTTTACCATTTTCTTTTTGGTGTGTTTGTATGTGCAGTCATGATGACAAGGTTGCATGTGAAATGATCTTGGATAAGATGGGATTGAAAGGTTATCAGGTAATTGAAGCACAACCTTACAGATTTTAATGTGGTCATGGCATTTAGAAAGGACAATGAGATGAGAGGATTAAGGGGAGATCCTGCTATCTTTGAAATGTATTTTCACTTTCCTGCCCTAGCTTCATTCACAATGGCAAGGTGTGCTGAGATCTAAGCAAAAATGGAGAATAGCAGAAGGATTACTTGATTTTTGAATATTCTGTAATTTCTTGAGCATGCCACTAATTGAAAGTTGATACATATGATGTATTGCCCATGCTGCACCTTTTATGCTGGTAAGCATGGGCTATTAGCATTTAGCACCATTTGGTTTGTCCTTAACAGTTCCATGCAAAATGTGGTTAGGAAATGTGAAAACCTTGACTATTGCAGTGTAATCCAAGTAAGTCGACCACGAGAACAAACTCGGTGTTGTACCTGGTCCTTTTGGGGCTAAAGACAACCTTTACCCAGTTGTTAGTGTGTCATTTCTGTGGCAAAGGTATCCAATTTGGTTGGATAGCTAACTGGTTCTTTTCATTTTCATCATTAATTTAAGTATCTTTGATGAGTGAATGTACCCTGGATGAATTGGTGCCAACTTCTATCAAGCACTTATAGCTCTGTCAGGTGACATTGGAAGTAGCCATCTGTTTCTATTCTCTTCCATGATTAAAGATCTTGTGTGATCATCCATGCACATCAATCAGTTTGCATTTTTAATTTGTGTAGTACACTTTTTTTAACACAATTGGAATGGCAGATAGGTAAGACCAAAGTTTTCCTCAGAGCTGGTCAGATGGCTGAATTAGATGCCAGAAGGGCAGAAGTGCTTGGACATGCAGCCAGAACCATTCAAAGGCAAATTCAGACATATATTGCACGGAAGGAGTTTGTTGCACTACGTAAAGCTGCAATCATGTTGCAATCTCATTGGCGAGGTATCTTTTTAGCGTCATTAAAAGTTCAAAAACAGTTTATGAAGCTGATGATCTTCAGAAGTAGAAGTATAGAAGTACTTTTTAAATGCAATCATGGTTCTCAGATGCTTTTTTGGCTTTGAGCACACTGAAATTTGTATCCTGTTTATAACCTGTCTGTTTTCTTTTCATTGTAATTAGGCATATTAGCCTGCAAACTGTATGAGCAGTTGAGAAGGGAAGCAGCTGCCTTGAAGATTGAAAAGAACTTTAGACGGTACATTGCCAGGGAATCCTATTTAACTGTAAGGTTGTCTGCAATCACATTGCAGACTGGCTTAAGGGCAATGACTGCTCGGAATGAATTCAGATTCAGAAAGCAAACTAAAGCCGCAATCATCATTCAGGTCCTGCTACAACTACTTGATCATGTTCTCTTAATCTTAATAAATTAATTTGATTTTGGATAAAAGCTGCTTATCATTGCTGAAGCAATGGAGGTATGAAACTCAATTCAGAGAATTGAATATGGACTGAATACCTTTCTTAACATTCAGGCTACTTTGCGTTGCCATGTTGCATACTCTTATTATAAGAGTCTCCAAAAAGCTGCAATAACTACTCAATGTGGTTGGAGGAGAAGGGTTGCTAGGAGAGAGCTCAGAAAGCTGAAGATGGTTTGATCACATTCTTTAGTGCAGCTAGCTCACAAAAGCTTTAATGTACTTTGCATTTTAAACTCAATTATAACCATTAAATTTTTTTAGGCTGCCCGAGAAACAGGGGCTCTAAAAGAAGCAAAAGACAAACTGGAAAAGCGCGTGGAAGAACTTACATGGCGTTTGCAGCTTGAGAAACGTTTGAGGGTAATTTATGCCATTTTATATTCAAAAATATATTATTATTTACTACTGTTGCAATCTTCTGTAAAATGTCATCATTATCTGTTTTTACCAGTAAATCTTTACTTTTTAATTTATTAACAGACTGATTTAGAAGAGGAGAAAGCACAAGAAATTGCCAAGTTACAGGATGCTTTGCATGCAATGCAAATACAAGTGGAGGAAGCAAATGCTAAAGTCATAAAAGAGCAAGAGGCTGCTAGGAAAGCTATTGAGGAAACTCCTCCAATTATTAAGGAGACTCCTGTTATAGTTCAGGACACAGAAAAGGTTAATTCCTTGGCTGCTGAGGTAGAGAGTTTGAAGGTAAGAATTCTAACCTACACGATTGTGGTCAGTTCTGCAATTGTATGTCTATTTCCCTCCTATGAGGTTCTATGAGTAATTTGATTTGGATAGATGCAAAAATAATTTTATTTTCTATTGAAAGTATGTACTCTTAATGAATCTTGAGACTGTTGCTCCATGTGCTGATATGATATAAGTTCTGCCAATGGCTACAACTTCTATTTGTTAGGGTATAAAACTGAAAATCAGATGAACTTGCCAATCAAGACTACGAATGAATCAATTAATGTTAATAAATCTATGAAGTTGCAGGATAAACATAAAGGATGACAATAAATCAGTAATTATTTGCTGGTTCTTTTTGTAGGCATTTGATGTCAATATTTTAGGCTTTATTTTGCAGTTATCTGAAATTAGTAAATCATGCATTTGCCTTCTGTATCATCATGGGATGCATAATGTGGATTGACTTCCAGTTGCAAGATATTGCCGAGCAATTAGCTTAAACTTACTTGGCTTTCTATTATTTATCTTGGAGTCTTTAGATACTTTGATGATAACAACAGTGATGAAATATTCATTTGTCACTGCAGGCTTCATTGCTATCAGAAAGAAAAGTAGCAGAGGAGGCACGTACTGCTTGTACAGATGTTGAGGCCAGAAATGCAGAGCTGCTAAGGAAACTTGAAGATTCAGAGCGAAAAGTTGATCAACTTCAGGAGTCTGTGCAGAGGTCTGTGTAGAAAAGGAAGTTGTTTGAATGCAAACTAGCAATACTTTGTATTAAAATGTTGAAAAGAAAAACAAAAGAGGTAGAAAAGGGACCCAATCATCTCAGAACTGATAAGTGACAATTAATTCTCCCTTTTCCTAGCCTGTCTGGTTGTCAGTTGTCTTGACACTCAAATGTATCAGCCATATGTATTGCTTCACTTGATGCTTCTTTTTGCAAGCACCCTTTCCTTGCCTTCCTTTTTCTTCATGTGGCGCTTTATGTCCCATGTCTAAATGAAACTTTTTGATTTAATATCATTCAACCTCTTATAGTTGATTCATTCTATGCTTCAGGTTGGAAGAGAAGCTTACCAATTCAGAATCCGAGATTCAAGTACTTCGTCAGCAGTCACTGGTAATATCACCAACTGGGAAATCTTTGACTGCAAGACAAAGAACAATGATTGTTCCGGTATAAATTAGATATTATTAGTTCATTACACATCCTCATTTTGTAAAGTACAAGCTTAGAGAAGTATATCCTGAGTATTTGTCAATTAATTTGCAGAGGACACCAGAGAATGGAAATGTTATAAACGGAGAAACAAAGGTTCCATCGGTAGGGAGCATCATTAATTGTGATTATGGAAACTGAAAATTCATAGGATATAAGATGTTTTATTAGTTAAATTGCTTACTGCTCAGTATCTTCACAGGACGCAACTCTTGCCATATCAAATTCACGTGAACCTGAATCTGAGGAAAAACCTCAGAAATTCCTCAATGAAAAGCAGCAGGTTAGTGGGCATTGAAATGCATGTCACTTTTATGAAACTCATTCTAGCATCTTATTTGATACTTAATTTTGAGTAGTAGATTTCCTATTCATATGGATGTACCAGTCCTGATTTATTGCTTCAAATCTGCCTTTTGTGTTTCAGGAGAACCAGGACCTACTGATTAAGTGTATATCACAAAATTTGGGATTCTCTGGGAGCAAACCAGTTGCTGCTTGTATCATATATAAATGTCTTCTGCACTGGAGGTCATTTGAAGTTGAAAGAACAACTGTTTTTGACCGCATCATTCAAACAATAGCTTCTGCCATAGAGGTAAGCTATAGTTTGGCTTTTTAAACATTTTCTGCTTCTTTAGCCAATAAAACTCATCAGCTCTCAAAAGCCTTTGCATTTAGAGGCTGATAGAATTAGATTGAGAGCAACTGCAAGTTGTCAATGTCTTGCCTTTTTCTCACTTTTCTGGATGAAAAGAATATCATTAATGTAAACCACATCTACCTCACTGAAGGTCCAGGACAATAATGATGTCTTAGCCTATTGGTTATCCAACTCATCAACATTATTGTTGTTGCTCCAACACACACTTAAAGCAAGTGGAGCTGCAAGTTTGACACCACAAAGGCGAAGAGCAGCGTCAGCTTCACTCTTTGGGAGGATGTCTCAAGTAAGAAGCTATTATTTATCTTACTAAAAAATTTATCCTATCCTTTGCATATATTTAATTAATTTTTTTCCTGCTTTTCTTTTGTTTTAATATAAATTCTAGGGACTACGGGCATCTCCCCAAAGTGCTGGGCTTTCATTTCTTAATGGTCGTGGGCTTAGTAGACTAGATGACTTACGACAAGTTGAGGCCAAGTACCCTGCATTACTGTTTAAGCAACAGCTTACTGCCTTCCTTGAGAAGATATATGGAATGATAAGAGATAATCTAAAGAAAGAGATCTCTCCACTGCTTGGATTGTGTATTCAGGTTATTGCTAAGTTATTTCTTTTTTCAGGCTACATTTTTGGTTCCTTTTCAGTTTTGAAAATGAGACTGGGAATTTTTTTGAGTTGGGGATGTGTGGGTGACAGGTGTGTGGGTTATGAGACTTGATAACTTACTGCTATTATTTTAGAAATTGTTTGTTTATGGTTATCTTGTAACTAATGGTGCAAATAAGTACGAGTAAATGCACAGCATCACCTTTAATTGCATATTTTCAATACAATGCAGGCTCCTAGGACATCGCGGGCAAGTTTGGTGAAGGGACGTTCTCAAGCAAATGCTGTTGCTCAGCAAGCTTTAATTGCTCATTGGCAAAGCATTGTGAAAAGCTTGAACCGTTTTTTGACAATTATGAAAGCAAACCATGTGAGATCTGAAACTCTGCTTGAAAAGAAAAATTTGTAATCTTTCTTCTAGGGATTTTATGAGTCTCAATTTTCTGGTTATGCAGGTACCTCCCTTCTTAGTGTATAAAGTATTCTCTCAGATATTCTCATTCATCAATGTTCAGCTATTCAACAGGTAACTCTCTGTGTGAATGTGTATGCACATTTATTACTTTTATTATATGACAAAGTGAAAGGTTATGGTCAATTCCCATGATAACTGTGTGGCATTTGTCTTACTCATTTATGCAGTCTTCTTTTGCGACGTGAGTGTTGCTCATTCAGTAATGGGGAGTATGTGAAAGCTGGTCTGTCTGAATTAGAACAGTGGTGCTATGAGGCAACTGAGGAAGTAAGCCCTAGGCAATCATTTGTGACTATTATACCCTGCCTATTTTTTTCTTGTTTCTTTACCCTAATTCTTCTTGTGAACAGTATGCAGGTTCAGCATGGGATGAACTGAAGCACATAAGACAGGCTGTAGGATTCCTGGTTAGATTCATCTAATAGCATTTCTTGTTCGATAACTGTTTCTAAGCAACGATCTGATATGACTTACTCATGGACCATTTCTCTGCAACTCAGGTTATTCATCAGAAACCCAAAAAGACCTTGAATGAAATAACTAAAGAACTTTGCCCGGTAAATGCCTTTATCTTTCAAGATTCCTTACCTCTTAAAATTTTCCTTCTCTAAATCTCTTTCCTTCTATGTTGCTGCTTCTTCAGGTACTCAGCATACAACAGTTATACAGAATCAGCACAATGTACTGGGATGACAAATATGGCACACATAGTGTGTCATCGGATGTAAGTTCAAAATATTAGATATGTAATGTTGACTTATATGGACTGAATTACTAAACCTGTTTGTTCTGGCCCTTTCCGGAATTTTGAGATTCCTTCTTTCTGGACTTGCAAATTTTATAGATGAACTCCTGATTGTACAGGTCATTTCAAACATGAGGGTTATGATGACTGAGGATTCCAACAATGCTGTTAGTAGTTCTTTTCTATTAGACGATGACTCAAGGTTAGTTTGTTCTGCCTTTTAGCTTCATTTAGAAGAGTACTTAACCCAATATGTTTTCATTGAACACACTTCTTGATTTCTATATTTACAATTCATATGTCAATGTATGCAGCATCCCATTTACGGTGGATGACATCTCCAAGTCCCTGCAACAAGTAGACATAGCTGATGTTGATCCTCCATCATTAATTCGAGAAAATTCTGGTTTTGGGTTCTTACTTCCACGTCCAGAGTGATAATGTGGTTGCAGTCTCACATACTCATCAATACTATGCAATCACTGTACTAGTCCTGTGCATATAATTACATCATCTCTCATCTCCACGTGTATACAACTCTTTTTCTTTTCCTATTTTTCATATCCTCCAGGCTGGTGGTTTTTGATGTCTGGGGTCACATATGATTCTTTTCCGCATGTTCCATAAACATGGGGTATTTCTCAAGAAGCCATATCACCATTGGTTGTGATAATGTGCATGCAATATAGGAATAGGTTGCTCTTCTGCCCTCAACGGGTGTTTTGGTCTTTTCCATTTTTAAAATATTTTTTAATATCTTTTGGGGCAAGGGGCTCCTTTTGCATTGTTCTTGTTAGGGTTTGTGGGTTTTCTTGGGTGATTTTTGAGTGTAATTGCATTTTATAGGTCATGATTTGTTGTTTGAGTTCATGGTGTAAATCCCATCTTCCTTTTGTGAAAAAATAGTGGTATATTCCCTTTCTTGACTTGCTTAAATTTTGTTTTATCCACTCTCTGATTCCCAAATCAATTCAGATATAATACTGACAGCCCTATCTAATGAATTTTGTGGGTATTTTCGGAAGAAAATAATCCGATGATACTTGTTAATTGTTTGTTATTTCTGGTTGTAAATTTTTTTTTAACCTTTTGATTTATTAAGTGTTTGTTAAAATTATTTATTTATAGTGATTTTTTTTTCGTAAATGTAGGCATTTTAAGTGTCTGATGAAATTAGAACACTAGTTAAAGTCTGAACTTGATTCATATACTATCATAATAATGTTGTTTTGATGCCTGGATTCTAATTTAATGAATCTAATTTTTTTTACTTTTATAAAAAGTTTGTTTAAAGATGATTGACAGTGGTGTCAAATTTTTACAATTAAATTTAACTGATAAATATTTTTTCTTTTGACTTACCATGCTAACTTGAATTTTTTTTTTTTCACGTGGAACATAATATAATCTATAAATTCAAAAAGAAATTAATTTTTTAATAAAAAATATAACAAAATTTGGTTTTTTATAATTAGAAATATTAATTATTATTTTATTTTTAATCATATCTTGTAAATTTCAATTTGTATTAAAAAAATAAACATTCATAAATACCGCAGCTGAGGATACATTCTTCTCAATTTATATTGAAGAGAAACATTTTTCATTCCTTTAATTCGATTTAAAAGAAAAAAATAGGCATCCTTTACGACTATAAGAAACTAGCAAAAATGGTACTTTTTTAATTTAAAATTCACAAAAGGTAAGAACTAAAATTAATAACAAATTTTTTTCTTAATTTCGAATCAAATAAATGTACTCTGAGTTTTTCATGTTTCAATATGAGTTGGAGACCTGAAATTAGTTTAAAACAAGGATTAGTTCATTTGCTAAGGAAAGCGCTCCCTTTGTTTGTTAATCCTGATTTAGTTCTCGAAAAAATATTCAGAAAATAAAATTTTGAAAACACAGTTGTCTTTAAAATCATCCAGAAAATAAATTCAATCCAAGCAAAGCCTTGGATACCCCTGATCATATTAAAAAAAGAGAGAATTATAATGCTAAAAATATAAAATAAATTGCAAATAATAGGATATGATGACTGCATGTCAAACCCTGTAAATTAAAGGTAGAGAAATACTAATGAGCATTTCCTGATTTTGACAAAACATTTCTTACTATATTTACAAACATTAAAGCTTTGCTTTTAATTCTAGGAAGTTCAGTTTGAGGAAAGTTGATAAAATTATTACAGATTCTCAATCAAAACTACATGTTAGGACTGTCTAATGAAACCAATAACTGTTGTCCTTGTCCTTGAGCTGCAACATAAACACACTATCCATGTTGTTCTCGCATACAATCAACAGCTAGTAGGATTCACTCATTTGTAATGGTTTTCGTAACTATTTATGGGGCTATAAGGACTGGTGTGTCTAGGAAGAATCGCTCTCCTTCATTGGATTTTCCATTAAATTTGAAGGTTGATCTTGTTGACTTTGTAATACTGGCTGCATCTGATTCTCCGATTTCTTTTTCTCCTTCACAATCACCTGTCTAGGCATTACTTCTAACAGAAAGCTTCCTCCATTCCATACAGACGCAGAAACCTTGAGTATTTGGAAAATCACATGGAATTCATATGACAGGAAGATAGGGACTGTGAGTGCCATTGTTGCCACAGTAAAAATGGCTTGAAGTAAAATGTACATCAACATACGATTTTGATCCCCGAGCAACCCACTTAAACGCCACCATACATTGTTTGCTTTCTGGGCTTTTTTAGAAAGTTCCCTATTAAAGGAAGAAATCATCAGAATGAAGAGAAGCCAAAGCCAGACAGCTTAATGTATCAAAATGTTTTGAGCGAACCAGTGTAATGTAACAAGGCAATAGATAGAGCAAACCTGTAAGAAGTCATGACTTCAGGATCTCTTAACAGCCTCTGGCGACGTAGCACATTGACAATGAGGAAATAAAGAACTTGCCAGAGGGTATAAGCAACTAAGGGAACCCAAAACAGCCAAGTCCATAGGTAAGACTTGTCTTCTACATACGGCCATGAAATTCTGTGAGAATTACCTTCAGGATGCATGGCTTCAAAGGTTGCAGGATTCCACCATAGGATTGTGAAAAAAACTATTCCTGAAAGCAGAAATGATTATATTAGGCACCAAGAACATTTGGACTTAATTAGAAAGAATAATAAGCTTGGCCTCTCTTTCTAAAGAACCTTGACCACCAAATTCTAATTGTGTTCTTTTCCAGGAACACCTGCTCCAAAATTTGAGCAACACCTACCTGCCATATATTGAGTTCCCAGAATTTACTACTCACATAGCCACCAAGGGTACAAACTGTCAACACTTTTCACAGGTTGAATGTGATTTCTGGACCACCAGCAAGGAATAATGATCCAGCTGCTGGTGTTTATAGTTTCACAATCTACAAGAAACTAAGGTCATTGAATGTCTCTCAACCTCTATAGAAAACTGATGTTATCTCTAATTATTCTTCAAAGATTGGCAATAACATGTCCAAATATAAAAGCTGCTCTTCATTGTGCATATACTTTTCATTTAAAGTTCCCTTACATTGAAGTGTTGTATACTAGAGTTCACATTTGTGTACAGCAATAGTCCAGCACTTGTAACAGATATGACAAGTCAAATTATCAAAATTTTACCAACAGGGCATGTCCTACTAACGGAAAATTTCCAGGTACTTGACATCTCAGCTTTCTTAAACCTCCTTTAAAGGCCGCGCATTGATGCCATAGAAGCAGTCCCCTCTAATTAGAATCAGAAGATCAAGTTTGTACAGGGGAAACGACTCATTTCTACTTTTAACATTCCATTGAGATCAGAAATGAACCTATTAGGTGGACAATTAAGCTGTTTTTATGATCATGCAATAAACCTTGGCTATTGGTATCTTCCACATATGATGAGAAAAGCACACATTCACAAATTGAATGTTTAACAGCCTTGTAATCCAACTCACCCCCTCTTCCTTCCCTTTCAAAAGAAAAGGATAACAATAGTAACAATCTTGTTGTATCTAAAATGCTTTATAAAGATAGCAAGTGCAAATAAGGATAGCACACATACCAGGTAAAAGATGTATAAGGACACTAATAATTTTGTCCACGGAACTAAAAACCAAGCTACAACGCCAAACAATGAGTGCCCATGCTAGTGGCCCCTACAGTAGAATCCGAAAGAATGAAGAAGTTAAAATGATTCATTCACCAACTGAGATATGAATGTAAGCAACCAAGTATTATATAATATTACCTCAGCAAACGAAAAGCAAACCATGAAAAGCTTTTCCTTCCTAGGATACAGAAGAAGGTCAACCAAGAAGATTGTGTTCGCATAATAACAGAAATCCTGGCACACAGAAATGTATCACGTTAATCAGTTTTTGATACTGTCTTTAGATAAATTTCTTAAAAATAAGATCAAATTGCATAGTGATAGAACTGACCAGGAGATAGTAATGCCATTTCTTAAAGCGGTAGTATATCCATCGAAGAGGAACAAAGGTGACATAGAACAAACAATATACATAGGGAATATCTTGTGGTCCTGAAGCCAAAATTCAAAAACAAAACAAAGAAGAAAAAATATTAATAGATTCCAGAACCAACATTTTTTTAAGCAATTCCATCTATTCAAGGCTAAGTTTACTCACTTGCTCCCAAGAGAAAGCAAAACGCTCCGAACCCGAGAACTCCCAAAAGATGTGTCACCTAAACATCAAAAACCGAAAAAGGAAAAACAATCCAAAATTATACTTCGGACCCCATGTTCTTAATTACAAATCCACACGACAAACGTAAACGTCAAAAAAAAAAAAAAAGGATTAAAACATTACCTTGTTGATAAAGCGTTCGTGTTCTTCAGCTTGTTTAACGATCTTAACAGCCTGTTTCGACAACATCTCCTTCGTTTGAACCGCTTGTTTAGACAACATCTCCTTCGTTTTCGCCACTTTCTGCACCCAAAACCAAACCCACGTCATAAAATTAAAAGGAAAAGAAAAAGCAAATGCAAAAACACAAACTTCGATTCAAAATGACTTAAAAAAGAAGAAAAAATCATGGTTTTCCAACAATTATACCTCGGATCGATCCTTGAACCTCCGGTACACCGTTCCAGACGAATCCCCATTCACATTCATGTCCTCCACGAATTCATCGCTGCTCGACATCTTTTTGGGTTGCTATAATTGAAACCAAATCAATTAACAATACAAGAAAGACGACGAGAAAAAGGCTGTCGCTTTCTTGTGAATATATATACGGAGAGACATAAATCTAAAGTAAACGTTGCTGTACACTTCTGGTTAACAATGATTTTGATCAACTTCTAATCAGATTAAGCATGATTGATGAAATACTAAATAATCCTCTTCTGTAATTAGAGAACGTTACGGACTCCGTGGACCCGTGCCCTGGAGCATAGATGATATAGATAGGTGACCGGTAAACTTGAATCATTACTTATTTTGCTTTCAATTTTAATTTGTTTTTTATATAATATTTAACACAATTTTGTATCTGTCCAAACAAAAAAAAAAAAAAAAAAGAAGAAGAAAATCAAGGTAAATTCAAAAGTTTTTATTTTTTATTTTTTATTTCGTTTTGAATATCAGTTCAATACTAAAAACTAAAAGCAATTTTAACTATTACAATATTTAATAAATTTAAAATTAATATTTCAGCATCGATAATCATTATCTGTCTTCGATATTCTTTATAAAAAAAAATTGTAATCTATGCTTTTTGTACACGAAAGAAAAAAAATAAATAAATACTACATTGCCTTTTCTTGGTGTTGGAAATGTTTAATATATTTAGAGGTCCAAAATTATTTTTAATTTGGTTTTTTTTTTTTGCCTTAGCAGTTACTTAATGCATAAGAATGGCCTCCAAGTATAAGAAACTTTACGTAAAATTTAATAGGTGAAATTTATAAAATTTTTATTAAAAATTAGCAAATACAAATTTTAATATAAAATTCAAATCAGTATATTAATTAAATTTAATGTGAAAATTAATAATATATAAAAAATTATATATAATATTATTTTATAATTTAAATTTGATTGATATTTATTTAACTATAAATATTTTTATTAAAAATATTTATTTAATAAATATATAAAAAAATTTAAATTTTATACGTTTAATTTATGTGATGAGATATTTTAATTTTAATTTTAATTTTAAATTTTATTTATTCATTTTTAATAAAAAAATTTCATGAATTTTACCATTATTATTTCGTGCAATTCTTTTCCCAAGTACAAACATGCCCATGTTTCTAATGAGATTATAATTAAAGCATAATAATCAAGTTTTCACACTTTTAGCACTGAAAATTTAAAAAGATTAATGTCTTAATAATATTATTCATTTTTCCTACGAGGACAAAAATGTCTTTATAATTTGAAAGCTTTTACGTGTGTAATCTAAGATTCAACATACAGGAGCCTTTAAATATAACACTGTTTTTACTCTTTACTCTAATTTTTCTAATGAAATTATTTAATTATTTTTCTCACAATTTTTCAAATATTCGTATTTGATAAATTATTAACTTATCGAAAATCTATTTTTTAAAAATTATATAACTTATCAAAAATAGATTTTTATAAAGTCATATAACTTTTCAAAATTTTATTTTTATATCCAATAAATTTTATAATTTACTAGAAATTTATTTTTTAAAAGTTATAAAACTTACCGAAAATAAATTTTTGAAATATTATATAAGTTTTCAAAATTTTATTTCTGTAAAAAAGGATTGTAAATTTTTTAAGGAAAATTACGAAATTATTTTATTAAAAAGTTTTATTACTTAACATAATGAAAATTTATTATTGAAAAAAATAATAAATTTTAAAATTAATATAAAAAGTTGATTTTATTGTTTTAACCTTAAAGAAAAAATTAAATCTTATGAGGTACTAATTAAGCATTTCATATCTTAATATTATGAAAGATGATGAAATAACTATAAAATATAATCAAAATATAAGAGCTTAAACTTTTTTAAATTGTACAAATAATATTACTAAATATTACATAATTATGTTAAAATATAATATATTAACTAGGGAAATCTATGCGATAAGTAGATAGGGAGACTTATCCAAATAGTTTTGTTTATTTAGGGTTATTATAAAATTTTAATAATTGATTAAAAATATATATTTATTAAAAATTAATATATTTTAATTTAAAAAAATTTTACATTTACTATTTTATTCTTAATATAATTAGGGTCTCATAAAATTTTATTATTTTTTTAAAATCAAAATAGTAAAATAATTTCATTTTTATTAGTTTTAAATTTTATAATTTTTATTACACTGATTAATAAAAGTTTTTAATAAAATTTATTTTTTAAATTTTTTCTCAAAACTTTAATTTCTAACTCTTCGAAAATAGATTTTCGAAAAGTTATAACTTTCCAAAAATCTATTTTCAGTAAGTTATATAATTGGAAATAAATTTTTGAAAAGTTATAAAATTTGCTAAATATAGATTTATGAAAACTTGTAAAAAAGATAATTAAATAATTTTACTTACAATAAATTTTGAAAGAAAAATGAGGGTTTAAAGAGCAAAATTTGTAGTAAATTTAGAATCACTCTTCACATATATACTTTTGTGTACATGGTAAATTATCATAATGTCCTTGCATTTGCTTCATGATAGCCAGACATGTGGTATATTTTTTTTATTGAAAATTACTATAATATCACTATTCAATTACATATTAAATTAATTATCTACAACTTAACTTTTTTTTAAATTACTATAACATCAATATTAAATTACATATTAAATTTTATAATATAAGATTTAACTACATATTAAACTACTGTAATACCCATACACTTTATTCTTCGTGAAAACCTAGCATGTGGCATGCATTTACAAATATATATCTTACCCATAGTCTATCTATTACTATATAGAAATTAACTACAAGTATAGTTACTATAATACTCCTATTTGTTTATTTGCCATTTGCTTCATCTAAGATTAATAGAAAATAAACTACATGACACGTATATTGCTGACACGTATACTTTTAGAGACATTAAAGGCATTATTTTTATTAATTAAGGTCAATATAAAATATTTTAGAGTTTATTAGCTAATGATGAAATTAGTGAATGAAAAGTGAAAAAAATATTTTAAAGGAGATGGAGATTTTGAGCCAATGGAAATAAAGAAGAAAAAAAGACGAGAAAGGTAGGGATTCAAAATAGGAAGCTCATGCAAAGGGATGGTAATGGATTGAGTTGGGTGGGATTGAGTTAAGATGGATTTTTGCTTGACTCAACTTCTTAATATTTAAAATTGAATTTGATCTGATTTGATATTAAAATATTATTTTTATATTTAATTCTTATATTCATAAATTGTAAATGACTTGAAAATGATTTAATAATTTTAATTTAGTATAATATTTATAAAATATTATTTTTAATATAAATTATATATTTATTATACATAAATATAGTTTTTTATTAAATTAATAGCTTGAATTAAAATATTACATAATCATTTTATTAATATAATACATATATATAAATATAAAATATATTTTTATATATTTGGATTAAGCAGAGCGTGCTACCTAAAATCAAACTCTCATCTGAACTTAATCTTAAAAAAAAATCAATTCAACTTTTGATTTTTAGAAAAATTTGATACTATTAGATTTGGATGATTCAGAATCTATTGATAAGATTATCGATAACGAAAAATTATAATGAATTTATGTAAATAATTTTATTATGATTAATTGTTAAGCATATAATTATATAGGTCCAAGTTGGGATTTTTTCCTAATTAATGTGATTTTTAGGTACTTAATACTATTTGTTTGAATATAATTTCAATTAAAGTTTATAAAGAAAATTACTAATTATCTCGCCATTTTTATCTCAAATGAAATGGTAATAATTTATTAGTTTGATTGTAATATCTTATTTATGAACCGATAGACAACAAATTTGAATTTATGGAGTAATAATTATATGAAAGAAATACAAGTGTTTAAAATAAAATGATAGACAAGTAGCATAACACAATTATGAAATACTACTAATTTTAAATAGAATATAGTATATGGAAATATGGTTTTCATGCAACATAAGAATAAAATAAAATGGGCATCGTATTATAAACTGAGAAAACAAGTCGGGGTGACTTTGAAAAATGGGGAGTGGGCTAATGAATTTTGGTCATAATTGAAATAGTTCGGAGGTAGATATATAAATGATATATTAGTATTCGTAAGTTATTTGGATTTGATTTGAATAAAATTTAAATTCGATTAGATTATTATTGAATTGAATTCGAATTCGAATAATTTGATTTATTGATTAAGTTAAATTTGAATATTTTTATATTCAATTTAAATTATTAACGAATCTAATTAAATTTTTATATTTTAAATTTATAAAATATTTTGAATTTAAATATAAATAATCGAATATTTATTAAATATAAGAATCATATTTATTTTTATATGTTAATTAAGTGAATTTGAATAGTTTAATTTTTATTTTGAATCGAACTCGAATTAAAAAATAAAATTTAATTAAATTTAAATCAAATTTTAAATATTAAATTTAAAATTAAACTCAAATTCAAATTTAATTACGTATTAACTCAAACTCATCGATTGAGGTCTTTAAAACTTTGAAGTTTTGTCACGTGATTGTCACCGGAGGGAAGGGGCATTTCATTTTAAAACATTTTGGTAACGTGGGAAAAGCTAGTTTGGAGGGAATTGAAAAATGAAAATCATACTGATCTCATCTCACAATTTTCATAAATAAAATATTATTATTCATTTTTTTATTCCTCCTGTCTTTCTGACTGAAGTCAAGTGGGCTGCTTAACCATGTTACATGCAAGTAAAGTATATGTGCCTTCACGCCCAATGGGACAGCTAAGCTAAACCTCAGGCTACAAACTTAGAGCAATGCTTCTTGCACAGGACAAAATATTTATTTTCCATTTATTATGTTTCTGCCAACAGTTTTCTCTATTTGTTCTTTTCGACACCCGATTTCGTCATCTTTTTTTTTTTGTGAATTATATTACTTTAATAATTTTTTTTTGTCATTTTGATATTGCATATAAAATTATCAAGTCTAATTATGGTAATTTGGCAAATTCATTTTTTCTTGCAATTTAGGATTTCTTGTCCTATATTAAAACTATGGTTGAGTAGTGACCAGTATAATCTACCAACCTAAGTTATATGAAAGTAAATCCAACTTATAAGGCAACCAAATCTACCCCCTTTAATGTCATTTCAAGGGTTCAAAATGGAAAAATAGATAGAGAGGGGTAAATATGAAAAGAAGAAAATATACATTCTCAGAAGCAAAATTTGCACAAAGATAAGGGTCACAACGGTAAATACTATGATAATAAATAATTACAAAATATAATTCGTAATATAATGTCTTTTCGTCGTTTGGTTTGAAATGTTGGATTGATAAAAAGGGCAGCGGCAATTCAGAGACCAAAGGGGACAGTGACCCACCGTGACAAGCGCAGCTTAATAGTTCAGCCGCCTTAACTCGTTTCTTGTAAGATTTCGATATCTCCGCCTTATTCTCTTCAGCTCCTATGTTTTTGCTTTTTTTTCTTCCTGAGATTTTTGTATATGCTTTCGTTGAATCGAGAGAAATATTTGAAATTTTGGATAGGCAAAGGCCAAAGGGAGTCTACGTATTGAACTGACGAGAACAGGGCTTCTGATTGTGAAATTTTGGTCTTTGGAAAGCCCATACTGGTAATTTAATTTATGGGTTTATTACTTAATTCAGTTATTATTTTTGTATTTTCTTAGATTTAGATTTGTTTAATGAATTTTTAGTAATTTTTTGTTTACCATCGGTTAATCTGATTATTTTTTTATTTTATATATATAAAAAGATGATGTTGGCCAAAACTGAAGCGAGGAAGAAGAATGGTGAGGATTCGGGTAATGGGAAATTGTTGAATGAAATTGAAGCTATTAGCAAAGCTTTGTATTTGGACAAGAATCCTTCAAGGACTTCATTTTCTGCTTTTAATACTCGGTCCAAACCAGCCGGGAAAACCCACTTGCCCGAACCAAAATCAAAGCTTAAGAATAATAATGAGGACCCATCACGTAAAGACAAGAAATCCATTTGGAATTGGAAGCCGTTGAAAGCACTTTCGAATGTTAGAAACCGTAGGTTTGCTTGTTGTTTCTCACTTCAAGTACACTCCATTGAAAGTTTGCCTGTACGTTTTAATGATCTTAGTCTATGTGTGCATTGGAAGAGACGGGATGGGGGTCTAGTGACTCGTCCTTCTAAAGTTTTTGATGGAACTGCTGAATTTGAAGAGAAGTTGACGCATACATGCTCTGTATATGGTAGTAGAAGTGGTCCTCACCATTCAGCCAAGTATGAGGCAAAGCATTTCCTGCTCTGTGCCTCTGTGTTTGGAGCACCAGACCTTGATTTGGGGAAGCATCGAGTTGACCTTACGCGGTTACTTCCGCTTACATTGGAGGAACTGGAAGAAGACAAGAGCTCAGGGAAGTGGACAACAAGTTTTAAGTTATCAGGGAAGGCCAAGGGTGCTACAATGAATGTTAGTTTTGGTTATATGGTTATTGGGGATAATTCCGTTCCACTTCGAGATAATCAGTATGGCACTGAGTTGTCACACATGAAGCAGAATAATCTGAGTAGGGGAAAAGCAGCTACTAAATTTGGTCACAGTGATCAGAAGGGCACAATGAGGCGTGTTGAGAGTCTTCCTAGTTCAGTTAGCATCAGGTCACTTGGCTCATCTCGCTTCGTGGAGGAGATAAAAGATCTTCATGAAGTTTTACCGGTGTCAAAGTCAGAGCTTAATGATATAAATATGCTAGATCAGAAACTTGATGAAGACAAGTCAGATGCTTCGGCTGCTTCCAAGCCTGAATCTGATGTGTTAACTGAAAATTTTGAGCCCATCAGACCTCCGGCTTCCCTTGCATTTGAATCAAGTAAGGAGAATATTGAAAAAGAAACTGAAGATAATGACTTCTCTGTTGTGGAAAAAGGGATAGAGTTATCTTCAGAAGAACAGGCTAGGTTGGAGGAAGATTCTGTTATGTCTGCTTTATCAACAGTAGAAAGCCCTCAAGTTGTTGAAATTAATCCTGGCATGGAAGTAAATTCTGAAGAATGCTCTCAGCTTCATTCCTCAAATGAGGAGAATGGTAGTAATCAAGGTGATGTGCTTGTGGTGCAAGATTGCAATTCCAAAGAGGATGACCACTGCTCAAAAGAATCACTGACGAGAGAACTGGACTTAGCTTTATATGGCATAAAAAATTTGGAGGCAGCATTAGATTCTCCTGATCCTGAAGACCTGGAAAACTACATGGAGAATAAAGCTAATTATAAAACAAATAGGAAGGCAAAGTCACTTAGCTTGGATGAAGTTACTGAATCTGTCGCAAGTGAGTTCTTGAATATGCTTGGTATTGATCACAGTCCATTCAGCTTGAGTTCTGAGAGTGAACCTGAGTCACCAAGGGAGCGTTTGCTAAGGCAGTTTGAGAAAGATATACTAGCTAGTGGTTTTCCGTTATTCAATTTTGACATGGCTGATGGGGAGGAACTAGAATCTGGCTTTGACACCTCACCTGCACCTGGTTGGGGGAACTTGACTGAGGGTTTTGATCTGTCATCTGTTATTCAAGATGCTGAGCAAGAGCATCAGATGGCAACTAATGGGAGGATCAAAACGAGGGCTAAAGTATTGGAAGACTTGGAGACTGAAGCTCTTATGCGTGAGTGGGGATTGAATGAGAAGGCTTTTCAGCATTCTCCATCTGGCTCTTCTGGTGGGTTTGGGAGTCCAGTTAGTTTGCCTCCTGAAGATCCACTTGAACTGCCACCTCTTGGAGATGGTTTAGGTCCATTTCTTCAGACAAAAAATGGAGGGTTTTTACGGTCTATGAATCCCTCTCTTTTCAGGAATGCCAAAGGTGGTGGGAGCTTGATCATGCAGGTGTCTAGTCCAGTTGTTGTACCTGCAGAAATGGGTCCTGGTATAATGGATATACTTCAGCGACTGGCCTCAGTTGGGATTGAGAAGCTCTCTATGCAGGCAAGTAAGTTGATGCCTTTGGAGGATATAACCGGTAAGACTATGCAACAAGTAGCATGGGAAGCTGGGCCCACTCTGGAGGGACTGGAGAGGTTTGTGACTCTTTTTTTTTGGTTCCCCACCATATATTTCTTTCTTTTTGTTTGTAAAATCATACTAATATTATATGTTACTGCTTCTTCTATGCAGGCAGTGTCTGTTGCAGCATGAATTTGAGGTTGGGCAAGATATGTTTAGTGGGCAAAAGAAAGTTAAAAGATCACCTCTACCCAGCTTTAACAAACTTAATTCAACCTCTGTCAATGAGATGGGCTCAGATTATGTGTCCCTTGAGGATCTTGCACCATTGGCAATGGATAAGATTGAAGCACTCTCAATAGAAGGATTGAGAATTCAATCGGGCATGTCAGATGAGGATGCATCTTCAAACATCAGTGCACAGTCTATTGGGGAAATTTCGGCTCTTCAAGGCAAGGGGTTTGGTATTAGTGGGTCCCTTGGTCTGGAGGGAACTGGTGGGTTGCAATTGTTGGACATAAAAGACAGTAGTGATGATGTTGATGGATTAATGGGTCTCTCATTAACTCTTGATGAATGGATGAGACTTGATTCTGGGGATATTGATGATGAAGATCAAATAAGTGAGCGAACTTCTAAAATCCTTTCTGCTCATCATGCTACATCATTGGACTTGATTCGCAGAGGGTCGAAGGGAGAGAAAAGACGGGGTAAAAAGTGTGGTTTATTAGGGAATAACTTCACAGTGGCATTGATGGTGCAACTTCGCGATCCTATAAGAAACTATGAGCCAGTTGGTGCACCAATGCTTGCTCTTATTCAAGTGGAGAGAGTATTTGTCCCACCAAAGCCAAAGATATACAGTACTGTTTCAGCTTTCAGGAACGACAATCAAGAGGACGAGGACTCTGAATCTGCTGTGAAAGAGGAGGTGAAAATCGAGGAGAAGAAAGAAGAAAAAGCTTCCCAAGAGGAAGGGATTCCTCAATTCAGAATCACAGAAGTCCATGTTTCAGGTTTGAAGACCGAGCCTGGCAAGAAGAAACTTTGGGGTACGACAACCCAACAACAGTCTGGTTCTCGATGGTTGCTTGCCAATGGAATGGGAAAGAGCAATAAACATCCATTATTGAAGTCCAAGGCTGCTTCTAAATCTTCAACCCCCCCAACAACAAAGGTTCTGCCAGGTGACACTTTGTGGAGCATCTCATCTCGTATTCATGGTACTGGGGCTAAATGGAAAGAATTGGCAGCCCTTAATCCGCATGTTCGAAATCCTAATGTTATATTCCCCAATGAAACTATCGGATTGTGATGAGTTGCACGTGCATTGGAATCTGCTTAAAAGGATTAGTGCTTCTAAATAAGATGATGTGGCTGATAGCAAGCCGCAGTATACAGCTTTGAGATTAGATAGTGTTCATGAGTTCTGCTTGTAGAGGATTTTCTGGTATTTATTTTGAATGTGTTCAATCATGCAATTCAAGTCAAAAGCAAAGGTGGGGTTACATTTTCGTTCCGGTGTTGTGAATTTATATGTTTTTATGATCAAGAAAGCATGGTGTTATTTGTGTCATTTAATGTAAATTGTGTAGTCTCATTTGTCTCTGTTCACTCCTGCAGCTAGTCTCTGTCGCAAAAAATCAAGCTTACATAGGCTTGTTTTATTGGTAGAATACAATTAAACTTTTGTTGCCACGAGAATTGCACTTTTTTATTAGTCTGATGAATACAAGTGAGGGCAAATCTGATAAATGTATGAGAAAACAGCCTCATTTCATCTCTGTCTAGTTCAAAAGTGAAAAGATATGAGGTGGAGTGAGAATCCAGCAGGTTCATCTCTGCCGTACAAGTTATGCATTTAGGTTTTAGAAATTGTTCTCAACCAGACCTTGGCTATTCGTTGCGAGCCTTGTAAGGCTCTTCTTTCTCTGTTTCCGAATACTTCGAGCAATCCATATGGTAAGTCAGATAAAATGTGATAAGAAGACAACGCCAACCATACTAGCAAAGCAAGCCCAATCACAGAAAGTACTGTGGTTTGCTCACCATCTGGAGTCAGAGTCCTTACTAAGAGTAGGTAGGTGTGGGCCATCGATGTCATTGTCACCCACACGGCAGACGGAAGAATCCACATAACAGGTCTTCGCTTCAGGCGCAGCCACTTACAAGCAGGAACATTGTGCTGAGAGAGGCAACAAAAGAAACCGTGTTGAATATCCAAAATGAACTGTAGACACTTCGATCACAAGTAGCAAGTACTAATTCTCCAGCTTGGAAATATTCCTTTGTCCTCACTGGTAGAATAATGGTCCCAAACACCAGCAGGAAGGCTAAGGGGACTGCAACTAATGCTGCAGCCACCATCAAGGTGTTGTATTTCCTCTTCAACCAATCTTCATACTTCAATTGTCTTTTCTTCATGCTGCTGCCTTGAGGAGTACCAGATCTTGGTGGCACTTTTGAATTTGCATCCACCATGGCCAATTCGCTTGCTACAGTAGTTTCCTCACTGGTATTAACAGTTTCACCATTTCACTGTTCCCATTGGCAGAGGCCTGATGAAGAGGTGAAAGCCCTTGTGAGTCCAGCTTGACCGCCAGTTCGGGTCTATGATTTACTAGTTCTTCTGCAAATTTCAAGTGACCAAGCTTGCCTGCAATATGCAATGGCGTTTTGTTGAAGCAAGTATTTGAGTCTTTGGCTAGAATAAGCTTATCTTCTTCCATTAAATGGTTAAAGGAGACAAAATTTCCGCTCGGTGATGCTTCGTGGAGCTTTTTTTCTTTTAATTTTTTTTCTCTCCGAATTCTCTCATACCCTTCCATTGATGATGCCCTCTTTTGCACTTCCTCTGTGCTATCCAGAGAAACCAACTCGTTGTTGTGCCCCTACTTGTGGTAAGTGGTAGCATTTTTATCCACTTTCTCTGCCCTTCAAGATCCAAATAGGTAGAACCATAGAAAGCACTTCGCATGCTAGCCATGTCTTCCTTCTGGTCCAGTGTAGGGGCGCACTCATCTCGGCTCCAAATCCTTTTCGATGTTTAAACACCTATCTCTTATTCATTTTTATCCAAATTTGGCGCAAGTCGCCCTCCAACTACTGGCAACTAAATGAGTCAAATCAAGAATGATTGCGCATGATAATTATTTAATAGAAAATGAACTCCTCATTAAATTTCGGGGTAGCTGCTCACCATTAAGACTGATCGTGGACATAATTTTCATAGTTGCTCTGCTCCTTTATCCCATTTACTCATGACTCATGAGTCTAACTCAGGTGTATGACATGAAAGCTATAAAAGTCTCTTTCTTCTTCTTGAAGTAGTGCAAAATCACATTAAAATGAAAAAAAAAATTGATTTCTTAGTACCTTTTGGAGGATGAAATTACTCCAAGATTTTTAATAGCTGATGCTTGAAATCAAGGGTGTAGCATCACTATGATGACCAAATTCACAGCTGTGAAACCATGGGAATGCTATCTAACATTAATGATTTTATCAAAGGATGCAGTATCAATATTCCAATTTCTAATGATAATTGATTACATTATCACCAATGAAAGGGGGCGCAAACTCAAAAGGTACAACCATAACACATTCTAATTAAACACAACAAGTCAGACAAATGTCAAGCAAAATGCCATATTTGGCTCCAACAATGTATCCCTTGAGAAACAGTAGTTGTTTGAATGACCAGCTCGGTTTCCACTGAGGATTTGATCTTGAAGACGTATGCATTCAGGCATTGCCTTGGTCCTGATCTTGCCTTTCTTTTCTGCGCCTAGAAAGCCGCTTCTTTATGTGTTTTCTTACCCTATGGACAATCCAAATGATAAAAGTAAAACGGGCAGTATGAGCTAAGAAGACAATGCCAATCAGGGCCAACCATACAAGCATAGCAATTGCGACCACCATTTGTACAGTTTGCTCGTTGGCTGGTGTGATGGTCAACATGAAGCAATGTGGTGACTGCCATAGATGTTATCGTATGTTATCGGTTTCCACTGAGGATTTGATCTTGAAGACGTATGTATTCAGCCATTGCCTTGGTCCTGATCTTGCCTTTCTTTTCTGCGCCTAGAAAGCCGCTTCTTTATGTGTTTTCTTACCCTATGGACAATCCAAACGATAAAAGTAAAACGGGCAGTATGAGCTAAGAAGACAATGCCAATCAGGGCCAACCATACAAGCATAGCAATTGCGACCACCATTTGTACAGTTTGCTCGTTGGCTGGTGTGTTGGTCAACATGAAGCAATGTGGTGACTGCCATAGATGTTATCGTCACCCACATGATAGCCATGAGAATCCACACAAATAGTCTCCGCTTCAGAGGTAATCCACTTTTTTTGTTCTTGTATTCTTCTAAAACCAATTTGGTTGATATTCTCTGCAATCAGTAGTAAGTCACTTCAACTGGGGTGTTTTCCGGAAAGGAAAGGCCCGAACTTAGTAATATCAAGTGTGGCATAAAGTCATTAGTTCTGGAAGTCTATGGAAAACGGGAAGACACAAGTCCTGATACATGAGATATTTACAAGGTTGTCATCTAGCTTCATTACTGCAGGATGCAAAAACTATTGCCTGAATAAATTCTTTTAGGAGCAGGATATTCAGCAGAAGATTAGTGCAAACATTTGAGAACTTAAATTTAAGACTGAATTTGCTACAGAGAGGCAGCTAAAATCAAGATAGTGTTTTTCCATCATGTTCTTTGATGTTTACAGTATCCCTGTCCCTGCCCTGTTCCACCAAGAGCTTTACAGTTTTCAAACGGTTGTGTTTCACAGTCAAGTGTAGGAGGGTGTCTCCCTCCGCCAGTGTATATTGAGCTGCATCAGGATTCACATGCACCAACTCTTGTATAACATCAATCCGGCCTTTCATTACGGCTAGATGAAGAGGGGTTCTACAATCTTCATCTCGAACAAGACGCATATAAGGATCCACTAACAATAGCAACTTAACCATTTCAGTGTAGCCATTGGAAGAGGCCAAGGGAAGAGGTGAAAGCCCTTGAGAATCCAACTCTGAGGCAAGTTGTGGTCTACTATTCAAAACTGCCTCTGCAAAAGGTAGGTGACCTAGCATGGCGGCGATATGCAAATGAGTTTCATTGAAGCTTGAGGTTGAGAATCGGGCTAGAGTGAGTCCATCTTCTTCCATTAATTTGGTTTAAGTAGTTAACACTCCCGCTCGGGGATGTTTCAGAGAGCCATTTCTCTCTCAGAATTCTTTCACGATCTTCCGTGGATTATGATGTTCAATCCTTGATCCATAATATCCACCAAAACTACCTCAGACATCACATCCAATTCTAATGGAGAGTACCCTTAATAATGCTATCAAAGACAGTGCGCCTTATCATTTTCACAATGTGAATCAAAAACAAGTTTATCGACAAAGGAAGCAAGCCAGACTTGAATATTTTAAGTTCTTCTGTTCTAAAATGAAGAGGCTAGTCAACTTTATCCACAAATTTGGGAACTTTTCAAGTTTTAACTATCATCTTCTAAAACAAAATTTAAACATAAGTTTAATCTATAAGTTCTAACTTCCAATTATTATCTTCTAAAAGAACTTGCAATTATCATCAAGATGAACTTCACTTCAAATCCTACTAAAACTCTTTTAGGTATTGTTATAGATGAGAAAAGATTAGAAAAGCATATAATAATAATAGAAAATCCACAATTTCATATCCATGTCATTCCAATTTGGTATGCTTTACAAGAGAAATGGAGTGAACAACGTTGAAAAAGGAAGAAATCACAACCAATGATATGGGCAGAACAAAACTTGTTTCTAACAAAGCTCCCCGAATCCCAACCCCCCCCCCCCCCCCCCCCAAAAAAAAAAAAAAAAGATCGTCCCGACTTTAACATTTACAAATCGAACACAATAATCTGAAACTAGTGACCACAAGCTTGAAACAATAGGTTTAGCGTAGGCTACCCTGTATGAAACTTGTAAAATTTTCATTGCTCTCATCTCACACATCTTCCTGGTCATTGTCAACTTGATCAGCTGATGGTTTCTGCTCTTTTTCCTTTATAAGTCCATACTTTCTAAGAACCCATAAGTTCATACGAATCATATTCCCAATGAAAACAACTCCCATAAGACACAACCAGGTTAAGACTGATATCTCCGTTACATCACGCAGCATACCTGTGGCGCTCTCTGGTGACATATGTCTTAGAGATATGAAGTAAGTTATCACTTGCGCAGTGATGGCAATCCACATTATAATCATTTGAATCCACATCCATCTCCGTTTCTTAAGGGGTAACCCACTAACAAGCAGGAGGATTATGCTTAGAGATGCAAGGAAAGCAAGTGTGTTGAAAATCATGAATTGACCATACTCAATATCCTGGTTGTATGCCATAACAGCAGTCCCGGCTTTGAGAGGGTGCTCCAGAGGGTTTCCATTCTCATCTACTGTTTCGTCTGCTTGCCAAACACCCCCTGGCGGGGTTATTGCAGCTTGGAACGCCACAGTTGCAATCAATGATGCTACCACCATCAACGCACTTCGCTTCCTACCAAGCCAATCAGTGTGCTTATGCTTTATTATTGGTTTCTTTGAATTGCTTTCTTCTGCGGATACATGTGAGACCAGGCGCTTTGTTGTCTGGGGAACTTTTGTTGGATTTGGAACCCATTCAGGTGCAATTATATGTAGATCTCTAGCATTTAAAACTCCAGCATCTCTAAGAATACATTCAATCTCCATGTCTCTTATATCCCTGGGGCTCTGTATCAAAGTATCTAACACCGTGAAGCCATTCTTATTTATTGCATTTATATCCAGTCCAGGAATGGTAAGCAAAAACTTTATGATCTGCAAAATTTATGCAATAGCATTATTATCAAATGAAATGCAACTGAACCAACCTTTTGGATATCCACATGCACATGAACATTACAATACTAGATCTCCCAAAGCCAACTCTACAATACCTCTGCATTAAATTCTACACCTAATGATATGAAATCTTATTTTGGTACAAAGGAGACCGCAGCATGGAAATTAGAAGAGATTCGGGTTCCATATGAAATCTTTTAACGCTTCCAGAATTAATCTAGTTTGACTAAGAGAACAACTAACAAAGTTGGGAGTTTCTTAATCCAATATTTTAGCTACCAATTATGCTCTTAACTCAAATTGTCCTTGAAAAAAAAAAAATTTTTGGCAAACACAATTGTACCTTAGTTTGTCTCCCAGTTCCTAATTTTGATCACCAATTTGATCATATCAAAATCTATGCAAAATGAAATGAAACGCCTATAAAAAGAACAGAAGAAACATTGTAGAAGCATACCTCAATCTGCTTCTTGGCCACAGCAATATGCAACATAGTGTTTCCATCACAATCTTTCTGATTCACCAATTCATCATCATTATCTTTTCCAATCTCTTCAACCAAAATCTTCAAACCCACCAACCTGTTACTTCCCACACACAAGTGCAACGCAGTTTCATCTCGTTCAGTCACCAACCGAGCTGACTCAGGCCTTGCTCGAACCAACTCCCTCACCACCTTAACCCTCCCCTTAATAGCAGCTACGTGGAGTGGCGTCCTACCATCTTGATTTCGCACCATACACATCTCTGGATCCACTTTGACCAACTCTTTGACAATCTCAACGTGCCCTTTTGCTGCAGCCAGGTGAAGAGCAGAGCAGCCCTGTGAATCCAACTCGGAAGCCAATTCCGGGTTAAGATTCAGAAGCTCTTGGACGAAACTGACGTGGCCTAGCATGGAGGAAACATGGAGAGGGGTCTCGGAGACACAAGAAACTATTGAACGGTGAATAATTAGAGGGTCTTCTTGGAGTAATCCTTGGAGGGATTTGATGTCTCCTTCCACGGCTGCATCTGATAGCCTTTTTTCCATTTTTGATTTTCTTCTCTCGTGCCCCTCAAAAGGGCAATAGTTTTCTTTTCTTCTTCTGGTTTCTGTGTTTGTTGCCTCAACTGTTTGATCTTGGATCGATCCAGAGTCAATCATCAAAGATTCAAAGCTCAATGCAATGAAAAGTCACGTTTGGAAGGCGTGGGAATGTGATAATAAAATCGTCAGTCAGAATGGGAACAGAACATGACAAACAAGAAGTGGGTAGATCGATGAGGATTGTGCTTTGGCATATTGTGGGACTGGGACCCTTAGAAGCTTCTATTTACGTGCTGCGTTGACGGGAGTGTAAAACAAGAAACGGTCGTCAACAAAGTCTTTTTTTTTTTTTAATTTTTTAATCTAGACCCATCATTGTAATATTTATGGAGAAAGAAATTAAGCCATCAATCCCTTCAAATCCACAATTTCCAAGTGTAAGAAAAAAAATAAAAAATAGTTAACAAAAACTTGTTATTGTAAGAAACGAGAAATAGTTTGTTCACTTTTATTATTAAAAAGTTAATTCTTGCAAAATCAATTGGATGCAATCTTAATATTTTCAATTCCTTTTTTATATTTTTTTAGACTTTGATTTCTCATGTATAATAAAAAAAAAACATAAATTGATGAATTAGGTTTTAGCATTGGAAAAAGAAATCCAATTTAGGGTTTTTTTTTTTTTTCATGTATTAGATTTTTTGGATTGAAGGTTCACAATTATTGAGAGAGACAAAGGAAGTCAAGATTTGTATAGTATAATTCCTTATTTAAAATTTTTTTTTTCAATTTTAGGAATTGAGTTTCTGGCAATGGGAATTCCAAATGAATTAAGGGTTGAAATTGATGAGTTCTTCACTTCAAAAACAATATCAGAAGCAAATAAAAGAAACAATAATAGCGTGTCCACAAAATGAATAGTGAACTTGTCACTTAGTGGAATTGGCTTGTCTTTGATCCACTTTTTAGGATTTGATTAGCCCCCATTTGAGATGAAGGTACGGTATTTGTTTGGGTATTAGAGTTGATTCTTCCTCTCATGGAAGTCTTGTCTAAGGTGAAATATATTTTTTATCTTATTTCCAAAACTGAATTATCCGATAGTAAAATTGTTGACACTTTTCTGAAAACAAATTAATATCCAATTAAAAGCTATTAATGAAAAACTTCTCATTTATGCTACTTTATATAGATAATGGTTGGTTGTTTTATATATTTGACGGTTAAATGGCCCAACATTAATGATGCAATTTAAATTGTAAAGCTAATTTACAACACATTTGCTACGAACGTTCCTTCTGGAAAACTATCTGAAGGGTGATTTATGAGTGAGACTGGGATTGTTGTTAGGCAGGATTTCCCCATTGTGTCCAGACTCAGTTCTCTTTCGATAGCAATGGCTATGGGGTAAAGATACGATTTCAGGTTCAAAATTTGCCAAGCCCAAAAGAAGAGTGGAAAGAGGTATGTAACTACTAAGTACTAGTGGACTTCAACCAGACCCTCTGAAATAAAGTAAAAAGAAACAATTCGCATTCTATGTTGTACATAGCCAACAAAAAGATAACAATTAACCCATCAGGTGAGAATGAATTAGAAGAATCTTCACATAACAGGGAAAGAGATTTCCTACACGGGAAATATTATATATATCCCAATTATGTAATCAAATAGAAAACAAGTTCAGCACCTGAAAACTACCAATACCAATATACCCAACTGAAAGTCCCTGAGAAAAGTACTTGATACATAAGCTGGCCAACTTGGCGCAGCACAGATAACCTGACCAACTACACAGTTAGTTGCCAAGAGCATGGGGGAATTACAATAGGTAAAATCTCTGCATCTCCTTAACGTCAAGGTCGTGCTCTCTTGTTGCTGCAAGGGGGGCATGTACTGTTTGATATGCTCAGCCCTGGCGCGGTGATCTTTACACATTTGCCATGAAACCACTTTTCACATATGTGACAACAAATCCAGAACTCATCGGAAGCATGGTTCTCTCCACATGCACCACACAAGGTTTCCCTGCGCTCCTCTTTCATCTTTATCTTTATCTTCATCTTCCTCATCCAATCCCTCTTCCTCATCCTTTGGTTGCATGCTTTATGAGTATTTAGCAGACTCTGTATTCATATCCATTTCACATTAAAACAGAGGAAATAATCATGTATACTATAGCACATAAATGGAAACAAACATATTCAACACCGAATCAATTAAAAGAATTCCACATCCAATTTATATAAAATAGATAGTAGTATGCTTGGCTTAGCCCATTACCCAATTACCCAATTGAAAACGTTGGTTTCTTTTCTTGTTCAAAATGTGTTTAGCACCCCCGAAAAGGAAATATGAAACAAGACTAAAATAAAATCATAGTTGGTGATTAGAATCCAGCTTCAGGAATCGTAATGTGATGTAACAGGAAAGGAGGATGAAAAGATGTGAATCAAAACAGTCTTGACAGGATGAAAACGTCCACACTATGAATAATTGGCAGAAGATTATATGGCATAATTAGCTTTAAGATTAACTTACTTGGTTTTTGAGAATGTTAAGCTAAGTTTGACCCAAATAAGGATAAAAGGACAGTTCAGCTACCAATATATCAAGGAACAGAACAATGAAGTTCTAGATATCCCAATAACATAGGTTCCAACTTTCTTGGATGCCCACATCGCGATTGTCCTTTGAGACCACTGCTAACCAATATCCATACTTAAGCCAACAGATAACTTTAAGCATCAAAGTGCCAGTTACAGCCCTTGCGCTTGACTTGGATTTATTGCTGCTAGGATTTGGAACTGATGACTTCTCCTTTGCCTGTTTCTTGGCACTTCCAGTGACAATTTCAAATATTGAAGGGAGATCATTTATCATAATGAAGAGATGTTTCCTGAATCAAAGATTCCAAATGTTTGCAAATAAGTCCTTCAATCGGTCTTAAAAACATAAGAATATCCAGCAAATTGATAATATGACAAAAATGACAACCTTCTTCCTCATAATGAAAATTTCCATTCACTCTTGTTTTTAATTTCTTTATATAAAAAAATTACATGTAGCAAATTTCACTCAATTTCTAGACATCTGTCCCCAAACTTCCTGTCCGGTGTTAACTCACATGTTCTTGACCATTCATCTAAAATAGTTGATCCTGTAGAACCCAAGGTCGAAGATGAGAACAAAATGCTTACATGCACTTACAGCCAGTAAAAAGTTTAAATACTTACTCTACCAGAAGACATGATGACTACATGAAATTTTTCTTACGTATCCACTTCCTAGTATTATTACTTTTTCTACCAGCAAAGCTTACAGTTACAGTAAAGTTTTTTATGTATGTAATCCGTCAAGCATTAATATTTCTCCCCATATATTATTCAATAGGGAAAAAAATTGCAACATTATGCAGCAGGTAAAGGAAAAAAAATATACCTGTCAGCTTTATCAAACCCAAACCTAGCACCAAAATAGAAAGCCACTGCTAGTAACCATGCATCACTGTGAACAGCAACAAGTGACAACCAGTCCCTTTCTTGCTTCCCATCTCTAACAAAGTTAATACCTAATGCAGGCTCTGGGAGCTCTGGAGGCACTTCCTCGGCGGGTAAATTAACTTCCCACTGTTCGTTAGGAGATCCATACAAGCAAAGATTCTCCTTCTCTGAAAAACACGATGTTGGTCAAACAAAGTTCCAAGTAGAAATAATAGAGAAACAGAGTTATCGTATCCATCCTAAAATAGGTATAGCAAATTACTTATAACATGATACTAAACATGAAACAAGCCATCAAGAATGGACGAAACTAATTATTAACGTACATATATTACCAAATTACTACAAGTCGTATTACCTAGAGAAATAAATAAGGCTGTTGCATTTAAATATTTACCAAACAAATAGAATATCCATACTGAACATGTTTTGGAGATTGAGAGGCTTATAGTTCAAACATGTGTTTCAATCAAAACACGAAGAAAGTTGCGGAAAATGCAAGACAAGAAACAAGGTTAAATGCAAAACTTATTCGAATAACTCGAGTTAACAACGAGTTCAAACTATCAATCTTAGCATTTAAACTTAAATACATATAAATAATTATCAAATTTATATTTGATACACTGTTTATATATAAATTTTGTATATTGTCAATGAATTAGATGATGACACGAATAAGTTTTTTAAAAAATTTTAATTTATGTACATTTAATTTAAAAATTGATATTTGCTTATTAATGAAGTGTGATCATTTGATTTATTGAAAGCGTATAAAATCTATATATTAATAATGTGTCAAATATAAATTCCCAATTATCCAAAGAAACACGCTCGAAGAAAATAGGTTGCAACCACGAACATATCACATTTGTTGACAAGTGATCTATTTGCTTTATTGTCAACTACCCAGCATTGCCTTGTCAAAGAGCAGGCCGCAGATAACTTCAAATTCTGGAATACTATAACCACAATAGGAAAGGAAAGAAATTGATTTGAGATACTTATTCATTATTAGGTTCAAGAATCACGACGTAACAACTCATATTTTGAATGTTAAAGTTGTCTCAGAATAGGAAGAAGAATTAAGAAAGTAAAGAGCGAGAAATCCTAATCAGGATATGTTAAAGTGAGCCACGGTTGGTTGTTTTCTTTGCTGCTGGAATTGGTTGAAGTAATCCATCGTTTGTATGATTTCATTTCTTGTGCTTATCAAAAAATATGTGCGATTTATAAATTCAGATGTGAAGAAATGGGAATTTGCAAACTAATCAGTAATCATAGCAGGACGATGATGATTTATCGCCGTATACGTTTCCGAAAATTTGTCTTGAATCATGACCCCTCTTTCTACAGGTAACAGATCAGCGCTCCAAGCCACCGTGACAGATTCTCAATATTTTGCCTGTTTCGATGTGGCACCCGGTGAGGCTACGCGAGCACTGGGAAGTGAACTCAGTTTTGAAGTCAGAGCAGTGAGCAACCGCAGCTTCGTTTTAGTCCCTTCTTCAATCTTAAATGCTGCGTCCCCCATTTTTACTGATCAGGAGTAGGCAAAAGAGCGTTATATATAGCTGCCGAAGAGGAAATTTTGTGGCAAATTTTTTGTCACGTGTTAAGCAATAGACCTGACCTTGTTTGAACTTTAAGCTCACGTTCCATAAACATCCTCAAGTATCTTCTTATTTAAATCAGGCTTTTCTTTAGAGAGTTACTTGAAAATGGGAAATATAAAATCATTATATCACGCATCAAACATAAAATATGTTTTTAAATTATGATAAATTAAATATATAATTTTTACTAAACTTTTAAATTATATCAATTTTATATTATTTTTTATCATATAATAATCTTATCATGTTTAAAGTTGTGAATCTAATTTATTTTATTGATAGGGCAATGCGACAAAAAAATACCTTCTTTGCTGCTTCAGTTTTGAGCTGAATTCCAAGATTAAGGTCTGAATCAGTAGTTTCTTCCAAATAAATTGAACCTTCGTCTCAATTCATGTGACTTATTTTTTGTACATCTTATAAAAAGTGAAAGACGTTTCAAGTTTCCACCAAAATTTCCATATAAACTAACAGTTCAAAATTACCAACAAGACAATAGAAAAGAGAAGAGTTCGAAAAAACCTAAATTGTGAAACAAATGGTGATACACCTATGACTGTCCCATAGAAAAATAGAGATACAAATAGCTCAGCATATCAGCACCAACCATACATCTGCATTTTTTTTTAAGAGTCTTCTTATTTCATACATTGGAACCAGTCAGAATTAATATGGTATTTTGCGTACTTGTCAAAGTCATACTAAAAGGGAGTTTACGTTCTTTTCGTTATCCTTTTCATCAGCTTGTGTTTTGTATGCCAGCAAAAAATCTTGGAGAGAATGATCAAGGACAGCAGGCTGCATGTTATAGAGTGCTTCTAACAGCTGCAGCTTCAAAAGAAAAAGGCACAAAGTTTAAGATTCAGGGTCTGAGCCAAACAATAAAATCTCAAAAGATACATGCGAGCCAGTCATCTCCTCTGGAAATCTGAAAGCAGCATCAGGCAGCCATCAATAAAAGAAAAAAAGAGGGCAAGGAGCAGGGGTCTCAAAAACAAAAGTAACGAGAGTAGTTACATAGTATTGGCAGTTGCAGCTACTTCGCAAGTAAGACAATGAAAAAAGACAGAACAGTAAGCATGAAGCACAGATTTATAGGTGTGTTATTCCCTAGCACAATAATGGCTATACTTGTTACCTTTTTGAATCAGTGTTCATGACTGTCAACCCAGATGGACTTTGGAATAGGCTTGATGATGATTTGGCTAATTTCTGCCAGCCTTGGTTTTGCTTGATGATGATTTGGCTATACTTGGTTTTGATTTGGCTAATTGATGATGATTTTGTTTGTTTCTCAATTGGGCTTTGCTAATTTACGCACACAAAAAAAGGCATTTAAAAATTTGGTGCCAAAATGTTCCAGTTGAATATAATATTAAACAAAGTAGCCCTATTGCCATGATGTAGAAGCTTCCAACAGTAATATATTCTTCCGAAACTGTCTACAAGATGCAGAAACTAGGTTGCTCACCAGGTGCTGCTATACTTGGGTAAAAGCAGGAATTATGAAAAAAAAGTTAAATGCCAAACATTAATTTGAGCTTAAGCAGGCAAATTTATAATGCAAGAGATAGAAAAAATCCAGAGGCCAAAAACTGATCCTGTCTAATATCATCTAGCACTAATTTCATTGGTAAAAGGTGAATTACCATGTCCATTTTGTGATGATTCATTTTCCTTTTTCTCTGGCACTTGTTTTTCAAAAAACTGCTGAATTGTTATCCAGTAGTGGTCACCACCAGCTAACCAAGTGTCCATGTGCATACCAGTAGGGAATTCTACAAAGAGGCATTGCCTGTTATGAGCTGCTGCTTTAGCATACAGCATTTGCATGTGGGATGAGGGAACCATCTCGTCTTGCAAGCCAGAAAGAAAAAGGATAGGCTGCTTGACCTGCAGATGTTAAGTTCAAAATAGCAAAGGATGTATGAACAAGTGAAGTGACTGAAAGCCATACACACAAGGTAAAACAAGCATCATCTCCTCATCTTTCTAGTTCAAGAAATTGCTAACATGTTTGGAAATTAAGAAAAGCTACTTTGCAAGAATGGGACATGTGTAAATTTCTATTCACTAAATTAGAAAATTTCAAATAGGTGCAAAATCAAAACTGTATCAACAATTTATCTTGCAGCTAAACTAATTTTACTCTTAAGCATCCACTACACAACCAATTGGCAATGGGTAGATAATAAGCAGAAGTATACATGTCCAAACAGTTGCTTATCGAACCAAGGATTTCCTTCATAAAGGACCATGGAACAGGGTACTGTCAGATATTAGGAGATTTTTCATCATCTATATGCATGTCAATAATTTAGTCTAAAGATTCAGGAAGTCAAATTAAACAACATGTATCTACCTGGCCAATGATATCAATGGTACTCCATGGAGAGAGAACAAGAAAATTAAGAATTTTGGGACCTTTTGTACCAGGGCCTCCAATAAACCACTTCAGGAAAGGCAATAAAACTCCAACCATGTCCAGAATAGATGTGAAAGTGTTTTCTAGTATCAATGCAGCAACCTGAAATTTAAAAGCAAAACAAGAAATGAAATATCTAATACGGCCTAAAAAGGATAAAGATATTTATTAGAGAAAAAACATTAAAACCTTTGTAGGTGAGTCTACCAAAAAACGCATATAATAATTGCAAAAATCCCCTCTACCCTCAATGATATCAGTAGAAAGTAGAGCAACCTGATCACATGAGTGAGAGAAACCCATGCAGCATAGAGCAATAGTAATCAAATTGGGAATATAACTGTCCAAATAGATGAAAATTAATGGCTAACTTAGTTGAATAATGATGACACCTTAAAGTTAACGAAAATCTCTTTAACACATATACATTGCCCAAAAAGAGTATAGTCTCATTCAATGTGTTATACTCAAGTGCATTCCATTAGGTCGTCAACATTTTACTACAGCTCAAACCCAGCTAAGTGGGTTGTTAATACCATTGCTGCTCCATTCCCTATCATGCCCTACTTTCCAAACAACAGACCAATGTTTATTTCATTAACTCATCTGTCCAGCATGAGTTTGAACCACGGGATTACAATATGGTAGTTTCTGATTCTAAATCTCTCTAGTCTCAGGAAGAAAGAAATGTAAATGAAAAAATCACCAGAAAGATACCTTATCAGGATTGTTTTTGGTGAGTACAGCTCCGACAGCACCCCCAAGTGATCTTCCAAAGACTACTATTCTATTTGGGTCAATATCTGTCCGCTGAGTGAGATGATCCAATGCAGCCTAAATGCAAAAAAAAAAAAAAAAGGAAAAGAAAGAAATAGTTAAGATTGCTAGTTTGTTAAGGTAGTAGCTTAATGTATCTAGAATAGAAGAACTGACAAGAGTTGCAACCTGAGCATCGTTAATAATTCCATGCTGAGAAGGATAACCATCACTTGCTCCATAACTGTTTGATCAATTAGATGTTAAACTTCATTCACTAGATGAGTGGAAAACTAAAAGTAATCAAGGTCATGATGCCAACAACATAAGAAAGCTAAAACAGAGAAGCTTAGATATTTAGGACACACACCCTCGATATGAAAGCATGAAGACATTGCACTGTAACCTCTGTAACATTATGCGAATCATTTCCAGACGGTGAGCAATATCTGCAGATCCGTGGTCAAGGCAGCCCAAGGACCTTGGATTTCACAAAGGGAAAATGATTTTGCCAATTGAATCCACTAAGATGTGAAATAAGAACTATAATGCAAAAACATTAATGTTGATGAAAAGGATACTTCCAGCATTCTCTTGAAAAAACAGGATGGTTGGACCTGCAAAACCAACGGAACTACTTTCTAAGCAGTGAAACGTTATTACAATCTCAATTACAGAACACCAACATACCACAATGTATTACAAGACAACATCTTATTCTTAAGTTATGCCGCATGGGAATACTTAGTATGCATTCATTTTCATTTTGTCCCAGTAACTTACAAGTTTTTCCCAAAACTTTCAAAGACATGTAATAGCCAAACCAAACAAATTGAAACAGATAAGTGAGCATTTTAAAGAGAAACACGCCAGTTATGCCCTCATATCTCAATCTTATCAAATTGAACCAAAAACATATACATAAGTCATAATCAAAACCATCACGCTACATCCATCAAACAAATTACTAGTCTTCCATAATTTTTCACACACTTTTAGATCACAGTCGATACACTTAATCTCAACAATTACTTCAGCTCTCATTTAGTTCAAATACACCCTTAACATTTAGCATTTGTTTCAATCATCTTATCCTCAAAGTTCAAACAAATCTAAAGGCAAGGATAAAAGCAAATTATAAAGTCTAATTATAGAATTAAAACAAGTGAACATAGCATTTCAAACAAAAAAATCAATAAAATTCTTCCAAAAAAATGAAAAATGAAAACCTAAAAGTAGCATTCAACCAATCAGTCTCAAACCAGCCAAAAACCACTAGCTCCAAAAATTCAAACCGAAAACCACACCCTTAACCCTAAAAAGTACTAACACAAGCAGAATTACCATAATTCAATTAAAAAATATAACAAAAAAGGAAATAAAACGCTAAAAAAAGGCGGATCAGGAGTGAGACTGTGAGAGTGACCTCGGCAGTCAGGGAAGAGCTTGATGAACCAAGCATGGAGTCGGACTCCATCGGAGGATCTGAGCCAAACATCCTCGTAGTCGAGTCGGAGTCGGGCCGGCGTTATCGGGTAAGACTTGGTTAGACCCGGCAAAACCGGAACGTAAACGAGTTTCTCTTGAAACGCCACCAGCAACGCCATCCCCACCACCACTATCCCTCCCACTCCGTAAAACAACAAGCTAACGTAATAGACCATTTTCTTCTTCTTTTCCTTCTCCTTGTCGTCTCGTAGGCCGTAGCAGCTGAAATTTTTTTTTTCGCTTAAGCTATGTCCTTATTTTTGGGCATCTGCTGCTTCTGCGACTGTTATTTAATTATTTACGTGGAGTTTTCTGGTTGGTTGTTTTTATTTTCTTTCATTTTATTTATTTTGGAGGATGATGGGTCCCCCCCCCCCCCCCTTCACAAAGAAATTGGGCATTTGAGTTTTAGGTCAGTTACATTTTTGGGTGGCTTTGTTTGAATGGGATTTAATTTTTCATTTATAAAATTAGTTGGGTTGATATATATAATAAATACTGAAAAATATTTAATTACGGGCTGCTTTTGAGATGAGTTTTGTGATCTGTCCAATTAATTTTTCAATAAATAATTTTTTCTGATTTGCTTTTTCTTATTTAAAAAAGAAAGAAAATTTTTTCCTAATTAAAAAAGGATTTTTTTTTTCAAAACAATCTAATCCAGTGAATAATTATTATTATTAAATAAGATTATGCATTTTCATACTTTTTAAATTTTCTTTTGTATTACTAAATAAATTAATATAATACTATATGTTTAATTTTCTTACAAAAAATTATGAGATAAAAAAAATTATAAATCTTAGAATTTAAACACTAAATTTATTTAATATCATTAAAAATAACTATATAAACCAAAGTAAACTTGATTTCAACGTACTTTCACTTTCATTTTAAAAAAAATTATAACCAAAATTAAGTTTTGAGAGACAATCAAACCTTAATCCCTTTAAATAAAATATAAAGAAATCACTGTGACCTAAGCAGACAACAAGAACTTTTGGCTCAAGAGGTGCATTATTTATGCAAGCAACAAAGTTGAAACTTGTAATATTTGTATTTCTCTTTGAATCATGACAAGTTGATGTAATAACAAACTTGTCAAACCCAACCGTCCACTTAAATTAGATTTTTTTTTTTTTTTATTGAAAAGTATCATACTTTTTGTATGATAAATATTTTATCTTTGTTAGTGCCCAATTCTTTATTTCCCGAATATTATTACGCCAACGTGTTATCATACGTGGTTCATCATACTTTAGCTCTGATGGGCCAACTACAACAGGAACCCTAGTGCTCCACGGTTTACACAATCATATCTAAGGTCTGATCTGATAAAAAGAAAGGATGGTAATTGCTTATTTGTTTATAAATGATCTGAACATATGAAAATATCTTACCTAGTTGACATAAATAACACCCATAACAGGTAAAAACCACAAGTAAATGATCATTGAAATACAATTCCAAGCCAAACTCTTTTCAACAATGCTGTAATTCCTAAAATGTAAGAGCAGAGAAAGAAACTGGGAAGAGATTTCAGGACAGTGTAACACAGTCAGACGCTTTACACAATATGCATGAAAGATAATTGATAAAGCCAAGGATGAGTTGCCGCCTTTGCTGTGCTCCTTGTCACCGGGCAATTGAAGCACAGTGTTGTATTCCATTCAGCATGCTGCCCATACGAGTAGAAATGTCTGACAATCTGTGTTCTGGCTGCTGGAAATTGCTATCGTTGTTGGAGACGATTGAGATGTCGGAGCAGCTTGTACTTGAACCAGCGTATTCTGCCGTGGGAGAGCAATGGCTCTCGAGTTCTGATCTACTATTCTTTTGGTCTAAGCAGCTGGCATCACAGATGCCATGGGAACTTGTGTTAAAAGTTGGATCAGCATGTTGGAGCTTCTTTTTGCTAAGAAAACGTCCACCCGAACCCCTAACCCTATTCAGTGCATGAAGATGTCGAGATTCATGAAGGTATGGCTGCATTTAATTCAAACGAAAGCAGATCAGTGGGTTTAGGGTGTTATCATCAACCATGAAAAACCAGTAATGTTACTGACACAGTTGGATAGCAAATCATCAATTACTTTGCAATAAGTAGGTCATTATTTTCCAGAATATATTTACTCCATGCCACCAAATGTAGCACTGGCAGTTCAAACAAATGGCCAGTAGAAATCTATATACCTTTCGAGATTTGACAAGTTTGTTTTGTGCCCCAAGCTTTGCACGATACTGCCTCCTCCTGAGAATCCCATGATATTGTTTTGCGTTGACATAAATGGGCCCATCTTCTGCGAGATCAAGAGGCAGCGGAATTCTTGTTGGTGCACTTCCTGCCAACTGGGCCTGAATCTGGTCAAGTTTCAATCACAGTTACATCATAAGATGAAAAATGGTCACAACAAAGATTATATGGTAGACTGGGTGAAACCAAGACCAATACTTGAACGGCAGAGATGGAGGTAGAAGAAAAGAATTAGAGCTTATCTAAGCCTATCAGACCCACATTTAAGAAATATTAATCAGTCGTGAAACAACTTACTTAAAAATCCTATAGGGCAATTAAAAATCAATCTTGGATGGATAAAAAACAATTACTAACATGCCAATCATTGACAGAAAAGAAAATATTCCCACTAATAACTATTGCAGATTAATGGCAAGCTACAATAATTCACTGATCACAAGATCTTACAATAGCCTGTTGCCCGTACGGAGTAAACAACCCGCCAAAGTAAGCATCAGCATGAGGATATCGAACAGAAGCCTGAAATGGGATGAGAAATATTAATTTGAAACAAAGACAACAAAATGAACTTAATCGTGATTACTAAACATACCACTGAATGGTTATAATTTAGATGAGAAATGCTGAACAAAGTGTTTGGATTGTTAAGCAAGTAAACCGGCTTCACTTGACCCTCAACATCCTTCCCACAACTTTCATCCTGACCTGATGCACGAGAATACAATTATGATCTCAGACAAATATTGTTAACCAGTTAAGCTTGACAACAAGCTTCCCTTTTCAGTAAACTGTCTAGAAATCCCTTTCAGCCCATTCAAAAACTAAAGCAAAGCACATTACTGCACCAGCAATGATGAGAGAAATTTCTTGAATGCCATCAACAAGATTTCTAATAACAAAACACAAGCAGTCACCAGACAATTAACAAAAGAATAAAGCTTCAACAATAAGACTACTATTTGCTATACTTGCAAGAACCAACTACAAGAACTATGAAATTGCTAAAACATTAACAAATTCTACATAAAGTTCATATCTTTTCCGGCCACTCAATGGCAACTCAATCGAAGTCCAATCAAAGCACATGAAGGCTAGTATAGATATTTGTTCTGCGTTAGACTGGTTCATAGTCCCCAGAGCATTTGCTTAACGTCACCAATATATTTTCTTCCTATTCCCCTTCCCCCCCACCCCCCCCCCCCAAAAAAAAAAAGGTCACAGTAAAAGAAAATTATGGCCACTGACAGCAGCTACCTAGCAAGAAGAGTGGTGAAAAAAGAAGGAAAATAATACAAATAGAAAATTCCTAATAAATCACACTTCCAGAAGTATCAATACCAGATTCAGATGAATAGCATTGAGAATTGGTCACTCCTATGACACCCATTTCACGATGAGATTGACCAATAGCTTGAGCTGATGTCAATTCCTGGTCTGGTAGTTGAAGATCTAAATGCTTTGCATTATGATAGAGTTGGGAGGGAGTTTCCACTTTCAAGCTTATATTCTGGGGTAAAGACTGTGCAATTTGCTGTTCGTTCAAATTCCACCATGGTGGGCAACTAACAGATGAATGAGATAGTGAAGGAACAGAACTTTCATCAAAAGTTTTCTTTGGCAAGTTGTGGACTCGAATAGCCATCTAATTCATCAATTGTCTTGATACAAAACCCAGAAGATCCTTATCAACAAACTGAATCTTTTTTTGTCTCACTCCAAGATTAACTACTAAAAGGGGAAAAAAGATATAATGAGCTGCAAATGTCTAAGTTATACCAACAATATTTGCAATCATGAAACCAAACAAAGGCATTGCACAAGAAACAATGGAGATGCAACACTACAATCACAAGGTCGGCACATCCAAATTAATGTCAAAAGCAAAAGAACTAGTAAGGCTAAAATTTGCGAGTGTAAAGTAAACTGACGCTGCAAACAACCCAAGCCATAAATGAAGAAAAGGGACAAAGCTACAGAAAGATAACAGGTCCCGCAATTAAAAGTACATTGCATAATGAGACTTCAGTTAAACAAACTCTAACCTTACCATACCACATGAACCAAAATCACAAGCAAGATTTTCAAAACACAGACAAGAAGAACAACAATGCAAAAGATGATTGATGGGATGTTCCTTCGTTGCAGTCATATTTTCCAAACCATCAAATTTTAGAAGCAAAAATGGATGAACTTATACATAAATAAAGTTAATGGTTCAAATATAGTGATGAGAGTAACCAAGTACACCAAGCCGTTTGGGGAGGGTAAATTGAAGATGAATTCACTTGGTCATCATGAAGAACTTGTACTTACTAATTGAAAGGTAATAGTTTAGATGCTTATTTCAATAATCAAGAACTCATTCAGCAGCAAACATTAGATACATAAAACTCACAAGGATTCAAAAGAAAAACATGAATTTACAAATTCTTAAATAGGAGAGAGGAAAACAAAAGAACATATTAAAAAAAGAAAAGGAAGATAAAGGCTTTTTGAAAGCTCATTTCACAATAATAGCAGCAAGAATATTTCCTTATCCAAATTCCATGAAGAATGATATTCAGAACCCAGATTCAGTAACATGTCCTAGATTTATTGAGCAACTGAAACATATCTAGACATCATCATCATTACATGTCAATTTTCACAAGTAAATGAAGCAGTTTGTGCAGTTATCAGGCATGCTCAGAAAGTCAACCCTGTAAAATCAATAGCATTTTATTTTGTTCAACATGCAACGAGAAGTTGTGAAAAGTTAGATAATATGCAAACAGTTTCGCCACTGAGCCTCAAAAGATTCAGAGTCTAAAACTAAAGCCTATACTGCAAAATCCACCAAAGAACCAGAAAGGGTTTATGATGGTTTTCCATAAATAAAATAGCATAGTTATTACAAAATCCAATGATTTAGAAAAAAAACACTAGGAGGGGAGGGGGCAAAGCTACATTTCATAGATATACAACTAAAGGGCTTCCTAGTGACATGCAGCAGAAATTAATACAAGAACCATAACAGATTTAAGAGCTTGTGAGGCAGAAAAAACCAATCAACAAGATAAAGAAGAAAGTTAAATCAAAAGCAAAAAAAAAAAAAAAGTGTTTCAATATCAGTAAATGTTCTGAACAAAGAAAAATATTCCCGCAACTTAAAGAATCCAAGTACCTAAAGCATAGCAAATCTTAGCTGAATAAAATCCAAGTTCATCCAGAAACTTCTGTTGTGTTGATTAAGAAGCAAAAGCAGAGAACAAAAGCGGCCCAAGAATTATCACATTCAAAGAGCAAGAGAGAAAAGGGCCAGGATATAAAATCTTATCCTGCACGAACAACCATATCTGTACGGACAAGGTAATGCTTATAGGTCACGAACCACACCGACAACAACTAAAAAAACTTATATAAAGTATATACAGTGAAAACACAATGCACCCAAAAAGCCAAAACAGCAAAAAAAAAAAAAAGAACATAAACAACTGTAGCAACCGGTTTACTAAGAACAGCAACTTTCACAAGTTCTACAAGAACAAGAACAACGAAAACTTCATCATCATCGGCAACATGCATTTCAAAGAAAAAAACAGCAAATAAAACAAAACCCCATTTAAAAGGCAAATAATTAAAGTATCAGGAGAATTAAAAAAGAAAGAAAGTAAAAGGAGAGAATCAAGAAAAGAAAGGATAGGAAAGGAAGCAAAGCAAACAAAAAAAGGAGTAGTACAAGGTAAAGATAGGATAGGCTTGAATCAAATAAACAAAAGATAGTGAAAGAAAAAAAAAAAAAAAAAAAAAAAAACCTATGGGATCTGATGGGGCATGAAGAAGAAGCAAAGAATTGTTCTGTTGGGAAGATCTTAGGCATGTCCCCTCTCTTCAAACTCTCCAACAAGTTTCCCCTCTTGAATTAGAGACTTTCTAATAATGCCAAAACAATAAATCGAAATTCAAAAAAAATGAAAAAAGAAAAATAAGTAAGTAGTGGCATTATTCCAACCACCACCATTAAAATCCAACAATGACCAACACAGCTTGGCTTCATAAGTCCTTTTTTGGCTTTATAATACTATTACAGCCAGCCGCCCTTCACTGTCTACGTTATTTATGCCCATGTACTATGGCGGATATCTTGTTTCTGATTGGTTTGTGTTGTTTACGCCCCCAATATAAGCGTGAAAGTTGATGACATATTTGGAAAAATGTGGCTTAATGTTTTCTTTTCAAATTTACCCAATTGCCCAAAATTAATGATTTTGTTTTCCAAAGTGTCCTTCCCGACGACACTTCATCCCGAAAATGACACTGGTTTAACATTTGGGATCAAGGGTCTTTGTTAATTTCCAAAATGCCCCTATTATTTTGCAACTTGAGTTGATGTTTTGCCTTCTCGAGGTAAAAAAATATATATATATTAAATATAAAATAAATATAACATAAATATATGAATAATTAAATATATTTTTATATTTATTAATTAAAGAAATATAAAAAAAATTCACCTTATTTAAATTTTAATCTCAATTTGTATTTATTTTTTAAAATTTATGTCTCCCTGCCTTATTTAAAAAGTATTACACATAAACGTGAATAAATAAAAAAAAATGAGAACCTATGAAAATTTGTTCAAATCAAGTATTCAAATTGTTTAAAAAAATAAAGAAAGATCAAACAATCTTTCTCTTACAGTAATTAATAGTTAATGAAGTAGGTGAAAATTTTTTAACATAAATTATAATGTTTAACTAATAACGATCAAAGCCGTCCTTAATATTCAATTAAGTTGGTTGAAACATGATTTAAGAAAAAATAAATTTCAAATTCCTCTTTTACAAATTAAAAAAAAAAAAAAAATGATGACGATATGAACATCTCATATTTTTGTCATTCGACGGAAATTTGGTTTGGTTTGTTTTATTTTGCATCTTTTCTTTCCTCGTGCGATATGAGCCGTTGATTAGTTCAATAAGCAAGTTGAATTTAGAAATAATGTTTATTGATGACGACTAATAAAGGAAAATTGGCTGTAAGTTCGATTAAATTATTTTTATTTTATATAATAATTTCTCCTTTGGTCAACGCAATAAAAATACTAAAAAACTAAAAAAAAATCATACGAAAATTAAAATAAGGTCTTTTCGGCCGTCTTCATATTCATATATTCAAAATTTAGTTACGAGGAAAATACAAATAAATATATTGAAAAAATAGGAAAGGAAAATTACATAAAAGTCAATATATTTTTTTTATCTCCTGAAATTCATTTCTTTACTTCACACGGTTTTTAGTCAAAAGAAAATTAAAAAAAAAAAAGGAAATGGGTGGAAGAAGGTGGTATGGTAAAATGAGATGAGAAATGAAAGGAAAAAGTTGGATTGTCATTTTCCCTTTGTTGGATAGTTATACAAGAATAAAACTAGGATTTTTTAATTAAAATTTATAAAAAAAAAGAAATTATTTAAAATAAATTTAATAATTTATATATTTGAATTATATTTATTTTTTATTAAATATATATAATATTAAAATTATCATATAATAATTTATCTTAATAAACAAAAATAAAATATATTTTTAATTTTTATTAAATTTGAAAATATTTCATTTTTATATTTTTATATCACATAATATTTCAATTATAAGATGTAATTAAAACGATCTGTTGTTATGACTGCATCTCCCATTGCCGACAATTCCACCAAAGACATCATTAAAGACAAAAAATAATAATAATAATAATTGTTTATCAATTAATTGTGAGGAAAATTTTATCAATAAGATCCTTTAAACAAAATTTCTAATGATAATTAGAATAGGTTTAACTTTGTTTAAAATGGGCAATCATATAAGGGATATAGGATGTGATACGGTATAAAATCCTATTTTTAATATTATGAAATTTTTTAATTCCATAACTAAAATCAAAAGGTTACCACATTTATTAAAATATATTTAAAATAATTAATAAATTAATATCTTAAATAAAATATACGATAATATTTTAATTTTATTTATGAAATTAAATGAGAATTTTTGTTATTATATAGTTAAAGATTTTTTTTAACTTTGTTCAATATATCTTTTTTTTTTTTTTGTGTTTGTCTAAGTAAATTTATCTAAGCTAAATTTAATAAATTCATAAAGAATTAATTTTTTATAATTTTTTAATACATTTTAATAAAAAAATTTATTTGGCATTTGAATCAAATATCCATTACTAAATTAAATGAAAATTCTAATTAATAATTAACTGACTTAATTCCACAGATTCATAGTTAATTATGGAATCCCTATGTTCATTACTCAATGGTGATGGCGTCATGCTTAGCTTGACATACATACATACTACATGACGCAAAAATATTTAAATTATAGAATCCAATGCCTCTTCCTTTCTTCTTTGTGATTGGTTGGGCAATTTTATATCCTTTTCCTTCAAACGCAACATCATGCGCATAAAAATTCCAAATGTGCTCAAGCCTCAAAGACATGCAGCCACTAGGCTGCTATCTGCCTTGTTTTTTTCCCCTTCCAATCACCGATGGTTCATATAACTAAGACCACTCCCCAAAATTTTCTCAGAGGAGGTTTGTTATTCCGAAGGTTGCACAATTAACAGCTCAACTTTTGGTGTTTCTGCATGAAAAGCGCCTTGCCGGAAGGAAGAAGGCACCGGACACCAGGCAGGCAAGCATTTCTGCACATACATTCGCACACACCCCCACATATAGCAGAGAGAGATACTCATTACAAAAGGGAGAAGACAGACTATAAATTTATGTACTATAACAAAAAAAGGTAATAGAACCTAATCTGAAGAATGAGGTCACCATTGATTTACAAGTGCTCCTAGAATTGAAGGAGCCTAGCATAATGTGCGATGCCATGTTCATATACCATATTTTGGTGCTGTGCAAGAAAAAAAAAAAAAAGGTAAAACAGATATAAATACACATTTCTGAGGAGCTCAATGTCCCATTTCTTGCAGTTCAATAGTTCAATGCAAGCAAGATAGAAAATGGCCACCAAGATGACTGCTACCAGTTACTACCAACAATGAAGCTCAATCCAATCTCTCAGCTGTTCATCAGGGAATTGCCAAGTTAAAAAGGGGAGGTGGAACAAGAACTCTGTTGTCACTGAAAGAATGATTGAAAAAACTATAGTTCAAAAACTATCAAAAACCTAACAGGTCAAAAAAACAGATCATAAAAAACAATACATCACAAAACAGACAAGCAGCAAATGTAGAAACAGCTAAATATAAAAGAGATAATATTCCTTTTAAATAATCAAGTATTATTCCAGATGATTAAGCAGAAAATGTATTCATAAGTGGAGTGGAGCAGATTAATTTGTTATATCAAACATGAATGGTTAAAAAGAAGTGATTAGTCAATAAAGAAAGCTACAATGTTACATAGAGTTCTGTTTTTAATCTCTCAAGTGACTTTTATTTATTTTTCCCAGACATTCAAGAAGGAAACAACATTCATTTCATGCCCATTACGTTTCAATGGGAGTGTACCAAACTTGTGGCAAGCCCAGCCTTCTTAACATAACCAATTAAGTCTTCTCAATTTTTATGTTTCACTATTTAATTAAGTTCCCCTGTTTACCCAGCTTGATTGAGAAGAAATAGCCTCATAACTCTCTATATTTCCAGTTGTAGATGATATTTCAACCTACCTATGCATTAAACTTTGGCCTTTGAGTGCTCACCTCCCAAGTCCTGAATCTAGAGCTGTAAGTTGATCCTGTCAGACCATTTAAAAATATCAGAATAAACACGATCTCCACCCAGGTCCTCGCTAGTAGCCCCTGCTGCTACTCGTATAATATCCTCAATTAATGCAAAATTCCCCATTATATCAACATGAGCACCACTTTGGGTGCCTCGACCTTCCAGAAGATTAGCTGGAGGGGCATGATTGTACTCCCTTATGTATGTACGAATTCCTGAAGGATTGAATCTGGTTTTACCCCGCCAACCCTTTGCACACATAAAACCAGCACTTAAAACAGGAACTGTTTCATCTCCATCAGCAGAGAAAACACCACCTTTCAGACAAGAATCTTCACTACCACCCTCTGATGAGGTGTCTATCTGAAACGGAATATAGCAATCAACAGCAGTAATTAATTTGTAGACATAAGCTCTTTCAGTGGGGATCCCAACTCCATACATTGAGTAGATTTCCATGTCCGGAGCATTTGGTAACCTGCAAAATCAGACAACAATTGTCAAGAAAAGATAGAGAAAGAGAAAAAGAGAGGGGGGTTAATAGCAGTATAAAAGTTTCAACAGCATTTAGCACAAAAGTCAAAATGATAACAATTTGAAATTGCTCTATGCTCTGAAATCGAGAATGGGCACTTAACCAACAGCAACAGGTCACAGATGTTAACCACAAGTTTTGTAATCCTAAGAACCTAAGCTAACTATGAGACTGGTTAACAAGAAAAACTCAACAATTAAAAACTACTATATCATAGTTAATTACATTAATGAATTCACTTCATTCAACCTAAAGGTTCTCTAAAGAAACACTTTAGATTTAATCAAAGTTTTATAAAAACCAAGTATTGCACCAAAAGGAAAAATCAAAACCAATTAGAATAACTGAGAAAAGTTGAAAAACCTCACTTTGTTTCCAAGGGGTTTGACCAATATTTGAAGTGTTCATACTTTGGGTCATCCAAATTATCAGCTATCCCATATGAAAAATGAGCACCTCCCCTTGCCATCAACTTGGGGGCAACAAAATGAAGCAGATCCAAAATTGATCCAGCTGTGTAAACCTTGTAATCGGCAACCGCTTTGATACTGTCATTGTCCATTTCATGATACTCTATCCATATATCACAGTTGCTTGAGTTGGCCAACTTATCACCCTTCACAGTATCCTGCTGATCAACAATAATCATATAAACTGCAAGCTACAGACTAAGAAACCGATTATCTCCTAACATGTAAAACCAAAGAGCACAATATATAAAAGTCATCCTCGCATATTGCATTTTAATGAATAAAATCTTCCAGTTGAGCATGCTCGCATTTGACAGACAAGGAGGGAATTGAAACTTTAGCACAAAAATTTCTTTTTGGTTACAAACATTCAGCAAATTTTATCACATGATCTTCAAGACTTGGATTAGGGGCAATTGATGACAAATATCATGGTTAGACAGAGACAGAAAGAGATGATCCATCTACTTTTACTTATGCAAAGTAACTTAATCATAACTTGGACATTACCCTGAAATCAACCCTCTCAATCTTGGAGGAATGTGCCTCAGCCACATCTTTCCCAAATGAAATAATTCTCCCATAATTCACACTTTTCATGTCATCCAAATTGCTGTTTGCATTTTGGCCTGTATTATGAGTGCTATTCTTTTTCAACTTTTTTGCACTACATTTAAAGCTTCCTCCTTCAGGTGACCAATCAAGCCCACCCCAGATGGTGTCCCCTCCTTTTGGTATCATTGACATGGTGGAATCCCATGTACGAGTCATCCGCATTAAATGCTGAAAAGTTTGAAGACCAAATACATCTTTGTCCAGAAACCCTGGTGCGAAAGCCCTGTTTAACAATTAACTTTTCATCAAGCTCCCAAAATAAAGCAGAAATGCACGTTCATCATGTCTGAACAACTACCTTAGGTTTGCCAACAGTAAGATCAAACATATTGAAATGGTTTAAGGTGCAAAAGAATGCTTGACAGCATGACTGCACCATTTTGGAGATATAACAAAGAAGAATTTAAAACATTCCAAGGTTTATATCAGAATAAACAACTGAAACTGACTATAGTAAAGGCTTGCACGAAATGACTGTTATTAAGAAAAAGACAAAAGAAGGGACAAAATGGTAGAGGGGAGAGTCACAGATGCAAAATGGATTACGATTGAAATTTTAGTGATTCCCACGGATTGATCTAACCTTTTACTTTTTTGACCCAAGAAATAATAACATCAATCCACTATCACAATAGAAGCTTTTAGAGAGACCAGATTCACTATTGATGCCACAAAATGAAAAAAGCAAAGCATTAGAAAAGTTATCCGTCTCTCTCTCTCTCTCACAAACATGTGTGCATGCACATGATCTATAGTGTCATTTGAAAGGGAAAATTTTATCAATGCAACAGAAATTATGGGAAAGCATAGTGTCATTAACAGCATCAGAAAGTTATGTTGATTGATTGACACAGATCGCAGTAGGAATATGACAACTCACACCAAGATAAGAAACAAGCCTTTGTTCACAAAAATTAATTCAAAAAAGTACCTAGCAATGGCTATATCCCTGGCTTCAATAGAAAATAGTCCTGAGACCGATTTTGGAACACCTAAAAACGGCGCACCGATGTTCATTACTGCCTTTATGTGCTTAGCACACCAATCTGATCCACCTCCACCACCCATGGGAGCTGGTGCTTCGACCCATTTCATGAAGTGCAGAAAATACAGGACTCCCATTGAATGCGGTATGACAACTACCTTTTTCCCACCATTTGTAGCTACCATGAGTTCTATGTTACTTTTTATTCTGCTCAAAGTTTGGTCCCTGACCTGATTTATTCAGATAGACTAGCACTGATAAGATGATTCCAGAGAGTTATAAGCATAATGTTAATTTCAAATCATAAGCACAACAGAATTACTAAAGATAAACGTCTAAAGTATATATAGTAGCACAAAATTATTTGGCAGAATAACTTTGGGAGGAATGTGAAATTTCAAAACAAGGTCATACCTCAGTGTTCTGGAAAGATAACCTCCAATCATAAGCAGCCATATACATTGTTTTTTCCTCATAACCAATCTGAGCCAAATTAGCAATTAAAACAGCCCAGACAAAATAACCTGCTGCAAAATAATCAGCTGCCACAAGTCCAGATACAGGCCTGACCCTTATACCAGGAGGGTCCAGTCCGGTTTCATTATCGAGTGACATGTGCTCAGCCCAGCATAATGGTCTACAATTAAATTGGGAGAACAGTGGGGGAATAAACTTTAATAAACTTCAAAGACAAATTAACCATTACAAATAGCAAAAAGATAACCACACCACATGAACTAGCGCAAATAGCAATGTCGGGTCTAACTTAAAGCAATTTCCATTCTTCTAATGAAATATTCATTTTCGTTATAACCAAAAAAAAAAAAATCTAAAGGTTAAAACTCAATATAGCAACCATATGCAACAGATTAAGGAGAACTGTTCATAAAATTTCATGAAGTAAAACCTATAATCTTCTTGGAATGTCAAGAGAAGCCACTATTACTTCAAAGACTAAATAGAAACAAAGTAAATACATTGCTCATTTGAAAGACAGGCTGTAATCTTCAAACCTAGAGGCAACCCAATAGTTACAAAGTGTAATGACACCCTAAAACAAGGAAAACCCCGATTTGGCAGAACATGTAAGATTTAATAAGGGCCTATGGAGATTTTAGGTAGTATTTTACTTAGCAAGAGTTCAAGATTCTTCATTGCAACAAATATGTTTTTCCATAATTATCCTGTGAAGTACTCTACCAGGAACACACTATCATCAAACGCAAAGAATCTTTATAGCATTTTGATGGTTTTAACTGATATCTACATCAATCAATGTGGCCAACACAGTAACAACTTAGATTTGCAAGGAAAGAAGAGGAAACAAAAGAAAAGGGGGGGTGCATAGAGATAACAATTTTGGCAATTGAGGCCAAAATTTGTTAGTTTCCACTCGGCAACTGAACCCCTAGCTTTACAGTTCTAGAAAAGCAAAATAAAAAGAAACTCTGCAATCTTACAGCAACCTAATGAACAACTTTGGAAGCTTTTATAATCATGTCCTCACCCCTTGTGAAAAGCTTCAATTATTACAGAACAGATCATACAACATATGATCCAACAGGGTACCACTACAATTTCTAATCTAACACTGCCACTCAGAGGACAGTGATCAGGTTGCGGTAAGAGTAACCAAAAATACCTTTCTAATATCTCATAAGCAAACATAAAAGAAAAGGAAGAAGCATTTACAACAATGAAAAGGTTTTAATTTTAGAAAACAATACAAAGAAAGAAAACATCACAAAAGAACTTTAACAGTCCCAAAGGCCTTCCATTTTTTTTGTTAAAACCACTTTCCTCACACGCCAAAACTCCTCAAAAAGGCAAACCCAAATACCAAAAAAAAAAAAAAAAGGCTAAAGCCACTACCTTTTATACAATTCCCCAAACGAGCCACCCCAAAGGCGCTTCCTAAACAACCCATCAGCACACTGGTGCCCTTCCCAAAGCTCGAGCCCGCCAGTCACAATCCCAGGCACGAACACCACAGGGTGATTCACCGTTAAGCCCTCTTTCCTCAACTTGACCCCGGGCGGGTCCGGCAAATGCCCCGTTATCGCCTCCGTTACGTATTGCGGGATCGAAGCGGGCATTGTGTTGTATAAGAATAATAAAAACCACCACATCGAACATATGAAACCAATGAACCAACAACAACTGTCCCAACACGACCACTTTTCGGAACTATAACTTTCCCTTCGAAATCTCTTGGATTGGTTTTTCTTGTCATCTTGTTTATCGATGGTGGATTCGGAGTTCGTGGACTTTGAGGAATCCGTTACCTTCCTCCGCCTCAACAACGGCATCGTTTAATGTAAAATAGATGAGATCTATGAATGCTATGTGGTGGGGCTGGTTTGTTCATTAATAGAGACCGAGAATTCTGAGATTCTTCTCATGGACAGTGGGGTCCCACACTTCCACCGCAACGTATTAATGACTACTTTTCCTTCGTTTTCAAGTTTTTCTGGGTTGGCCGCCCCTGGATTGGCGATGGTCAGCTAATCAGACGGCGTTAGTGGGGAAATCAGAAATCAGGGGATATGGATTTAGCGGTGATTGGAAATAGGAATCTCGTTTGGGTTGAATTTTTTGACAAATTTTGTTTTTCCAGTAGTACAGACAAAAAGAGAAAACGAAGGTGGCTCTGGCTTTAGTTTGGAGACAGCCACGACTGACGGAATTCAAAGGGATTTGCGTGTAAATAATAACGTGGATTTGATCAGAGACGTCCATATCAATGTGATCAAGATTTTCCAAGTTCCATGACCTCATTTTTTTTGGTCTTTTCCTAAGTTGATAAAAGTAAAATTTCTCCAATTTTTCTTTTTCGCCATTATCCTCTTTTTCTTTGTTTCTTCTTTCTAATCTACCATACTTCAAAGCTTAATTTTTTTATAATAATATAACAGTCCTCATATACTATTCCATTTCATAAAAGAACTAAAAAAATAAAATCATTAACAGCTTGACATTTTAAATTGTACTTTTAAATAAAAATATAATATTGTGAAGGAATTCGTGTTAAAGCTCGACTCATTTATTCTCTAATATTATAAATCTGCTATTATTATTATTAATTTTTTATACGAAAAATCTGAAATAAATAAGTTGTTTTATTTTTAAATAAAAATAAAATGTATCGATAGCCTAAATAAATAATAAAAAAATTATACGTTTATCGACAAATAATCTGAATTCACATTTAAAATTTTTACGAAAAAAATATTCTTTAACAATTGAGTCAATCATTTATATATAGGTGAGAGTAGTTTTATTATGTTAAAGCTCCATTTCTGCATGACGGATAAGGCCATTTTCTGTTCTGTATCTAATATCAAGGGCTGTTGAGCCTTCAAAGAATGAAACAAAGCCCATCAATTTGCTCCAGTAACAACCCAAAGCCGAAAAAAGAGAGCGCAGCAGAGGTACGATCATGCACCAATAAATTCATTATCAAAGCATAAAAGGGGAAACTTCAAGCTGAGCCCAGCTCAGCTATAGCCCACACAAAATTCCCTGTCTCTCCTTTCAGTCCCACTCGCTCTTCTTCTTCTTCTTCTTCTTCTTCTTCTTCCAGTACTTAGAGAGCAAACCGCCAATTCCATATCCGTTCAAACAATAAAAAACTAAGAAAAAAACCCAAACCCCAGTAAACCCATCCGGTTGCAGGTTAATATGAAAAAAGCAAATTTTTTCACAAACTGTTTTCACATCACACTGCCATGAACACTACACCATTATAGCGATTCGCGAGCCACCCCTTCCCCTCTCACACCAATTTGCTTTGCTTCCTACTTTCCTTCCCTCTCAAAAAACAAACAAAAACACCTCCAAAACAGAACCAGAAAAGTATACAAGACCAAAGCAAATACAGCTGCTTAACGCATCCGCTCTCCTCCGATGAGAATTGAATTGCGAGGTGATTTTCTTTTTTCTTTTGTACTGTTTTTTATATATTTTTAATTTAAATTCCTTTTATTGTTTGATTTACTTTTGTTTTGTTTAGCGCAGAGAATCTCTGATCGTTTTAATTTTAACGTGGCATTAAAGAGCTCCTGACTGAGTCTCGCAATTCGAGCTCACTGAAACAGCAAAAAAAAAAAAGAAAACTCAACCGAACCACTGATTCTCAGATATTCTTAGTACAACAAATTTACTTTCTCTGCTGGGTAAACTCCAAACTCCTTTACTGTTAATATAAATGAATATTTTAGTATTTCATAGTTTAGTTCTCAAATTCTGACAACTATAGTTTTGAATGTAATCTTTTTCTTTTTTTGTTTCACAGTAGACTTCTCATTTTTTTCAGAGAATTCCAAAACGGCAATGCTGACGTGCATACATGGTTCCAAGCAACCCGGTGACGACTCACAGAGTCAACCCGAGGAAATCGACTCTTCCACTACTCCAAGCACTAAACAAAACCAAGCCATCAAATCCCTCACTTCTCAGGTAATCTAACTCTGAATTTTACGAAGTCAAGATCTTTGAGTTCTCAGGTCTTTGTTTGGCTTTTAACCAGAGTAGTTTTCCCTTGTTTTTGTGTTTTAGTTGAAGGACATGGCTCTAAAGGCGTCGGGGGCGTACAGGCACTGCAACCCCTGCACGGCGCAGAGTCAGTTGAGAAACTCCGGCGAGTCTGACGCGGACTCGGACAGGTTCAGATGGTCGTATCGTAGGACGGGGAGTTCCAGCTCGGTGACGCCTAGGACGTGGGGAAAGGAGATGGAAGCGAGGTTGAAAGGGATATCAAGTTCAAGCGGAGAAGCGACACCGAAATCGGTGAGTGGGCGCCGAGTAGAACCGATCGTGTTCGTCGAAGAAAATGAGCCTAAAGAGTGGGTGGCGCAGGTTGAGCCCGGCGTGCTTATCACCTTCGTTTCGCTTCCGCGTGGCGGCAACGATCTCAAGCGGATACGCTTCAGGTGCGAGCTGATTTTCCTGGTTTTCAATTTTGACGGTTCTGATTTATTTTCTAGCCTTGGACTTTGAGTCGTACGGTTGCAGTTATTTTAAAACTTTAGACTGAAGTGACCACGTCATCGATGGGATTTTTTTCGTAAAATTTTGTTTTAATGGAGTTTTACTTTTTCTTATTTTATTTTATCTAGGCGATTGAAGTAGCATACCTTTGGATGTCATTGGATGCCTATGCCTTTAGTTTATTAGTATTATTATTGACACAAAATTTTTTCTAGTGATTCATTTTTTTTTAAATAATAAATAAATAAAAACTTTCTTTTGTAGTATAGAATTAAAAAAATTACCTCAAAACGAGTAAACGACCGACTAAAATTGTTTTGTTGAATTTGTATAATTTTAATTAAAATTTTAAATTATAAGATATTTTTATATTATTTTTGTGTCATCTCTCATGTTTGAAATTTTCAGTTCTAACATTGCAGGCTTCACGCCTAATGAAAAGCAATCCAATAAAAGTCCAAATGGAGTACTCATTGTGCCCTAGGTGGGACAGGATTGATTATGTTGGAAGCTTTATCTCTGAGGCTTGTCTTCGTGTCGGAGAAGGCTCTCCCCTTTCTTTTCATTAAAACAAAAAAAAAAAAAAAGGAAATTTCTCTACACGCCTGATTCTCCGTGGCCTTGTCTTCCTCTGACCCATTTCTTGTCATGTCGTCTACAATTAAATAGTGTATGCTCACATCATCTGCCACTCTAAAACCTACATGCAAGACAAAAAATTTGGCCTTTTACTGAGCTTATATTTGCCAACAAGCAAAGACCCGAGCTGTAACCTTCACCTTTCCATGTTTTCTATGGACAGTGACACGAGGGATTAGTCATTTTTTACAAGGGGACATTTCTCTCATTTATAACCTTGGCCACATGTGACTTCTCTGTTGATTCTAGAAATTTTTTATTTTAACAGGTCTCTTGATTGACTTGATTTTCCATCACCACTTTCAGATTCATATATCAAATGTAATGCTTGATAAAGCTCCTCATTGGTTTTAGACTCTTGATGGACACCCCACTACTTCAAGCACAATGATGGCACTTAGAAAATTTTAATATTCCCTTCACCTAATGGTTGTTAGCTTTTTGTATTATCCGAAATAAGAGGGGGAATGCTCAGTCAAAAGATGTTTATAAGCCAATCTAGTGGCCCAATATATAATTAAAATTTTCCATTCACATTAGAGAGGTAATGCAACTTTATTGGTCATGAATGGATTTTCAAGTCATTGACTTTTGAAAAATAGGTAATAGCATGATGTAGAGTATCATCATCGTGAAATTAAGACTTCAATATTGAGGACAGGAATTTTATCTTTCATTTTCTGATAATTTTGATAAAAAATTGTGCTTGACGACGTCCCTAATGCATGTCACCTTGTTTCTTAAATCAATCATTTAATGTTTCTAGCTGCTGCGCTTTTAGCACATGCATAACACGAACCACTAATTTTTGGTTTCTGGTATACTAATCTCATGAACGCCAGGAGTGCTAAAATATAGTTTATTTTCTTTGACTAGTCGGGAAATGTTTAACAAATGGCAAGCTCAAAGATGGTGGGCAGAGAATTATGACAGGGTCATGGAACTTTACAATGTCCAGAGGCTTAACCGCCAGGCTTTTCCACTACCAACACCCCCAAGATCCGAAGATGAGGCAAGTTCTTAGCCTGTTGCCTTCATATAACGTTGTGTGAATGAACTTCACCTACTTCATGCCCTGCACTAATACTGTCTTGGACAGAGCTTAGAGTGTTGCTTGTAATTTCCATTTTTTTTTTCTTAATGTTAGTAACATCATTCTTTTGATTCCTTACAGATCTCAAAAATGGAATCAGCAGAAGAAAGCCCTATAACACCACCATTGACTCGAGAACGCTTACCTCGTAATTTATATCATCCAACAAGTATCGGCATGGGGTACTCATCCTCAGATTCACTTGATCAGCACCCAATGCAAGCCCGGCATTATTGTGATTCTGCTCTTACCTCAACCCCAAAACTTTCCAGTATTAGTGGTGCCAAGACAGAGACATCATCAATGGATGCCTCTATGAGGAGTAGCTCATCAAGAGAGGCTGATCGTTCCAGAGAGCTATCCATCAGCAATGCCAGTGATCTTGAGACTGAGTGGGTTGAACAAGATGAACCAGGGGTTTACATAACCATCAGAGCCTTGCCTGGGGGCAAAAGGGAGCTTAGGCGAGTTAGATTCAGGTATGGTTCTATGAGTTTCTTTAACTTCAGTGATAGTTGGTTTGCCATGAAACAACTAATATTGACCAGGACCATCATTACTGATAGAGAAATGTGTTTGTGTGAATTTATCAGCCCCAACCATCAAAATGTTATTGGCATCTAACATCTTAGAAAACTTGCAACATTTTAAAGTGCCAGAAATAGCAGGTTGTGGTTTGATCCTTGTAGTCACTGAAAGTGCATCTTACAAGCTGAAACTGTTTAAATCGAATTTAGATTAGTTCATATGCCTAATATTTTGATTCCCTAAGTTTAATAACAATTGTTGCTAGTTGAAATCCAGGTTTTGATGTCACCCATGTGATGAATTTTGTTTGATGGCATTTTCCTTGCATAGATGTGATTGAACCTACTCTTTCCTTTTCTGTGGCTAGCATACTTTCTATTGTTTCATTAACTTTGCTGTAGAGATTGTTACATATCAAATTATCTGGCAGTAAATCTGCTACCTATTGTGGCAAATTCCAGTGATCTATTTTATGCATAGTTGTCATTGGCAAAGTCTTTCTGCTTGATTGAATTATATTGGAATTTGATAAATTCAATTGCTGAGAATATGATTGAGGCATAAGATGCATTATCTTTTCTCCTTGTTCACCAAAAGTGAAGGCTAAAAGTTTAAAAGTTAAAACACATGAACATTGAAGACTCATTGGAAATGCTCCAAAAAGCAAAATTTTTTCCGTAGATTTGATTTCATTTTTAGGATGATGGGTCCAGCACAAGTCAACGCTATAATTGAAGTCCACCTTAGAGACAATGATGATTTGAATTACCAACCCTCAGAAATAGATTTATTAGTTGTAAATCTGTTTTTGACATCATCATTACTGACTCACTTATTCTGCTTTCACCAACTATTTTACTCCAATGCCGAGGCAAATCCAGCTTGAACCATTCTCTGAGGAAATGCAATTGTCTTTAATTTCCGTCACTGTTATCTTATAATTGATTGGATTCCTCACTCTGCGCGTATATCGTGCAGCCGAGAAAGATTTGGAGAGATGTATGCTAGACTGTGGTGGGAAGAGAACCGATCCAGGATACACGAACAATACTTGTAATCGAGCAAACAAAGGAGGCTAGCCGTCTGCTGGCGCTTTTCTAAATTGTAGAATCCCTTCTACAGGGATGTAAGCAGGTGGTACTGCGTTCTGTCACCTGATCCTATTTGGCTTAATAGTAGCTTAAAAATATGATGGTGGGATTTTATGTGTAGTTTCTTAAAAAGTGTTGGTGGATAAAGAGCATCAACTGTGTATTTGGGTGGTGGTAGAAAGAAAAAAAATATCAATATCAATATCAATGAAAAAATGTGTATCCTCGCTCTTCTTTGATAGTTCTGCTTTGCCATGCTGCTTACAATATGTGTTTTTATTCGAAGAAAGGGATTGAAACTAGTGCACCAAATCAAATAGTTGAATTCGAGTCTCTTTTCAGCAACCAGGAGCAAGTATTTTGAGCTGGACTTGATCATACACGTTCGTAGAGTTGGGCCAAATTCTATTGCCCGAATTTCGATTATATCTAAGGTTCTTTTAACGCCCAATCTTTTGCTTCTTCTCGTTACCACAAAGTCCAAAACAACGAAAAGGACCATTACCGGCAAATGCAATATCCAATTTTAAATGGGCGTCTATTCCGAGAGTGAGTTTTATAAAGCAACTTGGGCTCCTTAGAACATGGGCGTGTCTCAGCAATTTTTGTTCCTTATGGTTCAAATTAAAGGAAGAAAAGCGGCCTCATTCCCCTCCGTACTTTGTCTAGATGTGTAAAGGAACATATGAACGGCACATATATAAGCTCAGTTTATTTTTGTTTAGTAATTTTAATAAATGATCATAAATAATATTTTAAAATTTATTAATTAAATAAATTAATTAAAATATAATAAAATTTATTTATATTCGATTCATTTATATTTAAAACATAAACAAATAAAATGTTGAACAAATAATTCATGTACATAGTTGAATTTTATTTGTTTATATTCATTCATTAAACATAATAAATGAACACGATTAAACGAATAAACCATCAAAATTTTCTATTCATTCGCACCTATAACTTTGTCCTTGACCACAAAGTGAGGGGCAGAACAAAATCAGACACTTGCAATCTCTCAAGTTCCATCCTCATCAAAACACAGAGCTGACGAATTTTGCTTTCCTTTTTTGGATTCAGGTGGTACAAACTAGGTTATAACAATTACTCAAAAAAAAAACCTGAAAGGTGAAAATGACCTGACGTTACGCACTTCTTTGATATCTAATTGGCTACTGCCTGACGATTAACCCCAAGAAAAGAATTTAAAGAAGTCACCTTAGAACCCCCATCAAACCAGTGAAAACTAAAAAGATTAAAATAAGGGTATCTTAGACAGACAGCAAACTGGTAAAAAAAAGTGAAACCCAACACTTAAACCTGTCACAGCCTGGCAGGCCGGCACCCCAACCCCGCCACAACCAAAATTTTTACCCGCACGCGCTGCACTCTCCTTTAAAACTTCTCCACAGCAACACCAAGTACACAACTCTTTCTCTCTCTCTCTCTCTTTGCTTTGTTTTGCTTTGCTTTTTCCTCGGTCCAAATCATCTCTTTTCTCTTCTGCTTCAAACTTATCTCTGTTTATTCAGTGCCGTACACAAACAGAAAAAACAATAAGCAAAACAGTCCAGTTCATATTGAGGAAGTTTCTTCTATTTGTATTCCTTCTTTTCTTTTTTTTCTATCACATGATCCACTTGCATTCTACATAATGTGTCTTTGCAGCTTTTGATACTCTCTAAGCAGACATTAAAGCTCTTAGCCACCTTCAAACGAACCCCTTACTGTCCTTTCTTTATTTTCTTTCTCTAATCCCATTCCTCTGTTTTTTCCCTATATAAACCTCTGTTTCCTCTGTTTTTCTTTGTGTGTATGCAAAAAATATGTATAGAAGAGAGAGTTCCGTGACAGAAACTAGGGTTCCTCAAAGAAGAACCCCTTCTTTCTCTTCAAGCCTTCTTGATGCTATTTACCGTTCTATCGATGAATCAAGTAATGGAGATGAAGCAACATTGTATCATTACAGGGAAACAAAAACAAACCTTGTTAAGGAGCAGAACAATGCTTCTTTGGAAGAAGAGAGAAAGGTTTCCAGTCTTCGACGGGCTACTATGATTGAAAATTGGGTTCAGAAGCAGAGTTGTCGTGGCTTAGCTGTGCATTTCAACTCAACTTCAAGTTCCTCGGATTCCAGCAGTGGCGGAATCTTCTCATCATCCGAAGCTGAGTCAAGTTACACAGAGAAATCAAGAAGATCAAAACCAGCTAAACTCGACAAGTCTATGCAGTCTAAAACAAGAAACTTTGACAACAGCAACAACAATGGCAAGCGAGAAGGCGGTGGGTTCACAAAGACCAAACTGAAAGCTTTGAAAATATATGGTGAATTGAAGAAAGTGAAGCAGCCTATTTCCCCTGGCAGTCGTATCACTAACTTTTTTAACTCCATTTTCAATGCTAATGCCAAGAAATTGAAGATGTGCTCCGTTGAGGTGTCAGATGATGTAAGTTTTGAACGCAAATCAAAATCCACATGTTCATCAGCCACTTCATCTTCCAGGTCTTGTTTGAGCAAAACACCTTCTTCAAGAGGTAATAAGTATAGTAATGGCAAGAAAATGTCAGTTAAATTTTGTCCAGTTAGTGTCATTGTTGATGAAGATTGTAGACCGTGTGGCCATAAATGTATTTATGAAGATGATCCAAGTTTAATGCCAACTTCAACTGCTCGAAAGAGTGCTAAAAGTTCTTCAAGAAAGGAGGAGCTGAAGAATTTTGTGAAGGAGAAAGATTCTGGAGTTAGCAATAAAGCAAGAGATTATCTACGGAGCTATCAAAGGAAGGCTACTGGTAAATTGGATTTGAGAGGCTTTATTGACGATTATGAGGATAATGATGATGATGCTTTGAGTTATTCAAGTTCTGATCTTTTTGAGTTGGATCATCTCGTTGGAATTGGAAGGTATAGAGAGGAGCTGCCAGTGTATGAAACTACTAGTTTGAAAACTAATCAAGCCATTGCTAATGGCTTCATATTGTAACTCAGTATCATCTTTCAAATCGTGATTATTGGTTTGGGGGGGTTCAAATTGAAAATTCAAATAATTTTTTCTTCTGATAATCATTATGATGATTTTATATGTTTGATTAGCTTTGAAAAAATCAGTCTAAGATGGTGAAAATTAAAGCTTTTGAAGAGTGAAGATTCAATGTAATCTTCACTTAGAAAAACGTTAAAGCAATACATAAAGTCGAAATAGAAAAAAAAAAAAAAAGTGAAAAAGGAAAAGCGAACACAAATCTTCTCCCCACGAGAGAAGGGAGAAAGTGAAAAGCCTACGCTTTTTCACTGCCTTTAGCACATGGCCTCAACATCCCAACATAAATTAGCTCCCTCTGGAGTCGCAGAATAAAAAATTTCCATAATTAAAAAGATTTGAGTTAAATACATATTTGGTACTGAACTTTCAAATTTTGGTAACATTGGTACTTACAGAATTTTTTGTTATATTGATACATGAATTTTAATTCCATAAGTCAGTTAACCCCAAAAGTTAACTTTGTTAGAAAAAAAAAAACTGATATATTTTAAATAGTCAATCAAATAACGTTAGTTGTCAACAAAATTTTACATTTTCAGCTCGATATTTTTCACATTGTGATATATTGGCCACGTTAGATATTAACCTAAAACCAAAAAAAAAAAAAATTTCATTTTTTAACCTGAATTAAAAAAGATTGAAGAAAGTAGCTACTTTGAAAGAAGAAAAAAAAAATTACTTTAAGAAAATAAACACTGGATGATTTTTTAGGACTAGATTTTTAGATTGAATCTTTATAATTGTTCCAAACTAAGTGATTGGAGGATGATATTTGGGACAATCGATTCAAAAAGTTCAATTGATTGGGGTTTGTGTTTAGAGCAATGAATTTAGGATTTAAAATTTGAGGTTTAGGGCTATCAATTTAGGGTTTAAACTTAGGGGTTTAGAGCAATCAATTCAGAAGGTTCAGTCAATCGGGAGTTTTGTGTTTAGGGTAATCTAAATTGAGGCTTTAGATTATTGACAATGTGGGTTAAACGTCTAAAAGGGGGATATTAAAATTGACTCATAAAGTGAGAAATTGATTTAGAAGGTGGGAAATTTGGTTGTAGATTTCAAGTTTGTCCATATAATTTAACATGTATTTGTGTTTTATTTTATATTGATTTTTTTATGATTTTTTATCGGTTGAATATTGTATTTTAATATTATTTATATTAAGTTGAGATCTGTTACGTTTGTATTTCTTGAATGATTTATTAATTTTGAACTTGAGATAAATTTACTTTCTATCATTTAAAGAGGATAAAAAAAAAAAAAACAAAAGAATTGTAGCAGCTTCGCTAATATACCCAAAAAAATCACATGATTTCAAACCCATACTATAATCCCTCTTTGTTTTTATCAACTATTTCTTCTTCTTCTTCTTTTTAAACTTTTAGAGAAGCTAATTTCTTGAACTTTTTTATTTCAATTAAAAAATAAAAGTGTTAAATTTTTTTTTTATTTTAGGTTGATATTTGATGTAATTAATATATAATATCCCTAAAAAAAATCAAATTGAAAACGTGAAATTTTATTGACAGCCAGCATTATTTAAATGGTCATTTATAATACATTAGTTTTTTTTTTTTTAACGAAGTTAATTTTTGGGATAAACTAACTTATAGAATTAAAATTCAAGTATCAATATGATAAAAAAATTCTTTAGGTATCAAAGTGACTAAAATTTGAAAGTTTAGGGGCCAAATATGGATTTAACCCAAACAATTTTGCTTGTTTCTGCACCTTTGAATATAACACAGTTTTCTCTCGTCACTGCAAATTCCCATTGCCTTGAACGGACTATTGCATCCATACTTAGATTTCTTTGACAGCTCCTGTTTCTCTGGTTGAGAATATCGTCGGCTATAACATTGAATATGGACTTTGAATTCCAAAAGAGTAGACAAAGGGACAGTTGATGCTTGCCATCGCCAACTATCGAGTTCCATAAATTCTGTCTGTCTGAAATTGTACTTGTACTATCATATACAGAAAGGAATCTCAAGGATTTCTTTCTATTAGAGTTGTTTGTGGGGATATCATTTCTTGATTTGGTGGGATAGGACCACCAGCTTTGAATATTATTAAAGACATCAACTAGTACCTGTAGTTTTACCCTAGCGTCAGCCAGATTCTGTACTCATTTATCTCCCTGACAAATAGATTCATTTCTTACAAATTGACGTCAAAAAAAGGCTTTTCCAGGGTGAATTAATTTTCCCAATTTTGGAAAACCAAATGATTAATATAGTTGATACATTATCTGGTGTGTGGACTTCTACTGGTATGGAACTCAATTATGGGGCGATCAAACTTCAAAGAAAATTCCAATCTGGTGATCTAGATGTCCAATACAAAATTAAATGGATGAACAATGGTAATTCTTTGCAGACAAGTAGGGTCACACATAAGGAATCTCACAAGTCAAAATACAACAGGATCAGACATGATAGCAAAAAATCCAAACCAACTTTTGCACCAGAGGAAAAAAAATTATAAAGTTTGTGAGCAACCATGTATTCTTTGGGATGAAATGGGACAGCAGAGACTGGCCACCATAGTTGACTTGATTACCTCGATCAATTACTCCCGTACTAAAAGAAGAGATGAAATACCCCATTCCAAAGAAGAGAAGGAAAAAATGGAGAAAATCCAGAAAGTATAAACTCTCTTTCCACTTGAGAATGGTGGGAACATTTATTAAGAGTAACACATGTCATCTTCAACTTTATTGGATTGAGATGCGTTCAAACAGGACTTTGAAATAAAGATAAGAGAATCAACATGATCCCTTTCAACATGTCACAGCTCTCTCTTTCTCCCTCTCACTTGCGGCATGTCATGATCTTCAACAACTTAGCTATTGTTCTGTAACAATTTTGTTCACAAAATAATGCTCCCTTCCCCATTTAGCCGCGTTAGCATTTAAAGTTAAAACACATTCAGATTCACATTTGAAAAAAAAAAAAACCCTTCATTTGATGACTTATTTTTTTGTTTGTTTCATATAATTGAAACAACTTCAAGGCAGCAGTAATCCTTTCCAGGGCAGTTCTTATTGGCCAGCAACATACTGTTCCTGTTTACTGTTCAGACTTCGGGGAATGGTAGAAGCATCAAAGCTTCGAATGTTTATGGCAGAAAAGAAATGTCCGGACTCTGATGCTTATAAAATTTCTTAGAAAAAACAATAATTAACCAATAAAAATTAAGGCCCCCCTCCCCACTAAAAAATGAAAAAGACAAGAAGGCTTAAAATTAGAGCAAGAAAGCAATCGATAATACACGTAATTTGCCAGTAAGTAGAAGTGGAGCATGTTTCTCAAAAACCAAACACAAATCTGTGGTACATAACCTTGCAAGTTTCCAAAATATTGTAACAAATGCATGTGGAACAATGTCCTTACCAATACGTTAGCAGTATTATTTAAGCCAAGGACCACTTCCCAGCTATAGTAGCTGGTTTTATCCTCCTCCAGAGCCAGGCCTCTTCTTTTGTCTTAATAGAACCATGCATGTTTGGTCACTGGCGTCACCAACTTCTGGTTACAATGCACAATATGCAAGGCTATTATCGCGAGATCATGGCCATAGCCCACAAAAGACAATGTCAGTCTATAACGATGCCCAAACACTAATTTATAAGTGTATGCAACCTTTGTTTTGTATCAATGAATCAGTATTTTGGAGAAAGGTATGCCCTCTATTACAACTTACAGCCAATTTGGATGAAAAATGGTTGAATTTTTTTGGGTGGAGACAGAAATTTGTAAAGAAATTGAGTGAACAAGAGGAAATTAAAAAAAAAAGGGTGTAATTATCAGGAATAACTGTAGCTAATTTGCAAAATTACTGTGTGTTTAAGCTAACAATAATTTCAAAATGGGCCCTTTGTTTCTGTTGTGTCTGAGTTCAAGGCACGTCCTCTGCTGCCAGTAGCTGGCATGGCAAGCCACCGAGGAGCGCGTGAAGTACAATAAAATGAGAGTGAGATGACAGAGCCGCACGTGACCGCCTGCCCTTCTCTGTACAAAAGCATGTTTATCAAGCGCACGTGTGCTTAGTTCAGAAGATGTTAAAAATTTACAGCAACTTTTGATTTTAAATGCGGTAAAGGTACGTAAAAGAGAGCGTTTTCCCCGCGTGGGTATAATAATCTTTTTTAACCTCAATTCCGCTGTCAGAAAAAAAGTATTGACACATTGTTTAATGCATCTGCTAAATCCTCCACTTGCTCGTAGTTTGTTGAAATTCACGCTCTTGGTGTTCGGACTGTTTGGTTCAGTCTTGGTTTGGGCTTATTTGCGGTCCAAAAGACTCAGTTCTCAAAGTGAAAATATTGCCATTAAATCAGCAACATTGTCTTTTGTTTTAGCTTGCTGAATTAGGTTTCTTTGCTTTCATCATCCAGCACCTTACATTAATTAAATTTATGATATACCATAATGCTTCATGTAGGCATGTGAGGTGGTCTAAATGTTTCATCACACAACAAAGTTTGATGATCCATTATGAAATTGAATGGTAAGCCTACCGTGCACAAACTTACAATTCATATAGTGCCAACAGACATGATAATTTTAAAAGTTAATAATATCAGTAATCCCTAAATTTTGATTTAAATTTTATTTTAATTTTTAAATTTTAAAAAATTTTAAAAAGATATTTAATTACTCAAAATTATTTTATTTTGATAGTTTCATTTATAAAATAGTCTAAATTGATAGTAAATATCAACTAAATCATGAGATGAGGCCATCTAACATTTCAGTAATAGATGAAGGATCAAAATATAATTCTCTTAGAATTTAAAAATCAAAGGCGAAATTGTTTCAAAATTTATATATTTCATTCACATCTTACAAAAATATTAAATTTAAAATTATATTTGCATTTTTTTGTTATAATATAACTTATTAAATAGATTTTTGTGCTAAATACAAAATAGATATTCAAAACTTAAAATTAAGTTAAAAATTTTAAAT